CTTTAAACAGTACAGTCTCCGAGCGCGTGGAAAAAAGACACGATCACCACCGAGCAGAAGAAGGGCTCGGCTGTTCATCACTTATTCTTCTATCCTTTCCGTTATCCTCGGTCTTTCATCCAATGGATATCTAGAAACTGAACTGTTTCGAAAGGCGGTTACCATCTGGAAAAGCACCTACCACCACCCATTTACCCAAAAACGGGCTGCATGGCGCTAAGCGAAACCCCCTCTCAGTTTCCCGGCCTCCGTTGTCCTCAGTTTGGCGACGGAAATACCAGCTGTCGTCGCGCCCGTTTGATATGTTTATTGACGGCAGGATTCAATGTAGCTGATTGGAGGGTTGGGTTTGAAGCTGCAATTGCCAATTAAGCCTGCCTGGCGATGAAAGATCGCTGAGGTACATGACCGAATGGCATCGGGAGGTTCAAGTTGATAATGTCCAGTTGCACCAAAGCCGTGATTCGTTGAGCGTGTCCAGTCGAGCAGGAGTGGAGCTTGCAGCTGCGAGATGGATCCACATTTCTTTTGCACATTGATGCACCTGTCCTACACCTGGCCAACTGCCATTCAGCCCACTGCATGCAATGCAATCATGACTTTCGGCTCTGAGGCAGGGTGGATTGTTCCTGCTTCCTTTTGGGTTATCGCAACTGCCTCGAAATATGGACAATATTACCCCAATGTTTGTGTTGTCAGAGGCGCGTGGGGAAGAGGGGTAGGCACCCGCACACAGATGAGATCCAACTAAAAATGTCCTGGCGGGGCGGGGGTGGGCTTCACCCAGGTAGGTTGTGCCGTGAATGGTTCGGGCCTCTAGGGCCTTCCGTCAGAAGGCCCAGGGCCCACAGGGCAGCATTCGTGAATCCAGATCTCCAATGCACCATCATCACCACACCAACCAGCCGAGCTAGCATGCTCTGGGGAAAGTGAATGTTTGGAAGTTTGTCCTTTTGTTTCCTCCTGGCATGGGAAGGTGACGGCCGCCCAGCTTTTGTCTCAGGCAACTTCATCGAAACTGCAAAGATTCGGTCCAGCGTAGACGTCCAGCCTTCGTCAAGACAAAAAGACCACTTCCTGTTCCGTGTTTTTGCAGTGCCACCTTGGGAGCCAAATTTGGAGGCCCAGAAGGAGGTGTAGCGCAAAAACATTGATACCGTACGAACGCACCTTCAACCCGAAGCTCAGAGTTACCTACCAAGCAATCTGCCCCGGACTGCTCTTTCCTGTCTGACGACAGACCGCAAGCTTCCAAATTTTCAGCCTCCACACAGCCTCTGTTTTCCCCGAAAACATCAACCATTTTGCCTCGACTTTGGACGCCGCTATCGTGAATCGTCTGCTCGCGAAATACCAAATCCAGACAGTAAGGTATGATGCCTCGCGGATTCCATCACAACTCTGTTGTCCCTACCTGCCCAACAAGACAAATGGAATCTAACAATGCCGCCAGTTCATCCAATTTCCCTTTCTCGATCAAAAGACCCAACCGTCACCTCGTGTCCGCAACCTTCCATGCAAACCTGCCATGCGTCGTCAACATCTCGTTCCGTCGTCTCGAAGCTATCCCGGCCATCCTCCCATCCACTCTGAATATTGCCGTACACTATCCAAGTTCTGCACACAAGATTGCGCTCCGAGTCTCGAGAACGTAACCGCGGAATATCCTACATCTCCATATCCATACAGGCGTGCCTCCTCCCATCTTCGACGTTAGCATCCGAGGCTCAAACGCATTTCCCCAGTAGGGAAGTTCGCAACCCGGCCGTCTCCAGTTCCACATTACATTGACAGGCACAGCCCCTGCTACGGCGCGCATTCCGTGCGGGCCCCGAGTCCCTTGCAACAAAAGAATTCTTGCGGACCGGACCTCGGGAGGACCGGCCAACGTGACACCTGCTCAACACCCGGCGTGACAACTCTTGCCTGCCCAACCATCTGCTAACGTACTGTCAGCGCCAGAAGTAGACAGCCTGAAGACAGCTTTCCTTTCTCCATCTTTAAACAAGGTTGTTAATTTCGGCTACGATCTTTTGGACCTGTCAAGTCCAATACCGGCTACCGCAGACCCTATACACTACTCTGGACAACTGGTCCACTCCGCTGCGAAGCCTCAAGTTGAAACATCAAAATATTATAGCCCATCGGGTTGACCATCATCATGGCTGCCTCCGAAAGTGACCTTATGGCCTTCTACCAGAGGTTTCAAACACTTAGTCTTTTTAACGACAGCAGCGCGAGGCTGATAGAGGTGGGCTCCATCCAAAAGAGTGACTGAGAGGTTGAAAGATGGACCTTTCTCAACTCATGCCAGCCTCTTGCCTTTTGACTGACGCGTGCCTGTGCAGGATCTACTCCTTTACTCCAAAAACGTTGAGGATGCGCTTCGTGAAGAGAATAGGTCCCTCAGAAGACAGCTCACGGATCTTCAACTCGATCTTGAGGATGCCACTCGTTCCAGAAGAGAGCTCCAGCAGCAAGTAGCGAATACCGAGTCTCGCAATAGGGACCTCGCTGCAGATAATCATCACTTGAAGGTGAGGGTCACTGGCCAGTCTCGTGGAGACAGTTATTGAAACAAATTTTGCAGAACAACAATCCTTTTGTGGTCGCCCTCATTGACGGCGATTGCTGTTTGGTATGTCCCCTTTGGTTCCCTAGCTTCGGCTGCCACTTTCTAACTCATTTCGCAGTTTAAAGAAGACTTAATCAGACAGGGAGTTGAAGGCGGTAAAAAGGCCGCTTATGCTTTACGAAGCGCCATTCTTGAACAATGCGGCGATTATGCCGGCAACATGGAAGTCATTGCAAAGGTCTACGCCAACCTCGGTGGTTTGGCCAAAGCCATGAGACGCAATGGGTGCCTGGAGGCTGAAGAGACCCTCAAGGAGTTCACCATTGGCTTTACTCAAGGAAAGGCAACCTTCGACTTTGTTGATGTTGGCCACGGAAAGGAGCGCGCGGATAACAAGATCAAAGGTACGTCGGCCGGCCCCCGGCGTCATAGTTGGTGGATACTGACCGAAGCAGAAACGGCGAAATGGAATTTGCGCAACTATAACTGTAAGCAGCTAATTCTGGGCATCTCCCATGATGCCGGCTACGCTCCATTTCTCGACGAGCTCTTCCAGGACGAGACCAAGAAGCGCCGCGTTACCGTTGTCGAAGGCGTTCCGACTGTTCGCGAGCTCGTTTCCACTGGCGTCAACATCCTGAACTTCAACAACGAGATCTTCCGCTCGGAGAAGCTGGTAGACAAGACGTCACTTCGCACCAACATTGCTCCACTGGCTACTACGGCCTCTGTCAACACTCCCACCGTGACCAACGGAAATATTCCTACTCCTGCGAGCTCCACCACGTCTACGCCCGCGAATGCGACTGCTAGTTATGCCGGAGCGATTGGAAACGCGAGCCCCCCGCCCAAGATCACGCTTCCCATTCAGCCTAGGCCTGTTAATGTGAATGCCCGTGCCTCGGCCACTCCGAAGCAGCCGGCCTGGAACCCCGGCCCTCGCGGCTTGGACCCGCCTATCAAGATCTCGCCAGCTGCTCTGGAAAGTATCAAGAAAAGGAAGGACAACAACAAATTATGCAACAACCATTATCTGAGGGGTCCCTGCTCAAAGGGCGAGGCGTGCTGCTTCGAACACAAGTATAAGCCGACTAAAGACGAGATTGACGCCATTGCCTTCTTGGCTCGCCTGAACCCTTGCACCAGCGGCCAGGATTGCGATGTTCAAGACTGTATTTATGGACATCATGTAAGTCTGGGGTTATGCTACTCTGAGTCTAGAATATGTGCTGACAAATACCAACCACAGTGCCCCAGCGTCAAGGATGGCGTTTGCACCCATCCTTACTGCAAGTTTGAGGATGAGGATCACCCGCCCGGCACGAAATACAGAAGCACAAAGACGTATGACTACTTCTCTTAGACAGAGGATGATGTGGCTGTGAACGGAAGCTTCAGCGCGGCGGACAGAAGAAGGGAGCCTGGACGAACAACCATGTGATAAAGGGGCAGGTTCTGGAAGCTGGCTCAGGAGAGTGTGCCTAAAGAGAAGGGGTTCAAGAAGCGGGCGGCCGATGAGGAGCTGTCCGTGAAAGAGGCGTTCGAAAAGAACATCTCATGAAACGGATCTCACACTCAGAGGCTACCTGCAGAAGAGGCCTTTACAAACTGATCATTTAAAAGCTATAGAAACTAGGGGTCGAAGGCTCGGGGAGAAGATGGGGGTGTCAAGAGTTATTTTCTGTTGCGGAGGGCAACCAGCGGAAAAAACACATTTGGTACAGAATATTTGCAATGAAAAGAAACAAAACGGCGAAAACAAGCCAACAAAAATAGTTATTTGAGCGTATGGAAGAGCGAAAGTTGAAGGGGTTCAGGTGGTAAATATATAAAGAGGAGGACAAAGCTGGTGGGAACATCTCTCATTCAATGTTGAGGTTGTTATCCAAGCTACGTTGGAATCGAAGGGTGAATACATTGGGCAGATTGAGTTTAGTTGAAATTGTGTGTTCTTTTCTGCTTCTGTATCGATATATGTCCCTGTGAGTGACACCGTCCTATGCTTTGTTAAGTCACGCAGTGTCCAATGTGTTTACACTCCAACGTTGAAATGATGTTGGAATAGGGGCCCCGGGCCCCCGGCGGTTGGTGCCGCTGGTTCGTTGCCGGCCCAGGGCCGCGTGCACGGACCCCACTTTATTTCCCCGGCCGGCTGCCCCACTCGGCTCAATTGAAACCACATCGACAGCTTGGACCTTTGGACAAGGCCACCCCACATTTCTCCAACAACTCACGGGGGAGCTGTTGGTTCATCTGTTCAACCACCCGCGCAACCTTCCACTCACTTTCTCCTTGCCACAACCATCACGGACCTAGTCGCCTCAGCTGTATCTGCGCATTCAGAGGTAGACACCACCAAAATACCCTACCGGACGAACAATCAACAAGACCTAGTGTCAGTCAGTCACAGACAACAACCGCCAACATGCCTTCCCATCCGCGGGTAGAAGAAGTCGAGGACAGCGACCTTGAAATGTCCGACCCCTCCGAGGGCGACATCGACGACTTCGCCGAATCCGACATCCTCGTCCAGCGCGGCGCTCCTCCCGCCTACGCCTCCAAAGTGATGCCAGGCCCCTCCTTTACCCCTCTCTCCGCCGCCCACCGCGCGCAAGCCGAAAAGCAACACCAACAATTCCAAGCTTCCCAGGCCGCCCAGGCCGCCCAGGCCGCCGCCGCCGCTCAACAACGACAACAACCCCCTCCCCAGTATACCCAACGACAAGCCTACACCCAACCCCCCGGCTATCCCGAAATGCAAACCACTACCGACGACTCAGCCTACAAGTCCTTCCAGTGTCTCTACCCCTGCTACTTCGACGCCACGCGCTCGCGCGCCGAAGGCCGCCGGGTGTCCAAAGAGCTGGCGGTCGCCAACCCGCTCGCAACCGAAATCGTCAACGCCTGCGCGCAGCTGCGCCTCTCCGTCGTGCTGGAAGCCGGCAAACTGCACCCCAAGGATTGGGCCAACCCGGGTCGCGTGAAGGTCAACCTGAAGGAATTCATCCGGTTGCACGGCGAGAACGGGAAGGTCAAGAATAAACACCACTTGTATATCCTTGTGGCGCAGCATTTGCAGAAACACCCTACTACCGATGATTCGCCCGCGCTGAGAGTGGTGGTTAGAGGTGCGGGTCCCCCGCCGAGGGAGATGCTGGAGGAGGGTAAGGCGTGGCCGAGGCCGGCGGTGCCGAGGGGCTGGAAGATGAGTGAGTTGTTGCCGGTACTATAGTCCGGCGATGACGGGCGGGGGGGTTAGTGAGAATTTTTTGAAGGATATGATGAAGGAGATGGGACCGGGTGGGATGCCGGGTATGCCTGGTATGCCTGGGGGAGCGGGCGGTGCGGGAGGAGGAGGAATGCCGGATATGGCGAGTTTGTTGCAGGGTATGGGAGGGATGGGAGGATTGGGTGGTTTGGCGAATATGCTGGGTGGTATGGGCGGTATGGGAGGTGGTGGTGCGACGAGTCCGGGGGCGGGTAGCGGGAGTGAGGCGGCGGGGAAGAAGAAGGGGAAGGGGAAGAAATAGGGTGTTAGTAGGGGGTTGTGATGTGAGAGAGGGAGAGGGACGATCATGACTGAAGATTCTACCTGCCAGCAAGCCTTTTTCTTGCTTGCCGTATACATAATGAACAACAGCCTGGACTGCTGCAAAAAGCAGTCTTACGAAACAATAATATGAATGCACTTTAAGGCAGCCCGGAGTCGGGTGATGTAGCAAGCATGTGATCATCGACTATCTTTGGGATGTTAGCACGATAGCATCAAGTGATGTTTCTCCACCAAAGCCAACGTCAAGTCCTCGATGACAGTCATCAGAGAAAACGGAGTCGGATATATCGACATAAATACAGAACAAGTGAGGAGCCAACGAAGTCCTTACCAAAAGCCGTTTGACTCACCTTCACCCCCCTTTCGGCGTTTTGTACAATCAACAAACCAATCCTCACCCCGCACATCGTTAGGCTTACCAGCGGCCACATTTTCAGCCCACCCTCAGCAATGTTCACTAAACGTCTAGCGGCGTTCAGCTGGCTCAGCCTTATCGCAATTTTACCCCATGTTACCCCCTTGTTACCCACCATTTCCCCGATTTTGCAACCCCTTTCTTACCCAAATCGTGCTAAAGGAGGCTAATAGCCGCCATCACGTGGTTGCGGGTGGCTTCCCAGTGGCTGTTGAATATTTAAGCCCTTGGTCTAACTGCTGTATGGCTTCGGAGATAAGTGTTGGTGAGCTGTTGAAGGGAGTTAGGAGGAGCTGTAACACCTTGTCAGCCCTAATGGGGAAGAGGTGGTGGGAGCTTTGCAGAATCGGCCTACTGTGCGGTCACTACCTATTGTCTTTAAAAGACTTTCAAGCCACTCAGGCCACTTGCAAAAGTGGGGTGTTGGTGATGAGGCTGACACGATCGACACGGTTTAGAGGGTTGAAGCCTTGAATCCTGCAGAGGTCTTTTTTAAGGGTTCAGGGGAAGGAATGAGATTATAAGGCTGTGGAAGCGCCATGCCATATGGTGTTAGGGGTTGTGGGTGGGGAGGCTGTTGAGATGTTGATAAATTCGTGCGGAACCCGTCACTCACGATCTGATATGCCTCCTCCTTTTTCCCATTTCTTGTTGTGTCGCGACGTGATTGATATCTGACAAGGTCGAAGCTCTCGCGATACTTTGACACTTCCTCTTCAACTCATCCAAGAACCTCCTGTCCATTTACACACTGAATAACCTAAGATACAACCTTGAAGGCATCTAATATGGCCTACGGTGAGTCCAACTCCCCCTCCCACCATGGTGACATCACCGGACTAACCACCTCACCTCTCACAGTCACCAGCCATCCCAGCTCCATGCCCACGTATTCCCTCTACCATAATCCTTTCCACAAAACCACACCAACGGAGTCCCTGAAGAGGTCCGCCATCGTATCCGAGATTGAGCTTCCCCTGGAAGATGATATATCAGCAATCCCTCGGACTCTCTCTGTTTCGTCAGAGCTGGATAAGCTCGCCCCTACCCCTGGACCAATTGAAACCACCATAAGAAATTTCGACAACAATAACAATAACATCATAAGCCCCGACTACTATCTTGCTCCCGTCCAAGACAATGACGACCGGGGGCAGGACCAGGACCGAAGGCAGGAGCAACCCACCCTCCTAACTTCCTTCAACGAACAAACTACCTCCCTGCTTCACGCATACTCCCAGTCACAAGCAGAAGCACAAGCACAAGCACAAGCACAAGCACAAGCACAAGCACAAGCACAAGCACAAAGCGAAGACGGAGACACCGACGGGATGCTGGAACAAGCGCTTGTATTAGGACATATATCTCTGGTCCTAGCATGTTCGCTTTACCCAGGGGCATCTTCCATGTCACAGACACAAGTCGAGGCACAAACTACAAGAGAGAGTCATACCCTGGGAGCTCAGGCTCGGGTAGTTGCGGCACTAACCAACATGGGAATGGCACTGGTGAGGCAGTTCGATCGAACGGAAGATAGGAGAAATTTGGAAGAGGCCGGGGGTCTTTATGCGATGGCGGTTACATTGGATATTGGAAGGGAGTTGAAGAGAATTGGAAAGGAGGAGAGGGTTGGAAATGGACAGAGAGAGAGACGAAAGGTGTCGGGGTGGGACAGACAGGAGGGAAGGCGTGATGGCGAGGGTGGAAATAAACATGGAGACGGGAATGCTGGTCAGCATGAGGATGGGTGCAGTGAGGTCTTGGTGCGATTGGAAAAGCTGGGAGAGTTGTTGGGTGAGCGAGGGTTTGGGAAGTAGATGTTTATAGTGAAGGTGAGCGAGCTACAGGCGGATATTCTTTTATTTCCGACTCCTGGTTCAATTCTTGCTTTTGGAATTTTGGAGGTTTGGTTAGCACAACGATGGCAGCGATTACCTAGTAATGTACTCTTTGATTGAGGAAGAAATCGTAAATGGATATATGTCTTCATGATGGTTTGAGGTGGTGAGCTTGATGAAGCAAGAGATTAGAAAATCGAAACGGCTTACCTATTGAACCATGGTGAGGACCATATGGCGGCACATCCTACTGTTGAAGAAGAGAATAAGCGCTAGAGCAACCACATATCACTGGGCGGGGATCCGGGGTGGTGACTGCCTTTTGGAAACAGATGCCGCTTCCTTTAGCCACTTTGAGTGTTGCTGACTGTCAGCCGTCAGGCAGTAGTTTGGAGGATGGAGTTTGAACTAGGTAGAGGTCTGTTTCTCTTGATCTGTTCCCAATTCGTCAACTCGAAGCTCACCTCTGCCCGAGCAACATCCAATTCGATCCTTCATTCGAACACTATTTTCTAAGAAAATATCATCCTCGCCGATTATGGTCATTCACAAATTCCTAACCTCTCCGCCATGGAGGCGCTCCCAAAAAGGCGCTTAGGCGTGCCTTCCGATGACGTCCAGCCTGAGCATCAGTCAATTGTTCTCGAGGATGGTGCGAAGCTCTGCTCTTTTTGCTCACAAATCCCGGCCCAGTTCTGGGCAACGGAACCTGACGGAGAAGAGACCATTCCCGCCACGCTCCAGCCGCTGAGAACAATACTAGAAACGGCAGAGAAAAAAGAATGTCGTCTATGCTACTTCCTCCATGCAAGACACAGGTCTGGTGTCTGGACGGACACCGTTGGTGGACATGTGGTTTCGGCCGACGACCTTCCAGACACACAAGAGGGGCCTCAAAACATCCATGCCATCAGGTACATATAACGCTGCGATCGATAGTCATGATTTCTTCGGCATTCACGTTCGTGATACCTCCAAAGACAATGACGAGTCATCATCGCTCTACCGTCTACTCTCGCACGCCCCGCAGTATTGGCAAAACGAATACGACGGTTTATCCGCGCCAGAACTTGCCACCACGAGGCACGGAAAGATCTTCCACCCACTCGGTTACCGCGCGTGGGTTTTCCAAGAGAAAGAGCTATCGAAGAGAACAATCCACTTTGGCCACGACCAGCTGCTATGGGAATGCTGCGAGGCCAAAGGCACTCCGCAGCTGCCATGGACGCATATTCCCGGTGGCGGGAGCGTGGTGGAAAGCGTGACGCGGCTGGGTTGGAAATAGTTGTACGACCCCTACAGCTACAACCAAAGCAGTGGTGGGTCGCCGGAGCACATCGCCTTCGCCATTCAGATGAAAATCCGCTGGTTCGCGCTGTTGCAGAGCTATAGTGCGCGAGCCCTGACCGAGGTGACTGACAAACTACCAGCTCTTCGGGTATAGCGCAGGCCTATAGGAAATTCCTCCCCAACGATATCTCTACGCAGTACCTTGCCGGAATATGGAGCGCACATCTGCCGCAAGCGTTGCTATGGGAACAAGCTGGCGGCGGCGGCGGGCGTAGATCAGGATATATCGCTCCTACCTGGTCGTGGGCCAGCTACGGAGGGGCGATATCATATAGCCCCGTCCGTTTCCAGCAGTATCAAGCGATGGAATCCCGAACCGAGTGACATCCAGCAGAGCAATGGCTGGACGAGCTCCAAATGGTCAACATGAAAGGAGAACCTGATCACCAGAACGGCAACGAGTACGGTGCCCTCAAGGAAGGGGCGGCGTTGGTCCTAACCGGTGCCCGTCTTTTCGAAATTGATCCCGATCTTGAGGGTCGGAACGGAACAGGAACGTTTGCCTTTCGTCGCATAGATGATGGCTTAACGGCTGAGTATTTTGAGCCGGATTGGAATGAAGATGGGACAAAACTGTCTGAGGGCAACCTGGTGTGTTTAGGTGTCTCATACTTCCATCTAGCGAGCCCGGCAGGCGTTCAGTGTCTTGTGCTCAGGGAGTATCTTCAGAAAGACGGAAATCTTGCGTACAGAAGGGTAGGATGTATAGTCAGAGAACTGTTGGTCCAACCATCCTTGTGGGATGGTTCAGAGGCATGCCGGATAACACTAATCTGATCTGAAGATCGGGGGTCAGATAGATGTCAATCTCCTTGTATTTGTCTTCTTGGGTTGTCATCTGTGAGTGAGCATATCAGAACCATACTAGCCAGCGTTTCTTTTTTTTTGGTTTGGAAATATGTATAACCACAATCTCGGTATTAACTGTCCAATGCAACCGAGTTCTGATAAAAGCCAATACCAAGACGTGCAGGAGGAAAAAGATATCTCTGACGGAAATCTAACTTCGAACCTCCAGTCCCTCCTGAAAGCTTCAATTATAAGCAAAAAGCACGGGAAGCACATTCGATGGGGCGCTAGGTATTGTTGGTGGTGGTAGTGGTAGGGCGCAAACATAGAGCTGGTCGAATTGATGATCGCGAAGGTGTTAATGGGGTTTTGTCAGTGGCGGTGCTAGAGTAGCTAGGACGGCTTTTGGATGAGCGAGGAGGTGAGAGCTGGGAGCGGTAGGTAGGAGGTAGGTAGGTGTAGGTAGGTACCTTAGGAATACGGGTAAGGTTGTGAAGACCTAACGAGTGCATATATACATACTTCTTTGACGAAATGGCTTTTGGTTGTATGTTGCTCTATCGGCTGGACTTCATTAAAGCCAAGTACATATGTTCTCCTTGTCGACTCAGCAGGCTCTCCCCACCACCGATACCCCTTTCTCTTTGAAGGTTTGACAATCTGAACATGAATGACCCTTCTGCTTCCATGTGAAACAATACCGGTATCCTCGCCACTCGCTCATTTTAGTATAATCCTTCGCGGTTCAACACCCTCAAACAATGACACTTCCATACTGTCAAAACAACCCACCCGGCAATACGTAACGACAACTTCCTCTTCATGGACTTCCTTCAGAAGTATTCCCTCCATCATATCAACATCACCGCTCTGGTGTCTAATACCCAAACACATCAACACACCGCCACATGTCTCGATCACATCCGTAACATCAGGTGTAAGGCACGCTACTACCAATCCGTTCTTCAAATTTACCCTCCAACTTATATCACTTTCCAGGGATTCTGGCCCATCTGGATAAGGGTCAACTTCAATCATCCTCGCACCACTCAGGACCAAAAGCGCGCCACTAAGCGCCCCATAGACATCCTCGTACTTGGGTTCCACACGCATCTCCTCCACAGCCCAGCGGCGTATTTTCCGCTAGGAAGATACTCCTCTTTGTAAGCCTGGGCCACTCCTGAGAAGGCAATTAGCCTGTCCATTTCCTGTGTTAAGAGCCGGAGGCCATAATCGTTCACCAGGCTCCACCACCGCCCTTCAAGCCTATACTCCTCAAGAGAGGCAGCTGCTAGGTCTCTGGTTTGGGGGTCATCTTGTAATTGCGCCCACTCGTCAAATCTGCCGGTGTCCGTAATCATCGGAGACGGTGGTCGAAATTCTATCTCCTCCCACGGCAGCTGAGCTGTCCCCTTGAGCTCGCCACACTCCCACAGCAATCCCGATTTACTAAAGTGGATTACCCTTCGCGATAACTTTCGTTCCTGGAGTGCCCAAGCGCGAAAGCGAAGGGGGCTGGTGTCGTTAACGCCTTGGGGGACGCTTCCGTTGTACGCTTCGATCCATCTGTATAGTTTGCCCGAGAAAATGCGGTGATAGGATTGGGATGAAGTGCTATTGGCATCACAGTCACCGTTTGTAGTGGTTGCAGCAATGTCGACGAACGAGTGATCTTCGTGTTGGATATCGAATTGTTGTAAACCCTCGCTGCTATCTTTGGAGCTGAGGGCATCTAGCGTGCAATAAGCGTGGGAGTACACTTTGGCCATTAAGCTGGCTTCGCGAGCCCAGTCTTGCTCAGAGTCTTGGATGATGCAGAGGGAGTCGATCCAGAGGTATCGTTGGCCTAGTTTTCGGGTGATGTCGATTGTGTCTTGAAAGGTTTTTGGAAGGTCAGGAAAAGAGATTCTGCTTATGTGTCCTGAAAGATTTGCCCTGGTTGTTGTAGCTGGACGCTTGGAGGGTGGTCACCAACAATGGCTTAAGGTGATGTAGGACGGGGCCTTATCACACCCGAATTCATTTGAATCTAGGTAGGCTAGTTTGACGTCGTCTCCGAGGTTTGGCGCTTCGCCACATTTGAACGCTTCGACACCCAAGAGTCTGGTGGGCAGAAAGTCCTCCGAGTTTTTCTTGCATTTTGTATGGTTTCGTTGGCAATGGTCTAACCAGTCCTTCATGAGCATGACGTTGGATTCCGCATTATTCTCATTGTAGCCTGCGAGGGGCAAGAACTGGGGGCCTACGTGAGAGGGTGGGTGCTGTGAGTAAGTATGAAGCAAAGCGTTCCCAACAACGAGGCACAAAAGAGAATGTCACTTACACCATGAAGATGGAGCACGGAAGACTTACCGGAGAAGATGCTTACGTTATTGACACACTGGAAGGTGATATCATTGGTGTACGGAGCCATGTCCCTCCAGAACGTCAACGGGGTATTCACAGACGTCTCGTCATCTCTGGGATCGCTGTTTGGATATCCAAAGAAATGCCCAGGCAGTGAACTGCGGTCTTTGAACATGGTGATCATGTTGCACAGGTCGCATCTATCGTTCTTTGCTTCGGATTGCATATCTTTCCACGATCGCAGTGTGAGTTCGGGCTCATTCCTGGTGTCAAACCGCCAAGTGTACCTGCTCACAGGTGTTTCCCAAGAGAGGGATTCGATCCAGGCAGGAACCTGCGAGCAGACGTCGCAAAGTTCTGGGGCCATTGCGAGGCTCAAGATATACCGGAGCCGCTTTGAAGTCGGCAATCAGCGAGGTTTGGTTCAAGGTTGAGCAGCTGTGGTAATCATGTTGAACTCCAAGCAGGTTTCCGCGAACTTGAACGGCTGAGAGACATTGATGCCTGATCGGAAGGGAACCAATGAAAGATAACATGGCGCCCCTGCTTCGTGATGACAAAAGAAGAAAAAGACAAACAGAAAGAATAGCAGCGGAAACAAATCGGGACTGAGATCAGAGCAAGAAAAAAAAAACATCAAAAAGAAGAGGTCGTACCCGGAATCGAACCGGGGTTGCCGGAATGTTCTGAAGCAATCAGAATCCGGAGTGATAACCGCTACACTATACAACCCTCGAAGTTGTTGTGGTGCTTCTTGTTATGTGCGTGTGCCGGGATGCGGAGTTATGTACTTTGGGTGAGGCAATTCGGAACTTTCTTGCGAGGTGGGGCAGATGTGGGGTTGTGGACATTGGGCCGTGGGCTTGATGGGAAAAGCCGCAGGTGCCCGCCCCGAGCTCGCTGGAAGCATACGATGTCTGTCGCTCGAACTCGATGTGACTTTGGATTGGAGTGGCAAAGGCGACGATGCAGAAAGATGTTGATTTCAGAAGTAGGAACGGGAAAGAAAGGGAAAAACTAGGCCAGCGTCGATACCCCCAGGACGGAAGTGCCAGTGAAAGGAAACATAATGAATGGGCGCCAAGAGGTATGACTGGCCAACACTCTGTCGGGCTCAAAAAGGGCGTGATCAATTGAAGGGATTCGAAAGTGTGTAGAAGATGGAGAACAGAAGAAGGGAGTTTCTAAGGCCTGGGCATAGATGTCAGATTGTCAGGTACAAGACCCGAATTCTCGTGCCCGACCTTTTTTTTCCTGCTGTGCATGGCTTCCTTCCTTCTACAGCTATGTATGCCTTCCCAAACCTGAGCCTCACACGATGCTCCTTCTTGTCGCGACAGCCTCCTTCCTGATACTACTATGCTGACATGTTGTGCCTTCTGTGCAAGTATGCAAACCGGTGGTGCCTTCCTTCCCTATGGAGGAGTGGGATGTGCGGGGCAGGTCGTTCCGACGCGGTTCATGCACTTGTAACACTCACTCAGTCTTTCCACGACAAAAGCGAGACAGGAATTACAAGCCAGGAAGAATGCAGAAAAAAAAAGTAAGACGGAAGAAAGAAATTCGGTGAACAGAGGAAAACAGAAAGAAAAAACGAAACATATGAGCAGAAGGAATCATAAAAATGACAAAAGAAAGAGGTCGTACCCGGAATGAACCGGGGTTGCCGGAATAATCTTTCTGATGATTTTTGACTCAGAATCCGGAGTGATAACCGCTACACTATACAACCGCTGGTTGTTGCTTGTTGCTTTGTTGATGCAATTTCGCAAACCTGGTACTCATATAGGACTATGCTGCGCAACGCAATGCATTTATTCACACAAGAAGTACGGCTAACGACCAAGCAAGACACGCAATTTGAGGTACTCATATCTTAATTTACACTTTAGATTTACATATATGGGTCTTTCTGCTTGCTTTCTCTGCAGGTGCTCCTTTGACTTGCATTCTCCGTTCTGTTGGAAATTCCGTTGCAGTCCCTGGAAATCCGATGAGCAACCAAGAACAGAAGATGACAGAAAAGGAAGAAAAAGAAAAAAAAATAAGAAAGAGATGAGGGAGAAAAGTGCAGAAAACAGAGGAGAAGGAGAAACTAAGGAAACGGACAGTGACGCATGACTTCCTGCGTCGATCCAGCAGTAGCAATTGCTATGCCCTAGGTCTCGTGTTTCCATGCATCAGACGGGAAGAAAAGAAAGACAAGAAAATGTTCATGATGAAAAGGGGGAAATGGTGATGAAGCAATGAAGCATTGGATATTTCCAAGTTTTAGAGAGCATTGAACAGTGTCGCAGAATAAGGAAAAGACAAAGAGAGTATCAGACGGTATAAGAGAGCATTAGAGAAAAATGAAGAACGGCAGAGAGCAACGGGGAGTATCAAGCTGTATCAAGGAGAAATGCAAGTGATGGGACATCAGAGATCAGGGCAAAAGAGAGTATCAAGGAGCAATGGAGAACAATGGGGAGCACCACCACGATATCTCCATTTGTTAGTAGTCTATTTGCACATCAATTTGGTAGTCTCACGTAGTATATTCAAAAGTCTTGAACACACCAATCTCTTTCGCCATCTCAAGATTGTCTCCTGCGCATGTGCGTACACATGGTAAAGTACAACTACTTGTCAAGATCTCGGTTTGGTATTTTCTTCCTTAGGACATATACATAAGATACCTCGCGCATGAGGATGCTACCTCACCTCTATGGTATCTGTTACGACCCCAAAAAGGCCAAAAAAGACAACGATGACGGAACGAAAGAGGGCAGGATAGCGTATCAACATCAACATACCTATCATATTATACTCTACTATACCATAAATGCTTCTTCATACCTTAGGCATACCTTAGGCACGAACGGGCTGGATTATAACACCACAGCATGCATCTAGACATCTAGATATATTGCGTATTACAAAGAGATACACCCGACCTCTCGCTCCAGCTAATCTCCCGTCTTCTGACCTTCTTCTGATCTTTTCTGATCTTTTTCGACCGCAAGCAAATTTCCCGAACCACACTTAGTTCCACTTTCATCTCTCATCTCATCCCTCCTACGTAGTTCCAGGAAGTTACTGTTCGTTGCAGTTGCACTGCACTGCACTGGATTACACTGACCCAGGGGCAACAAAGCAAAGCGAATCATATCATATCGTATCAATATCAATATCAATATTATCTGGCCTGTCCCCTTATTCTAGTTACCAGTTACCATATGTACCATCCAGGCCACCCACCCTCACCACCCTTGCGCAACCCGCCCATCACCAACCATGCTCATGCTATGCAGATCTGATCAAACAAGCAAACAAACAATGCGAGAACCATAAGAAAAAAAAAAAAGAGGGAACGCTGTCTACGAACATTCTATCGCCGACCCGAACAAAGCCAGTCACTCAGAAAAAGAAACCGTCACCATTCGCACCGAAAAAAAAATCATCTTCTTCCCCTCCTGGGATCCAAAGCCTCTGCCCTCCTCGCATCCCGAATCTCCTTCGTCCCCAAACTTCCCAAGCCGCCTTCCATCCTCCTCTCCCACCCGCCGAGCCTGACCACAAGACACGTAGCATTATCGCCATCGGCCGACACCTCGGTCGCATACTCGACAACATGTTTGGCTCCTTCCTCGGGAGTCTTGGCCTCCTTGATCACATCCACAACTTCCTGGTCACTTAAGGTACCGCTGACACCATCGCTCATGAGTACCAGAAAGGAGTACTCGGCCGGCTCCATGTTCACCCGGATGATATCCGGCTCGGCGGACACGCCGATGCGCTTGGATTGCATGTCGCCGAATGATCGACTGTTGGCGAGGCCCGAGATGCGTTCTTCGCCGAAGGAGTCGGTGATTAGAGACTCGGCATAGCGCATTAGGCGACGGGTCTCGGTGGGGCTGGAGGGGTGGTGGTCGTGGGTTAAGGGGCGAGGAAGACCCGTGGCCGTCTCACAGAGCAAGACCCTGGTGTCGCCTACGTGGGCGACCAGTAAAGTGCTGTGTGCGGCCGGGTGCCAGAAGGGTGCGGGTGTCGGGGTGGCGATCAGGGCGATCGAGGCCGTGGAGCCGCCCTTAAAGCGCGCGGTGCCGCCGATGCCGTGCCCGGAGGGCGGGAGGTGCGGCTGACCGAGGACTTCGTCCTTGTTGACGGGGTAATCGGCGATGTGAGGGTCGTCGGGGTCGGGCTTGCGCGCTTGGGCAGTGATGAAATCGAGGTCGGCGCGGAGGAAGGCGTAGGTGAGAACGGACTCGACGGTTACGGGCGTGGTGACGGGGGTTTCGTCGATTTGCTTCTGGAGCCTGTTCTTGAGGGTGCTATCGTCCATCGAGGAGGCGGCATTGGAGCGGGCCCGCGCGGCAGCTCGTTCTGAAAAGTAGCGGCAGTTGAAACGGCGGAAGTAGCCTCCTACTGTGTTGCGGTATTCGCCTAGGAGGCTGGCTTCAAGTTCTTCGGCTTTGGCTTCGTCTGCTCCTGCTGGTATGGGATCGTCTCCGTCAGGGGGTGGTTCGTGGGAAGCTTCTTCGACAACAGCATTGCCCCTTGTTTCCGGTACGTTGAGCTGGTCCTGGACTTCTTCGGGACTCTTCATGTCGACTCGACCAAGTGCATCTCTGCCGCTCCTGGGCGCATTTCCCAACGTGTCCGATGGAGGGTTACTCAAGCTGTCGAGGCTTGAGCCCTGATTTTGTAAACTGCTCTTGAGGCCAAAGTCCAGTGCTGCTTGTTCAATATACCCATGTAGCTCGTCCCTTAGGAACTCGCTGCACTCGGTGCCACCATGACCATCAAAGACACCAAAGTAGAAGATCTGGGGGTCTCCAAAGGAGCTGTTGGCGGTGGTGTTCTCGGTAAGAGACCGCGACTGACGGCGAACCAGGCTCATGGGGGCTCGCTTGGCGAATGACGGCATGCTGATGGTACCAGCCTGGTTCGTATCTTCATTGTAGTTACGCTGGCCGCGAGAGACGGACGCGCCAAAATGGTGTTTCGCGCTTCGTAGGGGAATTCGGACGACGGTGAGGTCGCGACCGGGTATGTTGGGAGGTACGGCAGCAGGAGCAGCTCCGGGGTCTTGCTTGTGTGGTACCGATGCCGATCGCGGGAGCTTATGGTGGGGATGTTGTAAGCGGGAATCAGGATGTAGGGAGGACGACGGCAAATGGGTGACGAAGTAGTTGTGGAACTTGCGCTTCGAGGATCGATCAGTAAGGCTATGGGTTCGGAAGCGGTCACAAAGCTCTTCGGTGCTTGCTGTCGAGCTGAGGGAGGTTCTCGAAGGTCGTGCATATGCATGGAGGTAACGTCTACCGACTGCAGTGCGCAGGACCCGCGGACCGGGCATCGTTACTCGTCTCATCGTGGGTCGCGTAGCTGTGGGAGGATGGTGGAAGAAAGTAGAGAGATATCCCATAAAAGCATCCAGTAGTTCGGTGTCTTGGGCAGCTCTGGGAGCTTTCGAGGGAGCAGCAGCGGCGGTGGTGTGGAAAGAAACAGGGTCGAGGTGTTGGAGAGCAGATACAAGAGACTGGGTAGGGGGACGACGGCGCACAGCGGCCATTGCCTACTGAACTCTGAAGGTGACGACGAGGAGGTGTCAAGACACGTTGTAGGGAAAGACGGAGAGAACAAGTGAGAATAGAAAATTTGCATCTGCTCTAGTGAGCATGTCTCGAAGGGTGGGAAAGGGGAGATGGGGAGATGCTAGGGGAAAAAAAACCGAGAGAGAGGAAACTGGCCGAAAAGGTTGACGTCGAACTTCTTGGCACGACATGGACCTGTGTGGTGGGCGACATGGACGACAAAGTGCACGATACTGGTCTTGGTCGGGGTGGGCTTGTCTTGGGCCATCCAGTAGCGGTCTCGGCCGCCCGCTATGTTACCTAATATTTACTGGATTTTTTCACTGCTTAGCCACTACGCCAACCTTATTACCACGTTTCACTCCAGTTGTGGGCGGGAAACAAGCAAACACCTTGATTGATTGATTTGAATCTGCAGGATCTGAAAACACAAGGCAAACTGCATCAAACGTAAATCTGGAAAGGGGGTTCGTTCTCCTTTCTTTCTGAACGAGACATCCATTGGTTCCGGTTCCGATCTCGGAAGACCCGGTTTCTGCCCTGAGTGAGATGAGGATGGATGAGACGGGACCTTGGAGCTCAGCTGTGCAAAACATTGCAATACGAAAGCGGTAATTACCCGTACCAGTTCGGTCAAATTGTGGAGTTTACGAGAAACGTCATCTCTGTGTACAAGCTTCCATTGCTTCAATGCTTCGAGCCTTCAAATGCATTCCCGGTGCTGATCACCACCGCCCGCCGGGCGGACCACTGACAGCGCGCACTGCACCTGTCAAAGTCACTACCTGCACTAACAATTTCGCCTTCTTTGGATTACAAACCCGCTTTTGCCGCTTCATCAAATGATCTATCTAGACTTGTCAACAACAGCAGGACTCCATAGACATTTCTATTTCTCTGATTAAGTGAAGAGTTGGACTCGTGGCGTTTTCGTCTCAGTGATGAATCACAAGTGAGTAAGAAACATGAGGCGTCACGGTCGATGAATTTTGTTCTCAAAGATGTCATGCACAGTTTTCGTCTTATCCAGGCATGTTAGCGTGAAGTTCTGTGACGGGAACAACTCTGGCTGATCACGTAATCTTCGATATCAGACATTGACAACAAACTGTTGACATCAATGTATGGAGTTCGTCAACGCAACTTCAAGAAGTACTCTTGAGTTAGGTAAACTTGGAAGGGTTCCATTCTATCTCCTACTTTTTTCTAGCGGATCGAATAAGGACGGAACGGGCATTGACAGCTGCATGGAAGTCCCTCTCATCAATCACCTCATCCCGTCTCAAACCCACCATGTCAACAACACCCACCAAACTACCTGTACCACCCATCAATGGCGGTAGCACCGACGACTCTTCAGATTTTGAGATCATCGAGATTGCCCCCAACGGCGATATCGTCCTCGACGTAACCTTCGAAACCTCAAAGCCCGTCATCCTTGCTGCCAAGAAAGCCTTCGCCGCCTATTCCGCCCGACCAACTCCTCGTCAGGCCAGCAAGGCACCTGGACAAGGACCGGCAAAGACACTCGCAAAACCACCCAGGCCACCACCCAAGCCCAGAGTGAGGGTTGGTTTTCGTGTTCATCTATCGGTGTTGAAGGAGCATTCACCTTACTTCGCCCGCCTACTATCGGACACGCGTTTTGCCGAGGCCAAAGCTGTTGAAGCGGCGCTTGCTAAGCTTTCGTTGGAAAATGTCAGCCCTGGGGAGGCGGACTGGACTCAGTTGCCAAGGGTGGCCATCAGAGAAGATGATGAGGCTACGCAGAGCGCCGAGGTGAGGTATGTCTTTCATGACTTGATGTACATACTACATTATGGGGGGCTGCCGGCACCGCCAGCACCACCGGCAGACGAAACACCACAGGCTGCAGACGCAACACCGCCGGCAGAATTTATAGGAGTACCACCACCGACCTCAAAGGCAGCATCAGTACCTACCTCAAAGCCAGTATCCAAACCGGCAACGAAGACAGCAACACCCGTAAAGGGCCAAAGGCCAGGACGAGCACCAGGCAAGACACCAGTCAAAACCCAGTCAAACGGCCTGAAAAAGCCGCTCGAAAAGGCACCACCAAAGCCAGGGGCAGATGAATCCAAACAGCCAACACCACCACCTTCACAACCCCCCCTGACAATCCCCTACCTAATCACCCTCTGCCTCCTGGCCGACCGCTTCTCCTGCATCCCCTCCCTCTCCCGTCTCGTCTCCTCCTCCCTCGCCACCAACTCCCCTCTCACGCCCCCGATCCAAATCCAGACCCAGATCCAAACCAAATGGCCACCCACACCAACCCGCATCACGAAAGACCAAGACGGCCACGTCCTCACTCTAGCTAGTGAAGAGCTTTTGCGTCAAAAGATTTTGGTTTCTTGGTTATTGAATTTCCCAGTCAAGTTCCAGGCTGCTACGAGGGAACTGGTTATGTATGGAAGTAGGAGATGGACGCTTTCTGCCCCGGTTGAGGAGGAGGCGGACGATGAGGAGGGCGGCGGCGGCGGCGGCGGAGGAATTGAACATAGGTTCAAAGCCCGCTGGTGGGAACTGCCTGACTCATTGGAAGAGGAATTGTCGTACCGGAGAAACTGCCTGCTCTCAGTCCTGGCTTCCATCCCCCGCCACTTCTTGCGACTGTACATCGTCCGCCCGCCACAGACTCGTTCGATAATCACGAGCAGCGCAGGCGTAGGAGCCAGCTTCACATCCAACGCCGCCTCGGCTTTGCAAGCGGCTGCTCAGGGAAGGCAATGTAAGATGGGGTATGAGAGCAGCATGAGTTGCGATAGTTATCAGTTGGGGGAGATGATCCGGTTTCTTTGCACGAAGGGGTTGTTAAGTCTGGTGGATTTCAGCCCAATGAGCTTTGATCGTGCTATCAATCAGTATGATGGCGGGGAGAACCCCCTTGCAAAGGTCGACGCTGGTAACGCGCCGGGGGCGGGTGTAGTGTTTGGACCTCCTAAACCTTCCACTGGTGGTAAGGGGGCAGGGACAGACAATGGGCTTGGAGGCATCTCAACGATGGAAATCAGCCACTTCATTTCAATCCTGCGCCAGTGTCCGAGTTATCAAATTGATCGGAATCATACCAATTGCGGCTTCCGGACGAGGATCCTGCCGCTTTTGGAGTACGTACAGGCTATGCTTGGTAGCGAGACCATTGCCATCAAGAGAGGCGACTGGGATAAGAGGAGGGAGGAGGTCAGTTGGGTCAGTTTGGTGCAGGCGCGAGAAGAGGATGACAATGACAGGGAGAAAAAGAAGAAGGTGTTCAAGTTCACCAGAAGTCTGGCGGCTGATCCAAGAATGAGATATGCTGGCACGCTGGGAACGAATAAGATGGCGATGGAACTGTTCCTCGCTGACGAGTGGGATTGGACGGCAGAAGAGTATTGAGGGCTGTTTGTTGTTGTTGTTGTTGTTGTTGTTGTTGTTGTTGTTGTTGTTGTTGTCTGCCCCTGGGGACGAATACAGGACGGGGTGTTAGTAACATGAGTTGGCGTTTAGACGGGAACATATTGTTGATCAAAAGCTACTTACATGAACAGGTAAACAGATAGAGTATAGAAGCGGACAAGACGCCATTTCAACAGTTGCATCCGGCAACACCTCGCGATCCAGGGCCTTTCAGGTTCAGGCCAGTTGGCTGGTGGTGGGCAGATATAATGGGGGTGGTCAAGACCTGCCCGTGGCCTTCTTCCAGCTCAGCTTGTCGAAGAGACTAGCTTTCTCGCTCGTGTCATGGCGCGACGACGGCTCGGTTGCAGACATGCTGCCATTGTCGATCTCAGTTTTCTGTGGAATCATTATCCATTTCCCTTTCACCTCGCGATATCTCATTACGAGAAAAGAAACAATGGCGACCAGCCAATACAGATTATAGGCAACGACGGAGCCGTATGTCGCCGAGTTGGTCCAGCCGAATATAGCGTTGAAGATGCCCCAACCGCCTCCGCCATTGACAGTGGGACTACAGCAGTCCACATGCCAGGCTGACTTGTCAACATCGTAGGATCCAGGGCCGCTGCCGAGTTCCGCAGCATCACTTCCGATGGCATTAGCCCATTGCTGGTTCTCGAAGGCCCAGATCGCTCGCGAGAAGAGGCCGGCTGCGACGAGGTAGAGGAGTGATGTTGAGAGAACGAGGAAGAGTTGTAGCTTGGTGGACGACCCGAAACTAGAAATAACCTCATCAGTTACCACTTAACCGACGATGGGAAGGGAAGAAGAGACTCACTGGTAAAGAATAACCCCAACCAAAGCTCCCACGATGATTCCAACAATAGCAGGAATCGGGATTGAGCTCGCGGGCGCCGCAAAGGACACACCGGCAACGAACACAATCGCCTCCACGCCTTCTCTCAACACTGTCACAAAGGGCAGTACGAACATGACATACCTTTCCATCCACATCTTCATCTTCGGCCACCAGTACTGTCTCTTTTCTGCGCCAGCCATCTCTCCTCTTTCCGTATTTGCCTCCTCATCTTGACCCTCCTCCCTTGGAGCTGTCTTGTCGGCGCCCTTCTTCTTGTTTCCCCTCCCATCCATAGATTTAACCATTCTCATCCTCCACCGCTCCCTCATCCTGCCCACCCTTAGCAACGCCGCACCTACCACACTGATAATCAAACTTGCCAACAAACAAAACGCTCCTTCCCAGTTCAGCTCCGCCCCCGAGGTCTCCCACTTGTCGACGCCGAGAGTGTAAAAGATCCCGATGACGGCGCCGCCGATGATGATACATAACAGCAGGCCGGAGATGGTGCCTAAGAGAATTTGTCGGCGGAGGGCTTTATACAGACGGAGATCCACGGGCTTTGAATTGGAGAGGGTGAGAGGTTCATCATGCTGGGGTAAATTTTGCGCAGGGCAGATCGTTCCGCCTTGCTGGTCTGGTGTAGCTTTGGGGCTGGGTTCAGCGGCTTGGTCAAGGGCAGTTGTCTTTGGGGACTCTGGCAATGATGGAGTGGCAAGAGTTTGCTTGAGAAAAACGAGGAGGACGGAGACGATGATGGCTGTCTCAAGGGTCTCGCGGAACACGAGGAGGAAGATGGGAACGGAGAAGAGTTGCATGATGGATTGTTTGTTGTTGGATGTCGCTGGGACGGCTGATGGCAAGTTGATGATGGAGATTTCGATGGTGGAAAACCCGAAAAAGAAAAAGAGAAAAAAAAAAAGAAAAAAAAAAGGGGAACATTACCTCTTGAGTGGTGCCGTTCCTTCTTTTGACAGGATGGGCGCAACTTCCCGAAGTACGTTTGAAAAGGACAGGTGTATAGGGAAGGAACACACGGCATCTTTGTGCGCCATGGAGCCCTGCAGGGAAGGAGAGTCCTGCTATTTCCAAGAACGGAGGAAGGAACTAGCCGTGCACTGAGCAAGTGATCATGCAGGTGTGCACAACAGGACTTGCCCATATTTTCAAGTTCATCGCTGTCGTCTCACTTGCCTTCCAGTCTCCAGCTACGAAGTGGCCCGCCTGCCATGTCGACTGTTTCGGCCTGGTGTTAGCTGCGAATACAAAGACGGATCACTGCCATGGTAGCATTGAAGCCTCAGTGGGTGGTAGAGATGTTCGAGATATTGAATCCTCAGTCCGCTGTAGATTCATTGATAAGATAAGTGCTTCCGTCGGCAGACGCTTCCCCCACTGTCGTTCTACCTCGATTAAGAAGCTCACACAGTTATGCAGCGGGTGATTCACTGTCCGGTGCTACCTACGCATACCCGGGGTAGGAATGACTTCCCCATGTTCACCTTGCCGGTTCTCGTGTCACGAAAAGGTGACCGCGGGCTTTTTGGTCTCGATATGGAAGGAGCTTGCCTGACGCGACGAGACTTCCAAGGCCCAGGCCTAGGTGACACTCTGTGGGACTGATGGGAAAGAGCGAATAATAACTCGTTTCAATCCCCTGAAAGGATAAACCCAGGCTTCATCGGATCCTCAGAGAAACTTTGAAATTCGTCTACTGATGGGTCTTCTGCATCACGAGTCTCCACACAATGAAGATATTTCCACAGATCGCTCTTCTTTCCATGACCACAGCAGCAAATGCTGCCACCGTCGCCTACGATTTCAACGTATCATGGGTCACGGCAAATCCAGATGGCCTAGTCGAGCGACAGGTCATTGGAATCAACGGCCAATGGCCACCTCCGAGGATAGACGCCCAAGTTGGTGATCGCCTGGTCGTCAATCTCTTGAACTCGCTCGGAGACGAAGACACTTCCCTCCATTTTCACGGCTTGTTCATGAACGGGTCAACTCACATGGACGGCGCCTCCATGGTCTCACAATGCCCGATTCCCCGGGGAGCCAGCTTCACCTACGACTTCACTATTGACCAACCGGGCACTTACTGGTATCACTCACACACCCAAGGCCAATATCCGGATGGCTTTCGAGGACCCTTCATTATTCACGATCCCAAGACCCCGTTTCAATACGACGAAGAGCTTGTTCTCACCGTTTCTGATTGGTATCATGAACGAATGTCTGCATTGCAACCGCGTTTCATGAGCAAGTATAACCCAACTGGAGCCGAACCGGTACCAAACTCTGCGCTCATGAACGACACTCAGGACTTGACCATCCCTATGATACCCGAAAGAACTTACTTGTTCCGCATGGCGAACATTGGAGCTTTTGCTGGTCAGTACATATGGATTGAAGACCATAACATGACTGTGGTTGAGATGGATGGTGTCTATGTCCATCCTACGGAGACAATCATGGTCTATCTGTCTGCTGCTCAGAGATGCAGCTTTCTCCTCAAGGCCAAGAAAGAAACTTCACGAAACTTTCCGATCATAGCCAGCATGGACACGGTAAGTTACCTCCCTCCTTATCCGCAAGTCAGCGTGCTAATATCAGAACATAGACCCTCTTCGACACTATCCCCCCTTCCCTCAACCCAAACGTAACCAGCTACCTTCTCTACAACAAAACCGCGCCCATGCCCTCACCAAGTCCTCTTAAATCTTTCACACCCCTCGATGACACTCACCTCCGTCCCCGTGACAACCTCGACATCCTCCCCCTTCCCGATCAAACCATAACCCTCAATATATCCATGTCCAACCTCGCCTCTGGCGCCAACTACGCCTTCTTCAACAACATCACCTACGTCTCTCCCCTCGTACCCACTCTCTACACCGTCCTCTCCTCCCCCAACACCTCCGAAATAACCAATAACCCCTCAATATACGGCACCTACACACACCCCTACATCCTGCCCCACAACTCCATCAACCAACTAGTCCTCAACAACCTCGACACAGGCCGCCACCCCTTCCACCTCCACGGCCACAACTTCCAAATACTCCATCGTTCCGGTGCCGACGAAGGACCCTGGTCCAGATCAGCCAACAACTCCGCTTACAACCACAAAGCCCCGATGCGCAGAGACACGCTCGTAGTGGAACCAAACGGCAACGCAGTCCTACGATTCAAAGCTGATAACCCGGGCGTGTGGTTATTCCATTGTCATATCGAGTGGCATATGATTAGTGGGTTGGCGGTGACTTTTGTTGAGGCTCCTGAGGTTCTACAGCAGAGTTTACAGATACCAGAGGATCATTTCTCTGCTTGTAAACGTCAAGATGGCAAGGGGAGTGGGAATGGGAATGGGAAGGATATTTCGGTTGTGGGAAACGCTGCTGGACGTGGAGATCCTGAAGGAGACCCAAAAGAGTGGTTGGTTCTAGACGGACAACCTTCCCCGCCGGGAGAGTTGCACTCGCGATTCACCCGGGGAGGGGTTGTGGCTTTGGCTATCAGCTGTCTTACGGGGGTCTTGGGCGTTGCGGTAGTAGGCTGGTATGGATTTTCCGAACCTGTTACCAATCCTAAGGCTGAGGCTGCTGCTGAGGAAGGGTTTCTGTCTGGAGCACAGTATTCAGACAAGAGGAAATCAGTTGGTGATGGTGATGCTCTTCATGTTGGATTATTTGATGGTGGTGCGGATGCAGCAGCTCCGCCTCCAGGGAAGAAGCCAGATGCCGCTGCTGCTGCCTCTGGTCTTTCAATTGCTGTGACTGTGATCAGACGTGGAACTGAAGCCGTTGAGTCCGAGGCTGTGTCTTTTGGAAGTGAAGAGGCTGCAGTCAATGCCGTGGGTGAGAGGAGAGAGAAAAAAAGGGAGGAGTGGAGGTGGATGTTGAGGGAATAACCAAGGCTTAGTAAGGAAGGAAAGAAATAAGTATTCATGAACAAATGTTGACGAATAATAGGGGAAGGGGTATTTGTAATGGTCATAATATAATGGGAGATGTTTCGAGCTGAGAATATAGTAAGCAAAATATATCATTACCATGCATGTTATGTCCAAATGAGGCAAGATACATTACTTACCCTGCTCTGCTCGGTTCCTCACCTACCTACTTTTACCCTTTTGATGATGATGATTATAATGATGATGTATCGGACTTTAAGACCAAAACAAAGCAGAAGGATAGGAGGATAGGAGGACTTAAGGCAATTGCGCCGGCCGGCCGACCGGTTTTATTAATAGTAGCCTTGAACGAGTACATACTAGACGGCCGTGCAGGTGTCATGTCGATGCATGGAATATAACCTCCACATCACCAGAGAATTAGTACATACGACCATACCCACTGGAAAACTCGGGATCCCGTCCGCTCTCCCATAGATAAGCCAGTGAGGGCCAGACTAGTAGTTGGGTCGGTGACGACCAGCGAATCCCTGGTGCTGTATGTCTTTTTTAAATCTCTTTTCTGTTGTTTTCTCTTTTTTTTTTTTAACCTCTTTTGTTTCTTCAAGCGTCCTTCCTTTCACATTCCCGTTCCCTTTTTCACTCCATGGTATTTGCTGATTGTTTGTTTGATGGATTCATCCAGCTCATCGTCAACTGGCTTTTGGAGCCCCTTTTTTCCCGCCGGAAATATTTGCAAACAGATAATGTAACAAAACCAAAAGAATCCACGGACAAGGAGACACAGGCTGCCTGCCGGGAGTCACAAGGCGAGAGAGAAGGTATTAGGTATAGTAAATTGCCTACAGTAAGCCACGAACTCGCTAAGTAACTAGTTAAAACCGCTGATGTTGTTGTAATCGCAATGCACGCAGGAAAAAGAAACACCGCTCAGTAGAGGACCCATCGCATCAAGACTGGGAGATAATAACCCAAGCCATATCAGAGACTGGGCCGCGAGACCGAAGGACTCTTGAGACATCTTACATCAAATACAAAGTCTCATCCTTCTCTCTCTCGCCACCACCAGCACTAGGAACAGTCGTACTCTCCTGCTCGCCCTCCGTCCTGCTCGGGCTGGGGGCGCGGGGAACCTCATACGCGCCCTCCGCCTCCAGCGCCTGGAACTTGCGGACGACGCGCTCGATACCATCGCATCCGCGCTCCAGGACCTCGCGGGTAGGACCATACGACAAGCGCACAAAGTGGTGGCAAGGCGAATCGAACAAATCGCGACGCTTGCTGGGGTTCAGGTCAAAGAAGATACCGGGCACGACGATGACCTTCTCCTCCAAGCAGGCCTGGAAGAAGTTGAGACCGTCGGAAATCGGGTTGGGCAGCCACTCCAGGTTGAGCCAGAGGTAGAAAGTCGAGTCGGGCACGAGCTTGATGCTGAAACCGATTTCGCGAAGGCGGCCGACGACGAAATCGCGCTTATCCATGAAGTGGCGCTGCAGAGCCTTCATCTCGGCCTTTACCAAAGTAGGCTCGAGCATAGGGATGGCCGCCTCCTGGAAAGGAACGTTGGTGCCGCCATCGAGGTAGGAGCCACAGCTGCCAATGGCCTGGATAAACTCCTTGGGACCCAAGATCCAAGCTACGCGCCAGCCGGGCAGGCGGAAGCGCTTGGTCAGGCCGTCGATGATGAGGACGTCATCTACGTCGACGTCCTTGATGTTCTCGGCGGCGGAAATGGTCGTGCCGTCGCAGTTGGAGGTGTAGTTGTAGCCGGAGTAGAACTCGTCGCTGACCAAAGTGGCACGCTCGCGGCAGAGGTCTTGGATCTCGCCCAGTTCCGGATTGGCGACGACGCGGCCGGTGGGGTTGCGCGGGTTGGAGGTGATGATGACGGAAGTGCCGCGGGCGATTTCCTCGGCGATCTTCTCGGGGTGGATGTGGTAGCCGTCTTCCTCAGACAAAGGCACGGGAATGGCGGCGAAGTTCTTGAAGAGAGACAACATCTCGTTGTAGGCTGTATAGTCGGGAATGAAGAAGCCGACGTAGGCGTTGTTGAGGACGGCGGCGATGCGGATAAGACCAGCGCGGCCGCCGGGAACGATGCATACGTTCTCCCATGTGTACTTGGATTCTTTGCCTTGGCGGTGCATCTCGTTGTAGAGGTTGGCGACGGCTTCGCGGAGGGGCTTGATGCCGGCTGTGGGACCATACTCGCGCGAGTTTACGGAGATGTCGAGGTGCTGGGGGCGGGGGAAGCAGCCCTCGATCTCGTCGTCGACTTCAGGGGCGCCCTCTGTGATTATGTGTTAGTCGGCTGTGATATGGGTAATAGGTGGGAAACGGATACACATACGTCCAAGGTTTGCCCACTTCTCGGGCTCCTCAAAGAAACCATGCTCGCCGGCTTGCTCGGAGCACCAGATGACTCCGGTGGAGGATCGAGTGGCATCCAGGCCAGCATGAGGAAGATGTCTATGATGGAAATGTTAGAATGGTTCGTCTGATTTGGATGGGTAAAGATAACATACCCCTCATGAGCTGCTCTGAACTTTCTGTGAATCTTACTGGACGCCTCTGAGTTTCTGATTAGCCTGACGAATATGTTTGCGATGGTGGCTCAGAAAATCATACCAGTAGAGCTCGGTTCTCCAATGGAGAAGCGACGGGCAGGTCTGGGGGTTCCAGTGTTGCGGTTGATGCTGAACTTCCTGTTATGGAAGGCACCATGGGGACCATGGGGGTGCTGGTGAGAAGCCATTGTGAAAGACACTGATTCTCCAGGTCTCAAAGACGGGATGTGGTGGTTGGGGAGGAGAGGTTGTCGATGGGAAAGAACTGCGCCCTGGATATTTAAAGGCGGCAGTTTGAATAATGGCTTGGCTTGGAAAGTGAAGGAGATCAGGAAGGAAGAAACCGAAAGTGAAGGGCAATGGGAAGAATAAAAAGGAATTCATTCACCGGTCGACGAGTCAAGTGGAAGGAGCTACCCCGCGGGAACCTTGAAACCTGAACGGGAGGGGTCATCCAGTCACATCTCCCCAAAAGTACCCAAACACCCCACGTTGCGCTTTTGAGGGAGAGGTCAGGTTCCTCTACTATGTCGATGACGCCGTGTTTCCCGAACAACGTTTGAGGGCCATTGTGTGTCCGGTGTCCATTTGAGACATACAATACACGTAGGAAGTGAATGGAGAGATCAGATAGGACGGTCATGGATGACGGCATGCCAACCATGCATGAGGATATGCATTGAACCTGGAGATCAACTCGATCCAAGTGGGCACAGAGTGGGTTCTCGTTGGCCCAGCTCCATATTCCCTGAATCCCGTATCCTCCTTCCGCAACCCACCACTCGGTGTCGACGGTGGGGATACGGCACACGGGAAAGGGGGGGGGAAGGTTGGTTCTCAAGGGGCTATGGCAGTAGAAGTGGGAGGATGAGGGTTCATGAGATCCATTTACTGGACCTGGCTGATGTTGAAGTTGGAAGTGAAAGGGTCACAGTTTTCCCTTGCAAGTCTAACAAATTAGTGACATCATCGAGGTGAAATCTGGTACAAAGAATAGACACTCTCACTGAATTAACGGTTATCACCACTTGGGTATCACCATTCGACATCTCTTTGTTACCTTGTCCCCGGGGATCTTGATCCGTACCTCAGCTGGCCTTGTGCTCTCCCGCAAGTCATGATGTGCATCCCAACCGTTCGGGTGGTCCGGATCAAGACGGGAACCCCTGCCAAGAAGATCAGGGGTTACAATGGCCGTCTTGGTCGTCCGGAAGCAGCCGGAGCAGTTCGTGATGTTCCCAGCTCGTGATAGCCAGTCACGTCGCTGTCGCTGCCGCTGTCGCTGTTCGTCTCTCGGATCAGTGGATATGGCCAAGGTCCCCTAAACAGTCACCTCCTGTCGCCCGAACCCGGACATCATGACTCGCCATTTTAGGGGGTCAAGTTCGGTTGACCGACATTCTGGCAGATTGAAGCAATGTTAGACGTCTTATTTTTGAACCCAACACCGGATGGCTCGGGCATTCTGTCAAAGATGGGTTGCGAAGAAAGTCGTATAAAGGTCAGTCTGCTGCGTGAATGTCCTCGGTCAGGAGAGAGTCGAGTCGAGGTCCGCCAAGAGGATGACCGTATGGATGTTCTTTACCCACATCCTTCCCCTTGCTCTTCAAGGTGGGCCAAAGGATAGTCGTAGGGCTGAGATACAGTGAGGCTCTTGATGAAGATCTTTTTGCCAAGCTTTTGGAGAAGGAGATGAAGAACAGTTGGAGGAATGCCCAGACTTGGGGGTGTGAGAGCCTCATCATACCCTTGACCGGGCGCCCTCCTGCCGTGCCTTTGTACATAAAGTCCTTGGCCACCCTCCTTTGTTGGAACAATGTCTCCTGAGTCTCGTCTTTCTTCTCAAGGCCCATCTCGCCCGTCAGGCTGACTGGTCGATTGCTGTGTGTGCCTCTGTAAGTCTCTAACCATGTGCGGACATCTCACCTTTCCACTAGGTACGCCGCTCCGCAGCCTTTCGGGCCATGAACATTGCTGATTTGAAGACGACTAGTCGTACTCGATGCCCTGCCGATGACAATGCCGTCTCTCGCCTTGTGGCTGCGGGCTGCGAGATTTCAAAGAAGCACATGTCCCAGAAGACCGCATATGAACAAGATCATGCTTTGCGCCTCAGGCAATGGCAATGAATGCCTTCAGGCAAACCGGTCCTAGTCCTTTGATGTCACGCAAGCACGAGGCTGAGATGCTGGATGTCACGAACCAACCTCACTCAGCCACCCGCTTTGCCCCGCCCCTGTGGTGGGTCTTTCTCCCGGAAATTGTGGGCCTAATCCAAACGGTAAGTGGCTCGTAATTCGTCCCGGTTAACGTACCAGTGGACCAAGCAGCACTGCCCACGAAGTCGACACCATAATCTCTTGGAACCTGAACCATCGTCTTCTTTCCGTATCAAACGCCGCCCACTGCAACGTAAAGACGAACGTCTTTTGTTCAAATAACGCAGTTACAGCCTCAGGCATTGTGGAAGGCAAATTACCTACCTATCCCTTGGACCTTCTGGCCGATTTCGCATAATGGCGAAAACACAAGTCATTGGAGGTAATTATTGCCTCTACGTTCCCATCCCATAAGATGGACGTCAACTCAAGTTGGTTTCCGGTTATGAGTTTGATGCCAGATCATCACCCGACCTAGTCACGGTAGGACGGAGCCAACCAACAGCGCACACCGCATTCCTACCTTGACAATTTCATCTCATCTCATCCCTTGGGGTTTTCACATTCCCACTGCACCAACAGTAACAAAGCAAACAACGGCCGGGTCTCTAGTTAAAGCACGCAAGCGCAGAAAGAGCAACGAAGCCCGGACTGCAGGAAAGAGTCACTGCAGAAAAAGAAGGTCCATCAGAATTGACAGACCTCGACCATTCTCCCCGCAGCAACATCTCCCCCAATCATCATCAACAGGCCGCCACAAAACCAAGCTTCATTCAACGCCCCTACCATGTCGAACTCAAACCAGAAAGGTTGGCTCAGAAAGTTGATTGGCAGGTCCAAAAAGTCAAACTCGGACCTCACGAACCAACATCAAGGTCACCAACCCATCAGCCCAGCCCACGATGCCCTCGCATCCAACAATCCATTTGCCAGTTCCGAGGCAGCCCCGCCCTCTTACAATGAAGCCATGTCAGGCAAGCCCGGAGCATCGGCCAACGGAAATCAACTAGGCGCCTCGAGTTCACAAGACCCCGGTGCCGCGACCACCTACCGGCGTGTGACCTGGGACGGACAGGTTGTCACGGCTGAAGACGACCCCTACGCCTTCCTTTCCGTCTTCGACACGGTCTTTCTGATCGACGACAGCGGTTCCATGAGTGGCCCTCGATGGTCTGAAGCCGGGAAAGCCATCGCCGCCATCGCTCCGATTTGCGTCGCCCACGACAAGGACGGCATTGACGTCCACTTCATCAACCACCCCCACAGTTACACGAATATCACGTCGGCGGCCAGAGTCAACGAAATCTTCAGTGAGGTTAAGCCGAGGGGGGTTACATTGACAGGACAGCGCCTCTGGGATATTCTGGGTCCGTACCTGGAAAGATACACGGAGGGTTACGAGGATGAAGACCGGAAGCCCCGGGCTAGCTGGGACCCCGAGAAGACGGGCGTGAAGCCGATGAACCTGATTGTGATCACCGACGGCGAACCGGATGATTCGCCCGAGATGAGGATAAAACAGTGCATCAAGAGGCTGGAGAAAGTCGACGCTCCGTACTACCAGATTGGCATTCAGTTCTTTCAGGTGGGAAATGACAAAGAGGCTAAGAAGGCCTTGGCGGCGCTGGATGATAATCTGGGTGACGACAGGGATATGGTCGACACGGTGACGTGGGATGGTGGAGATACGCTAGCGAGGCAGTTGGAGGGAGACAAGCTGCTCAAAGTCGTGTTGGGGAGTGTCGTCAAGAGGCTGGATCGTCAGAAGGCGGATGGTAAGGATACAAAGGGGAAGAAGAAGTAGTAGCCGAAGCTATTTCTTTACTTTGTTTTCCTCCTCGCTTTCTTCGGGTTGGTGTGGCTCTTTGATTTTCTTGGAGTTTACAAGTTGCTGCGACCTTGATGGTCCGGAGCAAGGGAGGAATATCACCGATGCATCAACGGCGTTCATGGTCGGTTCTGAACTCTGAGAATATTGAGGGGAGCATAGGTGCATTCTTACACGGAATACCACACAATGGCGGGGGAAGGGTAACCAAGTTCGTCAAAGTGCTTTTCTTCTTACTTGTATTAGTTATCAAAGACAGCCTTCCGTTCAGCTCTACCTACCTAACAGCAAAGAATGAATAATCACACAAAGCGTTCAAAAACACCCATCAGCCTTTACCCCTAACCCTGAATCCGAATCGAAATGCGAAGCTGAAATCTGCACGTGAAACAAATTAACCGACACCGCATAAGCAGGTCCGAACCCATGTCACAAGGGCGTCTTGGCACACCTTACCAGCAAAACAGCCACGACAAAACCCGCTAATTCCTACTGTACCGTGTTCAGGTCCGATCTGCTCTGTTCCATCTTTTTCGTCCAACCAACCCTTTTTTTCTTTTTCTTTTTTTCTTTTTATTGGCAATCCATCCCATCGCCCTCCTTTCGAGGGCATCACCATCACCATCATCTTTTTTCTTTTTGTACCCATAATCCGTATGCTCACAAACAATTTTGCACCAAACAAAAGCAATGGCCCCCCATGTAACACCCACCACCAAACTGCAAATAATCGGCGCCTTCAAGCTCCTTCGCTTTTTGCGTTCCCGCCACCAGTTTCCCCCGGGAACCGTTTCAAATAATGACATCTTCCGCCTCTTCTCCGTTTCGCGCACCACCGGCTACCGCGTGCTCTCAGAAATCTCCGTCCCCGGCCCGGACGGCGAGACCCACCACCCGCTGACGCAAGCGGAGCGTGCGCTTTTGGACGCCGAGACGGCAGCGGCCATTGAGGAAGAGGAAAATGCGCGGATTCAGGAGATCATCAACAACCCCCGTGAGGAAACGCGGGGGAGGAAGAGGAAACTGACGGAACGGGATGTGGAGGTTATTGAAAATTGGTTGGATCGCAACGGGGGAAGGGGCGAGGTGAAGTGGAAGGATGTACCGGTTGCGGCGGGGTTGGGGCAGATTCCGGGGAAGGATGGGAAGGGGGTGGTGAGCGGGGTTACGGTTAAGAGGGCGTTGACGGCGTGGAGGGAGAGGAATCGGGAATTGGACGTGGAGGATTGGACGAGGGCGAGGGGCGCGGGGGGGCTGAGGGGGAGTGAGAAGGCTAGGGAACGGTGGGGACGGCCTAAGGATGGAGGTTCTGGGAGTAGTGGAGGTGGTGGGAATGGGGCCGCGGGTCAGGCTGGGAATAGACAGGGTGCAGAAGCGGGAGAGAGGGAAGGGAGGGAAGGGCCGTCGGAAAGTGAGAGTGAGAGTGATGATGAAAGTGTGGTGGAAACGGGAGCTGGACCTTCCGGAACTGCGGCTGGGGCGGCGTCTGGAACGGCAAGCGCGAGTGGAAATGGAAGTGGAAGTGCTGCTGTGGTACCCGTCCCGGTAACAGGAAACGGCGTTGAATATGGTAATGCGGGCGGAAGTCGAGACCAGCAAAGTCAGGAGCAGCAAAACGCCAGCAGAAGATCTCAAGGCCCCGATCCCAGATATCTGTGGAAGAACCGAGCAGAAATCGAAAGAGCCGCAAGAGAAGCTGAGGCTAGACGGCGGGCTGAGGTGATAGCTGAGGAAAGAGCTAGGGTTAAGCAGGCGACTGCGAAGGAACGATATCGTTTATCGAGACAGAGGAAACGGCAGCAGCAGAAGCTGGAGAAGCAGCAGCAGCAGCAACAATTGCAGCAACAGGGTCAAAGTCAGGGTCAAGGTCAGAACGTCCCTCCTCTTGCGCCCATACAACAGCAACAGCAACAGCAACAACAACAACAACTACCTCAACCACAACAACAACAACAATTACCTCATCCATCTCATCAACCATCACAACATCAGCCACAGCATCAACAATATCCACAGCAACATCAACATCAACATCAACAAGGGCAAAGGCCATACACATCAATGAGCTTCATCCCTCTCCCCACCTACGGCCAAAACGGAGCCGGAGCCGCAAGTGCCAGCGGAAGCAGAAGGGGAAGCGGAAGCGGAATTGGTCTCTCAAGTGCACAACAGAGCTTTAACAGCAACAATAACGGGGTTGCAGTCGGTACTGGCAATTGGAATGGCGGAAACCCCGGGGGGCATGCCAATGGTGGCGGCGGCGGCGGAGATGCGGAAGATATCCTGATGCTAGGTCGACTTGCTGGCGTGCTGAATTAGGACGAATAGACGCGAATTGAAGGCGCACCCGCGGACGCTGGTATTCGGATTTAGGCTCAGGCGAAGGATATGGATCGGGCTCGGGATCAGGTTCGGGATCAGACCAACTTGTAAACCCCGGAGGACATCCCAGTGGTGGCGGCGGCGGCGGCGGCAGCAGAGAAGAGGAAAATATCCTGATGCTAGGTCGACTTGCTGGCGTGTTGATTTAGGACGATGACGCGATGGATTCGCAACCCGCGGCGCCGGATTCAGGTTTAGGCTCCAGCGAAGGATATGGATCGGGCTCAGGGTCAGGCTTGGGATCAGACCAACTTCCTGGACTCGAGCCTCAGTCAGAATCAAGTTTAGTAGACCGGGATTACGATTAGAATGGCGATCAGGGTCAAAGTCAAGGTCAGAGTCAAGGTCAGAGTCAAGGTCAGAGTCAAGATTACGGTCAGGATTACGGTCAAGGTTACGGTGAGGGTTGCGGTGAGGGTGGCGCCCAGGGTTATGATGAGGGTTATAATGGGGGTCGGGGCTATGGTGAGGGTTATGATGAGGGATACGGTGATGGCTATGGTCATCATGGGGGTTGCGGTCAAGGCCAGAGTTACGGTCAGGCTCAGATTCGAGCTCGCGAGCAGGCTGAAGCTCAAATTCAAAAGGCTCACCGTGAAGCTAAGAGGCAGGCTCGGAACCTGGCTCAGAGCCTGGCGCGGAAGCAGGCGCGGGCTCAAGCTAAGGCTCAGACTCCAGCTCAAATAAAAGCCCGGATTGAAGCTCAGAAACAGGCTCGGATTTAGGCCCAGGCTCTGATTGAGGCTCGGACTCGGGCTCCAACTCAAACTCAGGATCAAGATCAAACTCAGACTCCAGCTCAGTTACAAGCCCGGATTGAAGCTCAGAAGCAGGCTCGGATTCAAGCCCAGGTTTGGGTTGAACCTCCTCCAGCTCAGAGTCAGGATCAAAATCGATCCTCCCACTTGACTCCAACTCAAGCTCAGTTTCTGGCTCGGGTTGAAAATGAAGACCGTATCGAAGCTCAAAGACAGGCTGAGGCGCGGAACCGACGGAGACAGGCCTGGGATGCGGCTGATCGTCGGGAGCTGGCTCGGTTTCAGGGTCAGGAGGAGCAGCAGGCTCAATTAAGTTCAAGTTCAGGGGCAGGGGCAGGGGCAGGGGCAGGGGCAGGGGCAGGGTCAGGCCAACGCCTTACGTAGTTAGAGAACATGAGAAGATAGACACAGAGACGCGTGAGAGATGATGTTGTTTCAGTTTTCTTTTGAGTTTTGGACGGGTTTGAGTGAGAATGGAGTATGGATTATGGACTATGGAGTATAGCCTTTGGATTATGGGTGACGTAGTGGGTAGTAGTGGTAGTATTGTTGTAGTCATATATCTTAGAAGACGACAAGATATGAGGGAGAGGACAGCAGGGGCTAAGGGGCTATGCATATGGCCAGATCCGTGTTTCAAGAAATGTGAGTTGGAGTAGCGACGCTGGAGGGTCGGTTATAAGGTATCACATTGCAATCGGTTAGCCTATCCTACGTATGGATGCTTTTGGATGCATGGTATACAAGTCAAGACAGTACTAAGTTGCTTTGTTGTGGCTTTGAATGGTGACAACATATATACATACTGCCATCAACGGTGATGATAGCAATTTCGGTTTCATTGTCTTGTGGCGTGATAGCAGGATGCAACAACTATCGATATGTTAGGTAGTTTGGGAGGAACCGGACCAAACGAGCATGGTTGGCCTTATGTCTGCCGTTGTGCCGGTTTTACTTGGAAGGTACCAAGTAAAATCCATAGGGTTGCTCAAGGCCAGGACGTTTCAAACCTCGTGATATTCCATCTATACAATGCATCGCCCAAGTCTAAACTAATAAGCATGTGCTTGAAGACACCAGCTCACCAAAACTTCCAATACACAGCACTGGCAACCCCCGCCAAACCCGCCACCAACGCACCCACTACGACAATAACCATCCCAATCCCTTGTGCCTCACCCCTCGGCATCCTCTCAATAATCTCCTCCAACCTCTCCGCCATCTGCGTATCCGCAAACTTGCCCTTAACCCTCTCAACCCCTCTCCTCCCCATCTTCTTGAGTTCCTCCTCTCCCATGCCATTCAGCACTTTATCCATAACCTTGGCCCACTCCTCCGTCTGTTTCGGGTCCCTCAACCACCCCGTCTCACCCTCCACCACCGTCTCCACCGGTCCGCCATTATTCGCCGCCAACACCGGCACACCGCGCAACATGGCCTCCAGCGGAACAATCCCAAAGTGTTCGTTACTGGGTGTATACACCAACAGTCTAGCAGACCTTAAAAGGATCTCCTTGAGGGTGTTAGGCACCGACAGCAGGAACAACACCTCCACGTCTGGCGCTGTGTTTAACGCTGAGACGACCGTTTTTGCAGTGGCGGTCTTCAAGTGAAACGGAGCACCTTCGGCGAGGTTAACCAGCTCGGTATGATACGACACATTCTCGTGAACGCGGTTATCGTACCCCCCCGCTATTATCAACTTTGCTTTTCCGCGCTGGGAAGGGGAGAGGGAGGCGAAAGCTTTGATTGCCAAAGCGATGTCCTTTTTGCGCTCGAAGCGGTTGATTGAGAGGATTATACCGTTGGCGGTCCAGGGGAGGACACTTCCTTCGTCGTCGTCGGTTTTTTGGTTGGGGTTGGCGACAGAGCGCACGTCTATGCACGGGTAGACTACTTCCAAGCTACGTTTGGAAGCTAGGCTAGGCCATGTTTGTGAAACGATCCCCTTGGTGAAACTCGAGTTGACGGCTATCGAGTCGGCGAAACCCATGGACCATTCTTCCCATGTGTCAAAGGGCAGGCGGTAGAGACGTTTGTACCATTTTGTTCGACCCTGGACGAGGAGGAGATCGGGGAAAGTGGCAGTAGAAGAAGATGGGGATTGTGGCACGAGGGGTTTGAGGAGGGGTAGGCCGGCGCTGAGTTGGTCGACGAAGAAGGCGGATGGATTCAGGAGGTGCAGTTCGGAAGACAGGAGGGTTATTTGAATGATTAGGTGGATTTGGCGCAGGATGGCGCAGAGGATGGAGAAGCGGCCTAGGAGCGAGGGGGGGATTAGGGAGTTTCCGCGGACTCGGACGTCGAGGGTTCCTGTTTTTGTTACCACATTAGCTATGTCCAGTTAAATAGGGGAGCTTTGGGCTCTAAGGGGGCAAAGGGTGGGTATACCATCGCGAGCTTCATCAAAGCAGTGTCGGGGATCGCAATGGCTCGTAAAGATGACCACCTTATGGCCACGGTTCTGAAGACCTACGGCGGCGTCGACGACCAATCTTTCTGCGCCACCGATTCCCAGGTCAGGATGGAGAAAGACTATTGTCTTTTTCGCTTTTTCTTCAATACCCGCCATTTTGACATGTGAACGAGTGTCGCAAAGTGTTTTGGCGGAGTGTTTGTGAAATGGACGTCGGGTGTGTCTCCTTTGGATGTTTTGGGAGATGCGATGTCATTGATAGTGATAGGGAGCTCGTCCCGGCAGGCAATGATAATGAGCAGGGTGCACTAACAGTTTCACTTGATTCACATGTGGGGACGTGTTAAGGAGGTTAGCTTACATAAGGAAAAGAGCTTCAGGGGATGGTGTACTTAGTGCTACCCGCAATTAGGTAATAATTTAATGATGTCGTAGCGCAAAAGATCCAGGAACCAGTTCCCATTTGACGACGCTGGCGAGGTCGAGGTCCATCAATTGCAAGGGTCCAAAACCGCGACTTTTGAAAGACATGCAACGTGTGCGCCGGCGCACTACACTATTTGGCATTTGTTGACTTTTGACTTTTCCTTGTTTGGATCCTTTGCGTGATAGTGCTCGCTAAGGCCGTTTTAAATTCTTCAGATCGAGAGACTTTGGGTTGATCGAGGCTTGGATCTAATGTCCTGAACTTCCATTTGTCCAAAAACCAACAACTCCAGCAGTGGACACGAATACGCCATTTTGATCTCGTTCCTCTTCCTGGCCCTGACCAACATCCACTCTGTCTCGAACAACCAAAACACCAGACAACAGATTACTCAGACCTCCGACATTGATGACTACGAGGTAGACACCAACACGATTAGAACACCAGTTCCAACCCTCCCCCATGGGTTCACACAACCATGGCTCTAGCTCCGGCGCAGAGCTCTCCGACAATGCCCCGCCGCGTACCGTCAACGGGAAACCTGTCCAGAATGGCGTCGTCGACGCGGGGTTGAAGAGCTTAGATCATTGTATGTTCAAATAAGCTGGCTTTGTGTTCCCATTGGAACCATTGAGTTAGCTGATTGCTTCCCTATGAACCTCGAGCAACACTGTGCCCCCTCCAACCCCGCCATGTCTTACACCAATTCGAGCTACATCTTCATGATCGTGTTCCAATGTCTTCGAGCTCCAAGCTGACTGACCACGGTGACAAGACCAGAGAACGCTTCCAGAATGGCGATACAAACTACGACAGCGACTACTCCCTCTCATCCGATGGGAGACCCCATACCTAGCTATGCTCCAGGAAAAGATGCGGACACCAGCGTTGGATAGATACTTTGCCATCACGGCCAACCTCGGGACACATACCTTCTTCATGATCGGTCTACCAGTTCTCTTCTGGTGCAGCTTCTCCAGTTTCGGCAAGGGGTATGTCCCTCATCAACATGAACCACGATCCGGACCAGATCCAAGCTGACAATGCGCCATACGTATAGCCTCGTCCACATCCTCGCCGCCGGCGTCTTCTGGACCGGTTTTGTCAAAGACATGCTCTCCCTCCCGCGACCGCTCTCCCCTCCTCTCCATCGAATCACCATGTCCGGCTCCGCCGCGCTCGAATACGGTTTCCCATCCACCCACTCCGCCAACGCTGTCTCCGTAACCGTCTACTCGATCCTCGTCCTACACAGCGACAGCAACACCTACTCGCCCTCCACGACCTTGGCACTCGAGCTTCTCGCTTACTTCTACGCCTTCTCCATCGTCTTCGGCCGCTTATACTGCGGCATGCACGGCTTCCTCGACGTGATAATCGGCTCCATCATGGGCGCCGCCATCTCCTACATTGAGTTCTACTACGGCCCGCCCTTCCAGCTCTGGCTGTACGCAAGCGACTACTTCGCGCCCATCCTCTTCGCCATCACCATCCTGATCCTTGTGCGCATCCACCCCGAGCCGGCAGACGACTGCCCCTGCTTCGACGACTCCGTCTCTTTCGCGGGCGTCATCGTCGGTCTCGAGCTGGGGACATGGCACTTTGCTAGGTCGCGGTGGGATCACATCTACAACGGGCCCAACGCGCTCTTCGACCTGTCTGCCCTCGGCTGGCCGGTGATTATCATCCGTTTGATCCTGGGAGTCCTCATCATCTTTGCTTGGAGGGAGGTAATGAAACCTACCCTCCTCAAGGTCCTCCCTCATCTGTTCCGCGTCATCGAAACCCATGGCCTTTCGCTGCCCCGCCGCTTCTTCATGCCCGCTACCGAGTACAAGGATGTCCCGCTCAACTTGCGCGACGATGAGGTTTTGCCGAAAGTGAGCGATATCCCGCGCATGATGCGCAGTATTCGTGGCCCCGGGCGCGGTCGCGCGGTGAGCATTGGTCCGCAGAGCGCGGCGGATGCGTATGAGACGTTGGCGTATCGCGAGAGGAAGAGGAGGGAGAGTTTGAGTAGTGAGAAGGGATCTGGGTTGAAGCAGGTTCATAATGCTGTTGCTGCTGAAGGTGGTGTTGATGGCGAGGAGTCCGTGGTTGATGAAGCTGTTGCGCAGTCGTCGGGCTATGAGAAATATGAGAGGCAGATGGGTCAGGGGCAGGTGGTTGTTGAGAGCGCCGGTGGTGGCTTGTTGAGCCCGAATTCATCGGTCGCTGTGGAGGAGCCAGAGCTTTACTTGGGACAAAGGGATGAGCTGGGCGAGAAGGAGATTTTCTCCAAGCTGACGAGGCCGAGAGTGAGGTATGATGTCGAGGTGGTGACTAAGTTGGTTGTTTATGCTGGTACGTTTACCTTTTACCCCTCTTTCTTTCCATGTGTTACAGACAACGGCTAACCAAGGTTCAAATAGGTATCGGATACCTAGCAGTTGACACGATCCCCATATTATTCGAACTCACAGGTTTGCTGGGAGCTGGACACCTTCCTTTTCCCATTCCTGTTCCTCCTCCTGCGCGTTCATCGTAAGGGACAGTGGGATCGGAGTTTTGAGAAGGAGGAGGGTGAGAAGAGGTGGGGTAGATAGATCTTTTCTTGGCTTGGCTTTGGGCTTCTTCAGCTCAACAACTACTTCTTGGCACACTTTTCTACTTGTTAGTTTGTACATAGGGCGTGATAGGTCATATGGCGGGGTTGGTATCATGTTGTCATGTAATGGATTCATTTTTGAAGCAAATTCCCCCTCTTTTCAGGCTATCGTAGAGGCTCTGGAGGTCCAGGCTCCGAAGGCAGAGTTAGGGAGGACTTCACAGGATTGGAGTGTCCGTTAGAGACGCTGGTGGATGCTAACGAGAACGCCGCCGGGTCAGCTTCTACACATGAGAGGTCGGTCGGTTGTAGCGGCCGGCGGGGTTGACATGGGCATCGCCGAACCCAACGCTCTAGGTATCTGTACAGGTCCCTTGATGCCGTTCACTCAAGGCGATTCAATGTGAAGGATTTGTTCCTACATCGAGTCGGCAGCTCTACCGTAATTAGGAGCATTACATATTAAACCCGCTGTCTGGCAGTTACCTACACATCAAAGGCACATCTGCCTCGAGTTCCTTAGTTGTTCCTGAAGATGGCGGCAGGTCTCACCTTTTTGTGCCGCAGCCGCAGCCGCAGAGATGGGACACCAGGTGCACCCGCCATGTGTGTTCACGAACGAACCCCGGTGACCGAAGACGCAAAGATTCAGATTCGAGACCTCGAGTCAAGCCAGAGCGGGGATGCTGGGGCTGGGGCTGACGTCGACGGACCCCGACTGAACAGAACCTACAGGCTCTGGGCTGTCGCTGGTCACTGGTCACTGGTCACTGGTCACTCACTGGTCGGAACCACAAAGCACGTCAACTGGCGGCTGCTCACTAACCTTGGGTATCTCACCGAACCCAGAGATCCTGTCATCCCATACGTCGGCCTCGGGCCCAGCCACGCGAGCGAGCGGCGGCCACGTCCCACGATGCCGAGGCGCGAGGGACCCATGAACGCGGATCGCGGATCTAAGGGAATTAAACTTAAGGCTGAATTGACAGGTGGAGATTCATGGACTTGGACATGACTGAGATGTGGTGACCTGAATGAACCGGCGACGAGACCTAGGATACTGGTAGTGGACTACCAGACCGTGCCATGCCATCGTGAGAACGACGCCAAAGTCAAAACCAGTATTCAGCCTTATCTCGATCAAACATTGTCATATTCACATGTGTGTCGTGCATATCAAAGGTAAAGGTATCCATCGGACCACACCGGAGCGTGTTTCCAGCAGGAAGGACGTCAAGTTCTTCCGATGCTTCCTTTCAGTGCTTCCACAAATTTGTATACCAGCATACACCTACGTATGTACCTCATGCGACAGACAATGTGACAAAACCCGACCTGACTAAGTTCCAAAATTCCACTGCCGGATTTTCAAAGAGGGCCGCAATGACCAATTCCAGAATAATAACGGGCCGATAGAAACCAAGCGAAAAGCCACAAAAGAATTCACGAAAAAGCCTGCTTGTCAGAAAGTCACAAAAGTCGAAAAGGGACAGACAGGGCAGTGACGTTTTAGGAGTGGATCAACCCCGAGTGCTCTAACGGCGACGATATCCGAACAAGTCACGTGAACTCTCGCTTGTTTGCGGCTTTCTTTTTGTCCATCTTCACCAAATTCGGTAAAGTGCAGATACTGATTTTTTCTCCATCAGCGAACTTTTGCCACCTGCCTCAACCTGTCAAAATCCGTGCGGCCATTTCTCAACGGCTTTTCATTGGTTGATTTATTTCCAGCCGCGTAAGCCCAGCTGGGTCCAAGTGGAAGTTTTGCTTGATCGCATCTGGCATCTGACAGGGCAGGCAAGAGCCAAGGAGTCACGGAGTCAAGATTCCAGCCGGGTCCATCGACTTCATCGCTCAGCTCTCGGCAAGGCAGTTGCAGGGCTTTCCGTCTCCGTCTCCGTCTCCGTCTCCGTCTCCGGTCTTGAAGTTGGTTCATGAACTTGAAAGAGAGAAAAGGGACCAATTGAAGGTGAGGAGACGATGATTGCAACAAGTTAACTGTATCTCTGTGTTACACTTTTCGTCGTAGGAAAAAAGAAGTGAACAATCCCTCGTATATCTCGCAGGAACCATCGAATAGAAATACTGACAAGGCCCATGTTTATACAAATCCAATCCGTAGCGGCAGAGGCAAGACGAGGAAAAAGAGTCATCGGGCAACAACCTCCTCCACTGCACCTGAAATGCAATCCTTCCTTCCTTCCCCTCCTCACAACCCTGCAAACAAGCGAGGGAAGCGCCCATTGCGACCTTCTAGTAGCGGATCACTATCACTATCGCATTATCCCATTGTGTTAGCATCATCATTGAATTCTGGTCTGGTGCTCTGTTAGCCGTTGTTAGTAAATGGTACCTGGAGGCAACCTCCAAAGCCTGTTTCTTTTGCCTAGGTCTAACTGTTAACCCGGTCGTTCAATTGATCAGCCCAGATTCCAAGCAGATCGACCCATCAAATCCATTTCCCTCACTGCACTCAACAAGTGCTGCCTTTTGCTTGCCGTCCCCAACCTGACTTTCTTACTGCTGTTACTGCTGCTGCTGCTGCCGCCATCCATTCCAACCAACCAACCACCTTTGGTCCCCGCTCGTTTTAACGCTTGCTCCTGCTTGGTCACTGCGTCGCTTCAGTTCTACACTAGGTTCAGGTCCAGTCGCAGCAGGTAGTACGTAGCAGGTGTAACCTCTGCCTGTCAGTTCCATCCGTTAACACGTTCAGTTTAGAAGCAGCAAGTTACAAGACAAGACATTGACATTGAACATTTGGAAAAGTCGCTCCCTTTGAAACACGACAACGAACAGACGACGCAGACACGAGAGGCCCCGATCCCGGCACAAGTGCGATCAATCAATCTTATCAGCAACAACCTGCCCCTGGGCTCTACCAATAGCACCAACCAGGGCACCACCCGTTGTTCGAGGCCAATTATCCTGCCCTGCCTGCCAGGCGCATTCCACTTGCTTGCTGCCGCTGCTCTTTAACAGAAACCCAAAGCATCACGCATTCACGACAAGACACTGCCGGTACTGACCCGACCTCTTCTTGCCTGAGCCTGTCTGTGTCTACCCTACACACGAGCCCTCCTACGCCCTAGGAGTGGCAGAACCTTGGCTGGCGGACCACAGCTCAACCCCCCCGGACCGACGCCTTGCGCTTTCGTCCCGTTTCCCAACTATCCGCACACGGCACGCACGCCCATTCCCACCATTCGACCTCGTCATCATCGCGCAAATCGCAAAGCCTGGACGCATGTAGTGCCCCGTATCATGTCCACCCAAGCGAATGGCGCTGCGGCGCCAGACCACCCCGTCGAACAAGACATGGCCCAGCATCACCACCTCGTCGCCCACAGCAGTCCGGATGCCATCACGACCGATGCCGACGCTTCCACGCCCATGGGTCTGCGATCGCCGCCTGATAGTGACAAGGCGATGAACCCCGACGAGGCTTCCGACTCCGAGCTCAGCGACCTAGACGACGATGTTGCCGACAAACTCGACCAAGACGTTACGTTCGATCTCGACCTCGGCTCCGACCCTCTGCCTGATTCGAAAACCGGACACCAGCAGCCTGAGCCTAGCGTCTCGCATGAACACAAGGAGCCTGCCGCCGCCGCGGCCACGGTCGAAAGTACACAGATCAATGAGAAACAAGAGGGCGAGAGAAAAGAGTCAACCTCTTCACACTCGCAACAAATAGAAACTGGGGCAGCGTCCGCGGCCACCCCAATGTCTCCAAGTGAGGACATTGGCGAGATCCTGCCGGATAGATTCGAGAACAATGTTCCTGTTTTCAAGCCAAGCATGAAGCAGTTTCAAGATTTCAAACTCTTTGTATGTTTGTCTTCTTCCTGTGCTATGACACCAGGTCTCGCTGACTGAAATGACTTTTCGGGGGAGTGCAGATGGAAAAGGTAGACAAATATGGCATGAAATCCGGCATCATCAAGATCATCCCGCCCGAGGAATGGAGGAGCCAGCTGCCGGCACTGGACGATCTGGTCAAGCAGGTCCGCGTTCGTGAACCAATCAAGCAAGAGATCATGGGCCAGAACGGAACCTATCGCCAGGTCAACATTCTCCATCAGCGATCCTACAACCTGCCCCAGTGGCGCAAGCTTTGCGAACAGAGCGAACACCAGCCTCCTGCGCGACGAGGCGAGCGACGAGCGAATGCTGAAAAGGACAAGCCCGCTGCTCGAAGCCGCGCTGCTGCTGCGGCTGCAAACGCCACGACATCGAACAAGACCACGACAAGTACAGGCTCGGGCAGAGGAAGAAGAAAAGGCAGGGTTACTCGAGGATCGGCAAAGGCCGCTGCGGACGAACCGACGATCCCCCCATCACTCCCGTGTCACCACCGCCCGAAGACGAAGACAAGCCGCTTGAGTCGATCGAGGAGGATGTCAAGGATGAAGGTTGCGAGGAAGAGGAGAGCGCTCCCAGAGTTGGCCGAATGGGCTTTGGCAGACAAGGCAAGCCCAAGATGCAATCGACATCCGCGCGGCGCAAGTACATCCGTCGCGAAGGGTCAGCCATGATCGACGAGGCAGCTTTCAAGAACTGGGATTACCGTATGGACGTGTCCGATTTTACACCCGAGCGCTGCGAAGAGCTGGAAAGGATATACTGGAAGACATTGACATATGCCCCTCCGCTATACGGTGCTGATCTCCCCGGAACGTTGTTTGACGAGTCAACCGAGAACTGGAACCTCAACAAACTCCCCAACCTGTTGGATGTTCTTGGTACAAAGGTCCCTGGCGTCAACACGGCGTATCTATACCTGGGCATGTGGAAGGCCACCTTTGCATGGCATTTGGAGGATGTGGATCTCTACAGTATCAACTTCCTCCACTTCGGTGCTCCCAAGCAATGGTATAGCATCTCGCAAGCGGATGCCCGTCGGTTCGAAGCGGCCATGAAGAATATCTGGCCAACCGATGCCAAAGCCTGCGATCAGTTCCTTCGCCACAAGTCCTTCCTGATTTCACCCTCCCATCTCAAGCAACATTACGGCATCACGGTCAACAAGGTCGTGTCCTATCCCGGCGAGTTCGTCGTGACATACCCTTATGGCTACCACTCTGGCTACAACTTGGGTTACAACTGCGCTGAGGCTGTCAACTTTGCCTTGGACAGCTGGCTCCCCATGGGCAAGATTGCCAAGAAGTGCCAATGTGCTCAAGCTCAGGACAGTGTCTGGGTGGATGTCTATGAAATCGAGCGTAAGCTGCGCGGTGAGTCGACAGAGTACGAGGTCACAGAGGATGATGAGGAGGAGGAGGATGAGGACTCGGACGAGTCAGACCAAGATACCGGATTACCTAGTCCGCCGTCGGGCTTGGACCAAAGAGGAGGGAAGAGAGTCAGGACAGCAGGGCGGAAGAGGAAACGGGAGGCAAACAACAAGGGTACTCAAGCGAAAGCAAAGAGAACTCGTTACCGCCTCAAGGCACCTGTCGAGCCGCCGTGTTGTCTGTGTCCGAACGATATTCCCGGGGCGGAGATTATGCCTACCGACGATGGCCGCAAGGCTCACCGGATGTGTGCTCTTTATCTACCGGAGACGTACATCGAGACCGTCGACGGCCAGGAGATTGTCGCGAATCTGGCGGGCATCGACAAGGCCCGCTTGGAGCTCAAGTGCTTATACTGTAGGTCCAAGAAGGGTGCTTGCTTTCAATGCTCGCAAAAGAAATGTCCCAGGTCGTATCATGCTACATGTGCGGCTGCCGCGGGCGTGTTTGTGGAGGAAGGTGATGTGCCGGTCATCGGAGAGGATGGGACGGAATACAAGGAGCAGGCGTTTGAGTTCAGCTGCCGCTTCCACAGAGTCAAGAGAGATCGCAAGACAGAAGGCACTATTCTTGAGGATGACCCCGTCGTGCGCAAGACTGCAGAGGCACTCAAGAAGCACGACATCTGCCAGATTCAGTACTACCAGGGCAATATTTTTGCCGGTGTGGTGGTGGAGAACTTGCACGAGGAAGAGACACTCCTGCTTGATGTTATTCCCAACGGAGATAGGATTCAGGTTGAGTGGAAGTGGCTTCTCGTTGCCGACCCGTCCGAGTACCGGTTGCCTAAAGCATCACCCAACGCCATTCCGATGCCGACATCGAAGAAAGCCAAGCAGGAGATCAACGCCAAGCGCCCGGTCGAGGAGATTCCAAGAAAGGGTGATGAGTTCTCTACCGGATTTGTCTGGGCCGAGTTCCATACTGGCGAGCCCGACAAGAACAAGGAGCAGGTCAAGATCGATATGGACAAGGAGAATCAGGTATGGCACTACCTTGGACCGACGTCTACGGAAGCCAGAGCGCAGTACACAGAAAACCCGTCCAGAAAAAAGCACAACTCCAAGAGCAACTTTTTGGACACGATACCCAAGCCGCCTCCAGCATGTCCTCTCCACGTTGCCTCGGCTCCTAGGAAGTCGTTCTCGGCGACGTACCCGGCACAACAGCCGACATTCACTGCGTCACCAGCATTGTCACCGGCGGCTCTGGTGTCCAAGCACGACAAGCCATACGTGTATAAGCCACGCAAACCTGTCCAGCCACAAACCCAGTTCAACGTTCAGTACACGTCGCACATGTTTATGCCGGCACCGCCTCTTCCGTTACTGTCGCACATGCCTCAGCAGAACCACGCGTTCTACCAGGCACAACTGCGACCGAATGTCCCTCAAACGGTACACCCTTCCCAGGTGTTCAGCCCTCAGCCCATGCAGTTTGATGGTCAGCGTAGGCCATCGCAGCCAATCCAACCGTATCCTCAACAGAAAATGTCACCACAGCATTTTTCTCAACACCAGACGCCCCAGCAAATGCCGCAACACCAATTCCAACCGCCGCAGCAACAGCATCAGCACTTCCAGCATTTCCAACCGCCGCAGCAACATTATCAACAACAACAACAACCTCAGCAGCAGCATCATCATTACTCACCGCAGAATTACCCACAAACCCCTGTCCCGCTGCCTCCACAGGCTTTCCAGTTCCAGCAGCAGACCCATGTTCCTTTGCCGCAACAGGTCCAGGCTCAACAGCCTCAGCCACGGACTCCTGTTCCTCCACCGCAGCAGGTTCAAACTCATCCGCCTCAGCATAAGCAGCAACAGGTTCAGCAGATTCAACAGACACCTGTTCCTATACCTCAGGTCCCTTTGCAACCTCAGCGGTCAGCTCAGAGCTCTCCGCAGCAACAGCAACAACCTCCTCAGCAAACACCGCAAGCTCAGGAAGCTGAACAACCGCAACCGAGGGCGGAGCCAGAGCAACCACCATCTCCGCCGCAACCTCTACCGAAACCGAGGCCTTTCAAGGTGTACAAGGCATCCCAGTTTAGGAAACTGAAGCTCCCGGAGAAGAAGCCAGGCGCTAAGAAAGACCTGCCAGATGCTTTTGCGTCTTCAAGATTTTCGTTTGCTGGCATTGACCGGGTCCACGACCTTCCTGGACTTACATGGCCTCCGAAATGCCCAATCTCAGGCAATGAAATCCAGTTCAGACGGAGGGTTTGGTCTCCTCCGAGTGAGGAGGGCATCAGTCCAGCTCCTATGACGTCGTCGCTGCTTAAAAGTCCGGATGATGAGAAGAGGGTGTCAACGAAGTACGAATTTTTCAGGGTTCATAATAACAGGTGAGTTTGCGGGTTGACAATTTGAAAGCACATGCATGGCTAATGAAGAAGTAGGGATTCGTTGAAACACCAGTCGCCTTATAAGCCGGCTGTAACTGAGGTGGATGTTACCACTGGGCAGGAAAAGCTTGTTCATGCTGATTTTACGAACGAATACGGGGCAAACCTGACAAAGTTCATGAAGAATGCTCGTGAGGCCTTGACAAGAAAAGAAACTTCTGAGTCTAGCTCGAGGCCAGCAACTAGTCAAGCTCCCTCGCACAATGACTCCTCTGCTCAGCCGAACGAGGGTCTACCCCAACAGAACTCGTTCGATGACCAGCCTATGCAGCAGCAAAGGGTCCAACCTCAGTACACTTATTACCAGCACGAGGCTGGGTTCGGTGGACCTTCATCGTCGTCGCCATTCTCAAGTCACTCGGTTCCAGGACCAGTGATGTTCGGTCCTACGTTTGCACAACAGTCCGGATCTCCTCACCAAGATATGAGGCAGCAGTACCAAGGATCTTGGCAACAGCAGTATCAAAACCAATCTAGTCATAACATCTGGATGGGAAGTCCACAAATGGTGGGCAGCCCTCAACCGCAGATGTTTTCTCCTTCACCGGCACCACAGGGTCATCATCACCATCTGCCTCAACAGCAGCCACAGGTGCAGAACCAACAGCCTCAGCCTCAGCCTCAACCGCAACAGCCGGCAAAGCCGCAGTTCACAAAGCAAAGTCACAGCCCGATTCCCTTGCCGCCGTATGTGCAGAAGATGAACCAGGCCAAGCCATCGCCGTTAAGCCAGCCTCCGCAGACAAACAATCAGCAGGGATCCTCGCAAACCCAAGCTCAGAAGCGGCGACAACGAAAACCGGCGGCTCAGCAGGCGTCCGGGCAGACTATCTCTCCTACCCAGTTAAATGTGGACACGGGAGTGGGATCATCAGCCCAACAAGGCCAACCTCAAAAGGCACAGCAGGCGTCCAACAATCCCTGGACAAACGCGAACAATGTGAATTTGCAGTTCCCTAGGGTTTCCTCGCAGCAACAACCAGCGCCTACCACTGCTGCTGCTGCTGCTCCAGCACAATCACAATCACAATCCCAAAATGCATCTTCTGACAGCGCATCCACATCCGCAGAAGCAGAAGCGGGGACTGTCGACCCAGAAGTAGAAGAAGAAGAAGCTGCTGCACAGGAGGACGACAACGAAAACTCCTACTTCAACGAAGCCCAACCTCAAGGTCTCCAAACCCCTCCCCTGCAACCCCAAAATCTTTCTTCATCAACAGACGTCTCCCCCGACCAGAACTACTTCCCCTCCCTTTCCGCGCCCCCACCCACCCCGCTCACTGGCATCCAAAACCCCGGCGGGTTCGCCTTTGGGTCTTCCATGCTCGGTCCTATTGGCGGTGGTGGCATCGGAAGCTTTAACCCCGCCTCCGCATTCAACATCAATGCTCTCAGTAGCGGGATTGTCGGCATGGGCGCCCTAGGTACCCTAGGCGGTCTGCTAGGCGGCATCGAGTCTGGGACAAGTGGTAATGCCACGTGGAACGGACGGGCTAGGGGCTTGAGTAGGAGTGGTGATAATGTGTTTATGGGCAGTACTAGTGCTATTGATGAAGATGGGGAGCATGGATTGGAAGGTGCGAGTGGAAGTAGAAGTGGGCATGGTGGTGGGCAAGGGATTATTCCGCAGGATGTGTTGGACAAAATTTTGTCGAATTTACATCGGTTGGGGACGGAATAGTATTCAAAGGAGGTGAAGCACTTGAGGATTGAGTTGGGAGCGATGACGAGGAGGTGGAGTGGTGGTGATTGAGTGAGGATGCGATGCGTGTTACTTGTCTGAGTGCTGTGGATGGTATGGTCTGGTCGGGTGGTGGTATTCTGCCTTCGAGTATACAAAAAACTGGAGTTCGTTATGTTTACGGTATGGAAATGGAAATGGAATGAAACGGTATGGTTTATGGAATGGTTATGGAAATGGAAATGGGAATGGGATGGAAACGCATCGCAATGCAACGCGATGCCTGGGTTTATAGGTATAAGTATCCAAAGGTATCCATAGGTATAGGTATAGGTAAAGTCATGTCATGTACGGTGATGAATTCATGTACTACGAAGAAGGGTTGAAATGGAATGTAAACAAGGTTATGAAGTTCACATAAGGATGACGAGCGAGGCATGAAGCATGGGGAGATGTCGATGGAAGTGGTGAACTGAATGGGTGTGCTGAATGGGTGAGATGAATGGGTGAGCTGGATGGGTGAGATGAATGGGTGAGATGAATGGGTGAGCTGGATGGGTGTAAAGGTGAAAAGGAAACAAAAAGCGAAGCGAATTGAGGCGAACGAAGGAAAGGCAAAGCAACAAACGGGAGGAAAGAATTGTTAACAGAGTTCTGAGTTCCGAGTTTCAGTTGTAAAGGTCCAGCAAAAAGACAAGATCTCTTTTCACACACAAAAGGAAGGAATTGCGATGGTTTTCTTATCCTCAGCATTACCTGCTAGCACTTTAGTGCATTTATATCACTAGAGTATTACTATAGCACCAAGAAACTATAGGAGGCGCCCGTTCGTCTTAAATAACAACCACACGGCAGTACAAGAGCTCGTAAGCGAAATCCTGCTTTGATGTCTTGGCTTCCCAATGAGGGGGCCGAGACGTAAGATTTGAAGACGGGAAGATGGGAAGCAAACAGGGCTGAAGGGGGGAAGCGAAGCGAAGGGCCTAAGACGTTGAAGACTGGACAAGGCTCGTGTTCCTTACCTAACCCGTTCTACCCCTCAATCTTGCCTTATTCCTTGTTCCTGATGTCCGATGCCACCACGGAACAATAGAAGACCTACTTAACTTACGTACGGGTTCCCTGCATGAAGTGTATCTCGTGTCATCGGCCCACGGGTTTATGCGGTTTCCAGGGCAAAGGGTTCTATTTAGATCAGTCGACCCTGAGACCCAGCTGCTCCGTTTTACAAGTCTTGAACCAGGAAAATGATGAGCAATAAGTGGTGAGGTGTGTGTGGTGGACCTTGGCTTCATCAGCCCATGTTCATGGAGTTGGAGGGGTGATGAGCGCAGGGCGGTGACGTCAGGTTATGACATGCGATCTTATCGGGATGCGCATGAAACCTCATTGGTGTGAAGGGATTCTCGCATCAACAGAACAACATCATTATTGCCGGGTTCCTTGTTTTTGCAGTGCAGTGGATGAGATCTTCAGCTACGGTATGGGAATAACTTATTTGGGGTTCCTTCGACGCCAGTTTTCAGGGTCCTTTTGATTCTTTTGTTTTTCTCAAGACTGTGAAGTCAACAAAGTTCAACAACCACGCAAGCAAAGCGATTACAGCGACTAGTAACAGGGGACAGCTGTTAGCGCTTAAGCGGGGAGCGACATAGAAACCATTAACGTCACTTACACACGAACGACGCTGCGATAACCAACCACCGACATCAACGACATCAACAACATCATCACCAACAACGACAAACGTCGTCACTTAAAACCACAACCACAACCACACATAAAAACACCGAACCCAATCTCAACAACAACACCCCCTTAAGAAAACCAACCAAAAATGCCAACAGTCATGGGCCTAACAACCGACTCCTCCTCCAAAACCACCACCACGCTGGGCAACGCCGACCTCAAAAAGCCCAACGGCGGGTCCCGCCTCGACACCATTTCCAAGCGTAACCACCACGCCGCCAAGGAAATCGAGACGCTTTTCTGGCGCTGCTTATGCGACGACCCTTCCGCCGCACCCGAATACATGGCTGAGGATTGCATCCTGATCAACCCTTTACTCAGTTCTCACCCGCACACCACGCCCCTGTCGAAGGACAGCGAGCCGAGCTTGCTGGATGTTTTTGAAAAGGCGGAGCCCTGGGCCGGGTTCAGGTTCCATGGAGATCCCCTGGTGGTGGAAATTGATTTGATGGCTGTTGCGCTGGTTTATAAAGTTTCACTGTATACGATGGATAAGAAAGGGAAGGGAACGAGGGAGGTGGTGGCGAGTGTTAGTTCGAGTTGGAGGCAGACTGCGGGAGCGGATTGGGTGTTGGTTGCGCATCATTGTCAGTACGTTGATGATGAGTAAGAAAGGAGGAGGGAGGGGGTGATGTAGAAGGTGGGAGATGGGGATGGGTTTGATGGGAGTGGGAATGAGAGAGATGGATGCGCGATTGCAGGTTTTGGCACGTTTGGTTGGTGTTGTGGGTGGAGAGCATTGGGAGTTCTGGTTCATCTCCTTTTGCTTGTCTTCAATGATGAGTTTATGATTGGAAAGCTGCCTCGGGTTTTCGGTTGCCTTACTCTTGAATTCGGTATCATGTTAGTCTGCAATTACAACCCTCTAATGATGTTTTTTTTATGTGTATGTCAATGCTTCAATACCTTCCATGTCATTTCGCGTTGTGGTATCGTATTAATGGTAGCTGATCTCGCTCTTTCCAGTTCGCCAATCTGGTCAACCAGTTGCAGGCAGGAACCTGAAGCCTGCACCCAAGTTCAAACGAAGATGGAAAGGGGCGACCTCGTGTGTGTGGGTTCCATCATGATGCGGGCAGATGGATGACCACGGCGTGAGCAATTCAACGGAAGCGATGCACAACCGGCAGGCATGTCTTGCATCTGCCCCCGAAACTTCGTCCTTGGACCAGCCCGCTCATAAAAGACTATTATCACTAGGAGTACCCCACAGACATCAACCTGAATCTAACACTGCGAAATCAAGCTACACCCGGCTTCCAGATCCTACGATGACTCCTAGTTCCTACCAAATCCGACTCAACCACCGCAATATTGATCGTCCATTGATACCTCTCCGGCGAAAACAAACAAGGTGGATGGCGGGACAGCCCTCCTAGAGTTCCGTCTGGTTTGTCGCCTTCCGGATCTGAGCTTTCTCGTCTTCAACCGGGCACTTGCTGATTACCTTTCCCTGAGAAGCATACCGGCCCCGCTCCTGACTTTGGTTGACACCAAGAAGAACGCATGTCAAACCAAGAAGAAGGGAGCTTCAAGCTACACATATCCTCCGCTCCCTTGAAAACCACCGACGCCGCTGTGGCACCCGAAAACACATACCCATATGTCCAAAGAAGCTGTGGCCTATGGTTGTTGACAACCTGACTCACTCAGCCTCTGATATGTGGCGCAGTCAGAGACAGGTATGGCACTTCCTGAATGCAACCCCGACTTTTCGATAAATGAAGCGCCCACCCACAGCGGAAAACAACGATCGCACGGCTACTCGGATATATTATACTCTACACCAGGTTGATTTAGTGTCCTGCTTCAACAGGAACCCACTCTGCAACGATATCATTCTTGCCACTATCCTGCTTCTTCAAGACCGCCCAGCGAAATCAAGATTCAGCCCAGAATCAGAGTGAGGTAGCTACGACATCAACCCACGCAAAAGGGATTTCAGATGTCTCTCATTGATTCTTATTCTCCCTATTCATCCCATACCGAGCTCACAGCAAGTGGAATCAAAATGTAAGCTCAGTATAGCTTCTTTTTTACATTCAATTGTCGGGTTTGTGCTGCCCATCCTAAAATTGTCTTGTTTTCGTCATTTTCTTCAAACTTGCTAGATGTTGACTGACAAGCAACTAGAGATGGAGATTCAACATGGAAACATCCAGTGGACCGCCCTCTGCAAGGAAAGGACACCATCCGTTTATTGACATTTCGAGAACAATGTCCTCATACCGGCGATATGTTGTCGCTGGCAATGCATCGTTCATTGGTTTCCGACAAGTATATCGCTCTTTCTTACGAATGGGGCCAACGAGAGCCTGATGATCCGATCATTCTTGTCAATAACCGCCAAGTTCAGGTCCGGAAGAATCTTTACGGGGCTATACGACAAATCTTCAAACACTATTCACGTTACCTGGAGCACCGTCGTGAATTCCAGTGTGCACACCGTCGTAAGGCCGTGCATGAGCCTGCGCTACAGGGCCGACGCTTTTTCATTCCATCCTACATGAGAGATCGCTGTTGCGACCACGTCGTGGATGATTGGACGCATCGTAGCGTATGTGGCGACAGGCCTGGGGAGGACTGCTACGAAAAAGCGTTAGGTCCATGGACTAGTCTGGAGGATAACAGTTTCTGGGCTGAGCACGACCCACCACAACTGTGGATTGATGCCCTTTGCATCAACCAAAGTCACAAATGGGAGAAGGGAGGCCAAGTGAGGATGATGGGCACCATTTTCAACTCTGCTACGATGGTGCTTTCCTGGCTGGGTTTGCCCCGGGATGGCAGCGACGATGCCCTGAGAATACTGAGCATGCCATCCGAGCAGCTGCCCCAGTTTATGGCAACAGACGGCTTTACTGACCAACTGAGAGACGCAATTGTATCATTTTGTGAACGTACTTACTGGCGCCGAGTCTGGATACTGCAGGAGTTGATTCTGGCTCAGAAGTACGTCGTCATGTGTGGTGCTGGGTCCGTCACATCAGAGTCACTTGACGGAGCTCTGGCCTGTTTCTCTCAACAAGCTCAACCTATCGACACGAGGAAAGCGAGGGAGAGCTACCAGGGCATAGTCACGAGCGCGGCAAACGAAATTGTTCTTTCGAAGCGGCTTGCCAGTTTCTGCACGTTGAGCCGATGGCTACGTCTCTGTCTTGAAGCCAATTACCAAGCTACTGTCCCGCATGATTATCTTTATGCGCTGTTCTCCATCTCTTCGGACAACGTCAAAGCCAGTATTGAGGTAAGATACAACAAGCCGATTGCGGATATCTATCGTCAGCTCTTGGAATCGCTTGTGGAAGACCCTACGTCGAGGCTAAACAGAGACTGGCTGCTTGGCCTTTCGCAGAAAATGGGCCTTAGTCACCAAGAAGGCATCGCCCTCCTGAACTCGGAGTATTTGAGGAGACATGGCGACTTGGGAGAGCTTTTCACGGGAGTCGGTTCTGAGCCAGAAGTGGACTTGGAGAGTGAGACCGAATCTTGGCCGGAAAGTCTCAACCTTTCTGACGAGGAAGTCACGACGCTCGAAGAAGGATGATTCGCATCTTACGGGGGGTACCGATATCAGCGTTACTTGAATAACCCACAGGTGGCTGGGGAAGTAAGCACTACGGAGACGGGCATCAGAAGCACAGCAAGCTAGAGAGCTCAGTCATTGTCCGAGATGGCTGGTCAGAGTGCTGATATCCTTACTCGACACCCTAAACACCACGCTGGATTCTGCTTGCTGTCCTACCTCTATGCTACCCGGTCCTCGATATGTCTCTGCCACGGGGCCCTTTTTCTTTCATCAACTGACTTCTGTCACTTGCGAAACGCGCCAAAACGGAGTGGAAGCGAAGGCACATACTCAAGCTACCCAGACCTCTCTTCAGGGTTTCGGGTCTACAGAAGGCCCTGGAGTCAACAACAGCGAGCTTCGATTCTCGTACAAGGGACGCCATCCTGGCCTTCTTCAAGCGCTCCTACTCGAAGAGAGTATGGATCCTCCAAGAGTTATTCCTCTCGCAGAAGTACATCGTCATATGCGGCTCCAAAATCATCACAGACGATGATCTGCACGCCGGTATAAACGCCATCAAAGTCTTTTCGAAGCTTTCTGCTTCGGGACACGCGGGGCTCATCAAGAAAACACCGGCGGTTTGGCATATCCACACCAAGTTCTTTGGGTTCCACTGGTTCAACGACCTCAGCCGATTTTCATCGGTTTGCTCCCAGGAAGACGTCGAAGCTACGGAACCGAGGGATCGCATATACGCATTTTTGTCGGTCTCATGGGACTGCGCCAATGGACTTCTCACTATCATGCCGGATTACGATAAGCCAGTTCGAACGATCTTATACGGAACCATGAAGTTGTTGGCGAGCAGCAATGCTTTTGCCATTGGAGTTGCGACGTTTGGGACATCACGGTGAGATGTATCGACATCCTGTTGGGTCACAATTCAGAGGGCTTGCGAAGAAAATGGGTATTTTGGATGAAGACTTAGAGGAGTGGTTTGTTAAGAGAGATGGGGTGCAGAGCGAGCACGGGGCTACGGCGATGGGATCGTTACCCACGGGGACGATAGAGACCAATAAGGAATGGATGTTCGAAAACTCCCGATGAAAGTGCATGGCAAATTGCTGCTCTTGTCGGCTTGAGGACAGAGATGATCGTAACGTCGGAAAAGAACCGAATTTCTCTCCTTCTCAATCACACAGGCAGTTAGGAATTTCTCCTCCTCCATTATTGGATTACTTGATCTTGATTGGTTAGCCGGCTCGTCATGCACCACTGCCTTCGAGGTGTGGCTTGGTGAGCTTGGGAGGGAGCCACTAAGAACGCGGATATAATGCTGACATTGGGCTTTCCTTCCGTCACATAGTTCTTTTGAGAATGACAGCTATAGGATGCTGACCGCATCCATTCTACAAAGTCATCAAAAAATCGACAATAGCGTGTCACTTCACCCAATCCCTTTCTTAACCAAAGTCTCAATTTGGCTCAATGGATATCTAAGGATCAGACGTACAGGTTGATGATGGAAGCCCTCGGAGTTGATAGTGCAGCTGCGGCATGGTACGGAGCCTTGTCATCCCCCACACAAACCGAGAACTAACAACCGTAGTAGCCATGCAGACCCTGACCAACTGACCGGCGAAAACTACCCGTATCGACGACTCGAACATGAAAACTCTATTCGTCTTCTGTTGATTACACCGGGCTCCGGGGAAGAGGCTACTTACACCCTTTTACATGCCGAGTTGGACAACATCCCCTACAAAGCACTGTCCTACGAATGGGGATTACCCAGCAATGATGACCCAAATATTATCATTGACGGGCACTCGGTCAGAATCCGCAAAAACCTCTCCGAGGCACTCAAACAGATTAGCTCGGTCATCCACTATCTCGGCTTCTTGTTTCTGTGGATCGATGCACTATGTATCAACCAAAGCGACAACGCCGAAAAAAACAATCAAGTCCTGAAGATGGGCCAAATCTTTTCAGAAGCGGACCAGGTTTTTGCGTGGACCGGGTCGGAGGCAAACGACAGCGACTGTGCGATGGATATCCTCTACTCCATCTCTACAGCATCACCCTCCGATTCCATATCAATGGTCAAAGCGCTCAAAGAAAACTACCGTGCAAGGGAAGCCATTCTTACCCTGTGCAACCGCTCCTACTGGAAAAGGATATGGACCCTTCAGGAAAGAGTACTAGCGAAGGACCTCGTCTTCATGTGTGGTTCCAAGTCCATCGCTGAGCGTCAACTTTATGAATGTCTCCCTTTGATTATAACCGCAGAAGAATCTCTACGTACCAAGTACACTGACTTCCTTGGTATATCGCTCTATGATACCGCGGGATATCGACAAATATGTGCGAGTTTCTGGAGGATAGATAAGAAGCTCAATGACTGGCTTCAAGTATGTGCTGAATGCGACTTGTTAGCTACCGATCCACGCGACTATGTCTACGCGCTGCTATCCATCTCGACAGACGTGCGCAGCGGTATCCTATCCGTTATACCGGATTACGACAAGCCGACCAGGACACTATTTCAAGAAATATACAACGCGATGAGGGACATATATGGGGCAGATTACTCCATAACCTACCGTCGGGATATATGGAATGCGCCCTTCAATAAGTGGTTGAATAAAAATTTCGGCTTTGATGAAGCTGTCCTTTCGTCCAGTCGTACGTCAAAGAGTTTGCATGGAAAGTCTCGAAGGAAGATACCGAGTTCTGGATCAAAGAGGCGACGACACGATTAACCACGGATACGAGGGCGGCAAAGAGGTTTGATAGGGAGAGAGAAAACAGTTCAAACCCATACCTCCTCTCAGGTCGACTTCCCCCCCTTTGTCAGCTTGTCCAGGGGGCCCAGCACAGTTCTCGTATCTGATAGAAAGTCATCATGATCAAGATTCCCGAAGCTACCTACCTACCTATTAGACCATTCATCAACATCCCTTGATCCTTTAAACAGCCATCCCAAGCGTCGAATTCAGTTCCAACGCCGCGTCCGACCATCATCTTTCCTCCCTCCCTGACTTCCAACCCAGCCCAGTCTCAATCTACCCCGTCAGCTCCGTGACGTTCATCACCCCTTTATTCCCCTACCAAGGGGCACTCACCCCCTGACCTCCCCACCCCCCCTCCAATAACAAACCCACAAAGAATACACCCGGCAATACTCACACCCCGGCCACCGAAACGGATCATCACCATGGCCCTCCTCATGTTCCTGGATCTTTGCTGCCTCAAAAGAAGGCGGTGCCTCTCTTGGTGTAGCACGGACGGCAGAAGGTCTTCCGAGAACGTCTGCGTAGGAGGGTAGGTCCATATCTGCGCTGGTTGAGAGAGCTGTGTAAAGAGGTGGAGGAGCGGTTTCGGATGTTTGGGGTGGTGGTGGTCGTCGGGTAGGACATGGAGGGGAGATTTGTGTAGGGACGTAATGACTTCCAAAAATCTGGTTGAGGTGGTTTGTGCAAGAGGCGAAGCGGGCGTTGATATCGATAGGAGTAGTTGGGTTGGAAGGCGAGGGTGAGGGTGAGGGTGGTGTCGAGGCTGAAGTCAAGTATGAGGCCCAACTTGCGCTTGATGTTGGTCTGTTGTTGGGTTGTAGCCATGGGTTTGGCGATGAGAGGTCGGGTTGTGATTTCTCGCGGGGGTCATCATCGTGGTATAAAGGAAGTGGTTGAGACATGGCCTGCCCTCTGGGTACCTGTAGGTGTCGTTGTCGACGAGTGGGGAGACAGCAAAAGACGCCCATCATGCCAGATCTTCTTTTGCTGCTTCTTGGTAAGGCTCCTGTCATTTGGTTATAGTTTCGTGTTGGTTTGGTTCTGGCGTCTGGCGAAAATGAGGACGAGAAGACGTGACTTTCCAAACTGGACCCTGTGAAACACGAAGATATATACTCCCATCTCGATACCTACCCACCTACATTTTGTATTTCCGACAAGAAGCAGCCGGAAAGCCTTACCTGAAGGTCTCCATGTCATCCCGTGTGCTGTTTTCCACCTTGGGTAACCAAGACGATGGACCGATAGCACGACTGGTAGGGCTGCCGTTCGGGGATAACCTCCATTGCAATGCGCCGCGGTTGTTTCTATTTATTCCATTGGTCAGTCGCATCACCGAGCCGGTACACGTGTAGAATCTGGGGGATCGGCACCCACATCCGGAATGCATCGAATGTTCGCAGTGCTTTCCGTTTTGGGACACCGCGGCACATATCACCTGGGTTGGCATTCAGCCTCACTTCCACGTCAGAGTAGGTAGCATGGTTCGGTAGCCAGATCAGATAGAGACACTGGAAGGATTTACACTTATTTGTTCCTCAACAATGGGGTATCGTGATGCCGTTGAGCCGTGAAGATATGGAAAACGCCTGCTTTGTGCGTGGTTGTGGTAACAAGGTTCGATAGTGGTTTCTGCCCGGTTGAGAGGTTTCATGGAACAGGATCACGCGCGCTGAGAAACTAGGAAGAGAATTGATGATAAGTGAACGAATAGGATGGAAAAGGTATATAGAGCAGATGGTCCAAGGACGATAATACAGCATATGCTCGGAGGGGGGGGGGAAGCAACCTGTCCTAAACGTACTTTATCAACGATGCATGCTGCTTGTGGTGTTGGGGATCGGGCCATGGGTTCAATGGAAGTCGATCGCCTCTCAGGACACGGCCCAGGGGCCCCTTTGGCTGCCCGCTAAAATGCGTTAATTCCAGCGCCCACCCACTGGAGGTAAAGCAGTTTCAGCGATGCTCTAGTGAAAGCAATCATCGGACATCGGGCTCACAGTTTCCCAAATGAACTGCGCAAGAAATCGAAAGTGATATTGTCAATCAGGAAACTATTGCGATTTGCAATCAATCAGCTTAATCCTCTACTCTTCCACAAGTTGGAGATTATGATAATGTGCCGAGTGTCTGCGATAAGTTTTTGACCTAGAGGTAGGTTTCCATCTTTCGTTCGGCTCGCGGGCCAATCCACCGAAGCGGGCAGCCCAGGCGAGGTTTAGATACAGCGCTATTCCCTTTTCTCATTAAACTCGGCATCCTGCTGTTACTAACCTAGCAATTGTCATCTCAACAGCACTAGCAATTCTCCTCCATCCCACTTGGGCATAACAAGCTCCTCCTGTCGGCAACACTCACTCCCTCACTCGCCACATATCCCGTTACAAATTCCGTCCGCAGGGTTTTTCTTTCTTTCTTTCTTTCTTTTTTTTTTTCCATTGAATTTTCGGGACAACTTGACCGTCACGGAATTTCTGACAGCATCGAATATTTCTAGGTACCTAGGTCAGCTAAGGTAGGTTAAAACGAGTCGGTAGGTCGTTTACCGCAGACGGCGACGGGAAGGACGGGAGTTAGTATCTGCCCTGAGCCGGCAATATGAAAGACGGAGAAGAAAGGCAGAAAAAGGCAGAAAAAGGCAGAAAAGGGCGGAAAGATCTGGTAACAAATACTGTTGGCGATTTGGCGAGGGTGAAAAATGCCTGGCTGTGCGGGCGGGAGTTGATTTTGAAAAATTGCAGAATGGTAGAAGAGGAGAAGTGTGCGAATGAAAGGATTACTACTTGGTTTTCAGTTCCTCAAAGGCACATCCAGCCTTGTGTTTTTCTGTCTGAGTGACTCTGGATCAAACTGGAAGGGCCGGATGTCTTCCATCACCACCATCACCACCATCACCACGAAGGAACGGCGCGGTACGCCCTCAGTATCACGGCATGGCATTTCAGACACTACATAAATGTACAAAGAGGTCTGACTCCCGTCGTTTCGTGCTCTCAAGTCCGATCATATACCCGCGGCAGCTGCTTTAAGGCATACGGACGAAAGCAGTAGGTGACAATGGGCAATGATAGTCTAAGTGTTTGCAGTTCTCAGACAACTTGCCTGCCTTTCAGCACGAGGTGATGCGATGCGATGTGATGCTGCATGGAAATTGTGAAGTCTAAACTGCCTGGAAGAAATCCAAGAAAATGCCAATGATACGTCTGATCGAACTGGTTGATGAGAAAAAGGGTCTACAGTGATAAAAGACGGAAGATAAATGACGCCATTGTGGTTCCTATGGAGCCCACGCGGAGCCGACGAGGAAGGCGCTTGAGTGTCAGCACCATTGAAGAAGACGAAGATGAGGTGCAGGTTGAAGAAAGGGATCTGTACTCAACGCCTTGACTTGATACAGGAGGAGCGTTTATAAACCCGTGTCAGAGACTTGACATCAGGAAGGAACACTTTCGAGCCTATGTACATCAAAGATAGCGATTAAAATACTTACCATCCATGGAAGCATCGTGATGTGCCAAAAACCCCACGATGGAAGGAACGTCGACGAGTGTTCACCTTCCCCTTGCAGTAGGTCCAAGACTTTTGCAAAAACCTCAACGCACGCGAGACGATCTGCCAAGATGCGATCTGCCTTTTCACCATTCTCCAATTTCTCCACCTTACAAGCCTGGCAAGCCTGGGCGCTTCCGCCCAACTGCCGACCCGTCACTTTCAATGTCACCTCGATCTCTCACTGCAACTTCGACTGTCCTTCTTTTCCCGGTTTTGCTTGTTAAGGTTCCAACACAACACCAAGCAACAGCACCGCCCCAATCCAAAACCCGTGAGAACGACACCACGGAAAACCCCCACCCCACATGTTTTCGCAAGTTCTCGGCGTCCCGGGCGACGGGTTCGGATTCGGAAGGTCAGAGATTCGGGGAGGGGTTGTAATGCGACGTCTTGGTATTCTTTGTGGCACCTTGATATGCTTGATCAAGTCGGAAGTCCACTTTCTGGACTCTTGCAGGTTGAGTTGAGGAGAGGGGGATACTGACTGACTGCTACTCCCACGAGTCAGGTCATGGCATGCATGGGACATTGTCAAATCCCATTCATTGTAAGGCTGCACGCGAGCACGGGAGCTGGTGAAGAATGAAGGTGGAAGAGTGAGGAGTGAGGACCTGGATGGCTCTTATTACATGTACATGGCGAATACGACGAGGTTATCGATCATCGAATATCGGCCATCGACAATCGCGACGGCGCCGCTGGGCGCCATGACCTGGCGTGGGTGGGTGGTGGAGGGTAGGGATGGGGGATTATCTCGGCGGGCGGGTAGGGAAGTGGGATAAGGCAATGCCGGGATAAGAAGGAGATTCAGGTTGGTCCAAGGAAAGCAAATGGCCGAGGTTGGCAGCAAGGTTGAATATGGCGACATCACTAGTGATGGAGATATGTTGGAGATACTGGAGGGTGTTGTGTTGCGTGCTAGACGGGGAGGTTACATGGTTCGAGAAGAAAGCAGCTTCCGCAACGGGAGAGTGATAGACAGGAACGGGGCAGGACGCCAACATGACGATCGAGGAAGAGCTGCAAGTGTTGAAGACGGAAAATATCAAGATGTGGATGAGAGAAAGAGTATAAAGACTCTTTCCACCATCGTCAAGATCGTCACCGTTTAGCTCCCAGTTCCTCATCCCCAGTCCTCACTTCCTCTTTCCTCACCCTCCTCCTCTTCTCTCTTCTTTTACCTCCTCTCCGTCAACATGAAGACGTCCACCTTCTTGGCGGCCGTCTCGGTCCTCGCCGGCACCGCTGCCGCCGAGTCCATGGCCCGTCTGAGGGAGCTCAAGATCGATACCTGGGCGCGCCAGAACGAGGTCGGCGCTTTCGACGTCGACCGCTACCAGGCCACGGCTGCCACCTCGTGTGTTAACGGGTATGCGGGCGAGTATCAGTGCAGCAACGTCGACTTGAAGGGGTTCCTCCGTCATCAGGACATGGGATCGTCGACGAGGAAGGGCAATGACATCTGGGGTGAGTTTTCTCCCGTCCCCATCTCCATCCAAATCCGAGCTTCATACTGACGATGTGCCAGGCTGGACCGCCCCCAATGGCCGTGAATTCGCCACGGTCGGCCAAACCGACGGCACCGCCTTCGTCGAGATTCTTTCCGATGGTTCTCTCGTTTACCTCGGCCGCCTACCCACCCAAACCACCTCCTCCTCGTGGCGCGACATGAAGGTCATCGGCAACCACGTCTACATCGGCTCCGAGGCCTCCAACCACGGCCTGCAAGTCTTTGACCTCACCAAGCTGCTGACCATCTCCCCCTCCTCTCCCAAGGTCTTCTCCACCTCGACTGACCTGACCGCCATCTACAAGGGCTTCGGGTCCTCGCACAACATCGTCGCGCACGAGGAGACCAAGATGATCTACGCCGTCGGCACCGCCACTTCCGCCGGTTGCAAGGGCGGTCTCTTCATGGTAAACGTGACCAACCCCGCCTCGCCCGTCAAAGCCGGCTGCTTGTCTTCGGGCGGCTACGTCCACGACGCGCAGTGCGTTATCTACAAGGGCCCCGACACCCGTTACACCAACAAAGAAATCTGCTTCAACTTCAACGAGGACACGCTCGACATCGTCGACGTAACCAGCAAGTCCTCCCCCAAGACGCTGTCCTCCAAGACCTACACGGGCGCAAGCTACACCCACCAAGGCTGGCTCGTCGACAGCTCCATGAAGTACCTCTTGCTCGACGACGAGCTGGACGAGGTCAACGGCGCTGGCAAGGCCGCCAACAAGCGCACGACTACTTACATCGTCGACATCACCAGTCTCACCGCGCCTGTGTTTACGGGAACTTACCAGAGTCCTGCTATCTCGATCGATCACAACCAGTATGTTGTCGACGGGCTTAGTTACCAGAGCAACTATGGTTCGGGACTGCGTGTTGTTGATGTGTCTAGCATTCCTTCCAAGCCGGATGGGTCGGGCATGAAGCAGGTGGGATACTTTGATTGTTATCCGGAGGATGACAAGCTTGGTGGCCAGGCCGAGTTTACGGGGTCTTGGTCTGTTTATCCGTTTTTTAAGTCAGGGTATTTGCTTCTGAACAGTATTGAGAGAGGCGTGTTTAGTTTGAAGTATACTGGGAAGTAAGGGAGGTCTGAGTTTATGTGGGAAAGAAAGGGGAAAGCGGAAGAGGGTTGAAGTGAAGTCAACTAGCTGCTGTCTAGTGTTTGGAAGGGAAGGGTCTACGGTGGCCTTTTTGGGTGGGGTTTTTGTATACACTGAAAAAAAATACACGGATGCCTATTCCATTCCATAGGCAAGAAGTTCAAGACGAAAGTAATCACGATTGGAAGACGCATTTGAATCTGGACGTGACTGGCCGGCCGACCTCGTGTGAAAAAATGTGACGAGTTTCCAACTGACATTGTCGACTATGCACCTATCCATCCAACCTTTACAGTATTTTCGTTCGTTTCAACTCTGTCTCCCTGGTCCTGCTGATGATTTTCGAAAGTTCGTGATCCCCTTGATCCCCATGATCCCCATTTCCATGTATGGATAATGAAAACGTCAAGTGTTCGAAAAGAAGAAAGAAAGAAAGAAAAAATTCCACGCAATCCAGCCTACCCTACATGAGGCAGTCGGTGGGCGAGTCCACATACCTACCACTAGAGGAACAACTCACATTGTATTATCCGGGAAGGAACAACGTAAGTGGAAAAACAGAGAGAAGTGGTGGTTGGTTGGTAGGTTGGTTGGTCGATCGCACGAACACTGATGATGATACCGCTTCGACTCACTCGATTTGGTTCTCAGCTCAAACAGATGTAGCGCCGGGTATAACTGGCTTCAACCAATATGCTGCTGAGCTGGTGCGGGCCGCAAGGATTCTCTGGTTTGATCCAGTCGACGGGATTGGCTTGAGCAAAGCCAAATCGAGTTGAGTGGAAGCAGTATTCCGAAGAGAAGTGGTGATACCCTTTGGTTCGTGGGTTGGTGCGGTGGTGAGGTGGTCAGCCAGAGTGATGGTCAGTCAGAGTTGCCCGGGCACCTCAAGAGGAACAGGTACAGACACACCTTCCATTATTATGCACCGACGACCTCACCAATGAGTATCTACCTAATTACCCAACCTACAACTCCCGTCTAGTAACTCTCTCACTGAAGGATTGGGTTTGCGTCTGTGGAATGTGGAATACCTATCCTCAGCGGTCTTAGTGGTGTTGCCCCTGGCGAATGACCTTGTTATTACAGTAACCTGAAGCGATGAAGATGAACAGCCCTTGGAGGCTTCGACGACGACGGAAAAGGGCGTTGGAAAGGATGATGGAAAGCTCGGAGGTACCTGCTACGTGAGAGATATGGAAAAGGACATCGCAAACACTTTGATGGCAGACCAAAGACGGTAGAATGAACACGACGGGATACACTTCTCAATCAAAAGCTCCAAACGCGTAGGTCCAAAATCGTAGGTAGGTAGGATCAAGTGGGATTTAACTGCCCCGAATAAAACATTAAAACGCTCGTCAGGCCTCGAAACGCCCTCTGATCCCATGCTTACGCTTTCGAGCCTTGACAAGTACCGGTAGGTGGCTGAGGAAAGCGCGAGCGTCGACGGGAAGTGTGTCCCGAATGTCGACGGGAGTGCCTGTCCTGCCGGAGGATGCGCGCTACCTCCCGTCGCTGTACCTTAACAATAACAAGCCGGATTACCTACTATCTGCTATACCTCTGTATTTTGCTGACTAATTATTAGTGATTTAACAATTACCTACCAGTCGCACACCGCTGGCAACGGAATGGATTCCCCAACCTACATCACGGTCATCACCCAACCACGCGACCAACTCCTACCAACTCCTGGCAACCTCAACCTACACACTGCGCTTCCAGGTCCCTCATCAACTCCCGTCGTCATTGCATTGGATTTGGATTCTCTCCGGAAGCCAGACTGGATAGCAAAGCACCAGTTTATGTCATTGCAGATAGACTGATGGACTGATGCATAAATGCAATGCTTGTGGGATATGAGTGATTGAGTAGGTATTCAACTTCATTATTTCGACGTTTTCATTAACATCAACATCCATATCATCAGGGTTTATCCTCTCATCCTTTCATCTCTCCCCTTCATCCTCCTTCACCCTCACTCTCCTTTCTTCCTCTTCAATAGTGGTATAAAATAGGTATAGGTATGGTATCCAAGCAACAAAAACAAAGCAAAACAAACAAAACACAATCCACACCCAACCCACACAAGATGTCAATCAATCAACCGCCCCTTCGCTCGCTGACAAAAGCAACAGCAACAGCAGCAGGGAGACAGACGTGCAAAAGCTTAGACAAACAACTTATGGAACCACCTCCTCCAGACAGGCCAAGTGGCCAGCTGGGCCTTGTAAGCATTGATGGTGTCCCAGTCGTGCTCGCGACGGCCGGTGTCAACATCGATGTTGTCAACCGTCAACCACTTGCCGCGCTTCCAGATGAAGCCGCCGATCCAGAAGACGATGACAACGGGGAGGGCGAGGTACTGAATGAAGAAGCCCTCGACGTCGTTGAAGCCGCCGCCGACGGGGCAGATGGCTACGTAGAACTATGTGTGTAACATGTTAGTATCTGATCTGCCTGGATGTGGATATCTATCGTGCGGAGCGAGGAAAGAAAAAAGAAAAAAGAAAAGAAAAAGAAAAAAATAAAGAAGAAAGGAGGGGATTGAGGCATACCTGAGCAATCAACACCAAAACAACCAGCGCCAAGCCCAACCACGATCCCCACACGCCACCAGCGGCCTGGAACGGAATCTCATCCAAGGTGTGGCCCTTGAGCGCCCACGCCTGGCGGAAGCGGATATGGCTCAAGCAAATCGATCCCCAGGTGAACAGCGCCGCGAGACCGGAAAGCGAAAGCAGCCAGTCAAAGATGGTCGGGCCAGCAGCCGCCAAGTTGACGTACGCAAGGGGACCAAAGGCAATAATAGCCAGCACGGAGAACAGCGGGCGGTTGGAGCGATCGACGTAGGTGAAGACCTTGGGGGCGTAGCCCTGCTGAGCAAGGGCAGTCAAGGTGCGCGAACCGCCGTAGACGCAGGAGACGCCGAGCGACAGGACGGATACGAGAATGACGACGTTCATGAAGGAGTCGAAACCGGTCAGGTTGGCGTACTTGCCGACCAAAACGAAGGGGGAAGCGTTGACGTTGATGAAGGGGTTAGCGCCCAAAAGGTTGTCATCGTCGTAGGGGATGAGCAGGCCGACGAAGAAGAGACCGAGGATGTAGAAAAGGGTGATACGCCAGAAGACCTGCTTGATGGCTCCGGGCAGGGACTTGACGGGGTTCTTGGCCTCAGCGGCGGCGAGACCGACGAGCTCGGTTCCGGAGAAGGCGAAGGCCGCGGTGACGAAGCAGGAGCAGAAACCACGGAAACCGTTGGCGAAGGCACCGGGGCTGTACCACAGCTTGGCACCAGTGTGTAGTGATCGTAGCGGGAACCTTGGGACCGCCGCCGAGGACCATGACGAGGCAGATGATCAGGAAGACGACGGTGGCGCCAAGCTTGAATGCTGATGCCCAGAATTCTTCTTCAGCGTAGCCGAGAGTGCCCCAGACGTTGATTATGATGATGGCGACTAGGAAGATTGTGATCCAGACGGCTGTTTTCGGGCGAGTTAGTATTCACATCCTTTCTTTGTCAAGAAGTGAAGAATTACAAGGATGTGTCACTTACCGACGTTTATATCCTGATTCCAATACCCGACCGTAAAGCCACAGACAGTAAGTTCAAGAGGCAAAACAATAGCCCACTGGAAGACGTAGTTCCAACCCATGGCAAAACCCCAGGAAGGATCGATGAAGCGAGTAGAGTAGGTATAGAAACCACCGGTAACAGGGAACATGACAGCGAGCTCGCCAAGGGCGTAGACGACGTTGAACATCATGACACCGATGATCATGAAATCGATAAGGAGCGAAGCAGGGCCGCCGTTGTGCAGGGCCTTGCCGGAACCGACGAAGAAACCAGCACCGATGGAGCCGCCGATGGCAATCATGTGCAAGTGGCGGGACTTCATGGTGCGCTCGATCTCGGTGCCGTCGCCGGGATGATACCGGCGAGGCTTGAAGGAGTTGAGGTTGAGACCATTTCGCGTCATGAAGTCCTCCCGTGGGAGGTCCTCGGCAACGCCGGCCTCATAGGCGGGAGGAGGGGCCGCGGCGGCGACATGGGTCTCCTTGTCGTGGGACCCTTTTTCTATGTCGGACATGATGGGTGGTTTGGAGGATGATGGATGGAAGGGAGGTGAGGAGGGAAAGGAAAGGAAAGAGGGACGCGGGAGGAGAAGGGGGACAAGAGAGGATAAAGTACTTGTTCGAGATCGAGCTGTCGCGTCTGCACACGCCCAGGAGAACTCGAGCAACCTTCCCTCGGCCTGATGAGGAGACCGTGGGAGAGTGTACCCCAACGAGCTGGCTAGCTGGCTGGATGGCAAGGTAGGATCAGGATCACATAGGGGTTGTTAAAGGGAGGCGTCCTATCAGGAGCCAGATAAGCGACAGCGCGGAGGATTGCCTTAATGGCTCTGCGGGAAGACTAGAAAGATGTAAAAGCCCAGCGATGGTGGTGCAGCCAAGCTTCTTGGATTGCGGAGGTGGCCCTGCTTGAAGGTGAGGTACTGGGTAAGCGTCTCGGACGGTAGCCCCGGATGGGAAAGGCGTCAAAGTCTGAACAAGATAGGGTAGTCCGGAGGGGGTCTGGGGTTTGGTGGTTGGGCTAACACATGGCAGTCCATGAACTTGTTGAAGTGTGATGCGCAACGGATCTGTGTTGTTGCCCTGGTTGGGTTCGCAATTTGTGGACAAATAACAATGTGTACAAAGCACACTCGCACACGTGCAATAAGCGAGGAGGCAAAGTAAAGGAGACATACTGAGGAGGGGGGCAAGGATGATGATGTCGAAGCATGGAAGGCACCTAGAAGATGCAACTCTCACCACTTCATCTTTGTCCGCAGCCAATGGGGTGGTCTGGCTGGACGGGCCCAGGCTTCTCAGAGATGAGAGTGACTTGATGGACTTGTAAGTGCTAATGACGAAAACGGAAGGACATTATAGGGCCAAGCCCAACCAAACTCGGCCAGCTGATGGACGGGGTGAGTGAGAGAGGCAGAGAGGGTGAGATGCGGGAAACTAGAACTGCATCAGGGATCAACACCGGCTGGGCAGTCAAGTGAGAGATGATCAAAAGCTGAGGAACAGGACAACTGGTGATCTTGGGGGTAAAACAGCTAAGACGCCGACGGAGATTGTGTGTGATCAAGGACGAAGTGGTTCGACTATCATTGGGTTCACTGCTCAAGAGGACTTTTGATAGACTTTGAGTATAACAATGAAGCCCGAGATAGGCGATGGATGACCTCTCGGGTCCAGATGCTGTGGATTCACAAGGGTAATACATATGGAAACGCAACCTAAAGAGGAGGAGTCCGACGCGTGGGAGGAAGTGTCCGCTCGGTCCCCGTGGCTCTTGTTTGGTTGGTTCCGTCCCCAGTCCCCTAAACAGGGTTGATATCCATAAGTGATGGATGGTGGTTTGCGAACTCGAAAATAGAGACCATGTCTGGTCTGTCTCCACCGGGGCTAGGAAATCAACTAGCAGCTGAGACTAGCGGAATGACGAACAGACCATTGGATGGCATTCGCTAGGAATCGTTTCTTTTTGAGGACGAGGAGATAGTCAAAAAGACATGTGGTGGTGGTGAGAGTTTGGACGAGGTCTGGACTGTTTTGTTGCAACCATCACTACAGATACGTACAGTATTGAGGGATCCGACAGCTCGGTGAACGTGTCGGATCAAAGGTGCCTGCCATACCTCACGGTGTGTGATGGCAAGAGGGGGGGTGGCACCGTAGTGTTTCTTTGATGCAGTGAACCTTGGTAGCGTCCTTTTGTTTGATGATCGGTTCTCGGCAGATTGACGCCTCCGGTATTTCGTTCATCCAACTTGTCCCATCTGGAGGAGGAGTCGATATTTTGCGATTTACATTGGCATGTCCAACTGCGTGCGGTCCTTGAGTTGTGAATGCGGTGTCGCCATTGAATAAAGAGACAAGAGAAATGACGAGACCGACCACGCTCTGGAAATGGAGCAAAGGGGGACTGGGGGCCAACTCCCAAGATGACCGGGCGAAAGCCAAGTGCTTAGGCTGGTCTTGGTCTTCTTGGTCTTTCTTGACAACTTCCGGACTGGGACAAGTCGGCCGCGGGGCCTTGATGGGGCGAGATTCCAAAGAGAACGAAGGCTTGTCGTTGGATGACGGTGACATTGGTGGCTTCATCTGTGGCTAGTTTCATTGCATGCGGCTCTTGGCGGCTCCTTGGCACCTGCACCCGGTTGTAACCCGGTGGGCCCGGTCTCCTGGGACTCCACTGGACACCTGGTGCTCAACCACACTTGCGATCCACACCAAATGCGGGGAAGGGAAATTGGATCCATCTTCCCAACTTCCTTCTCTTTCGTGTCGTCGAGGGACAGCTCTTTCCAAGAAAGACCAAGAACACCAAGACTTCCAAGACCTCCCAAGCTTCTTGCTTATCACGGGCCGTCACTGATAAACATGGATTCCTATCACCCTATCTCGGACGCTTGTTTCTTAGGTGCCTGGAGAAAGTGGACTCGGTGGAACTCACAGTGGATCGCGATAACTGCCCTGCTCCCAAATCCACCAAATCCACAATTACGGAGTCGCCCGATAGCATAAGTCGACGACAGTTGATGATTGTCTTGTCGGACATCAACTATCAACAACTATATCGGCGACATCGTCTTGCCTCAAACAAAGTCCAAGACATTTCTGCGCCGAATTGCGGCCCGCAACCGTCCGAGAGTTTTCGGGTGCTTGTCTTTGAACATTGCCGTCCCAAGACCCACAGCCACATACCCAAGCATTTTCATTACTTCTGCCTCCCCGGATGCGCTTGGTTCATGATGTCAACTCCCACACCACCACCGAATCACCAAGAACAAAGGAAAAAACACCACCACTCGTCGGTTGAACGAGGCAGAAAGTAATGACAGTTCGGTACCAATTCCTATGCCGATATTCAACGTCAGCGGCACTATTCCGCTTGTCTCCCCAAATCACTAAGCCCGAAAGCTACCACACCTCGCACCCATTTCTCCAAATCCGAGTCAGTGTTGAGGAGGGGAGCTCGTGAGGAGGCGTCAAGTAACAAACTGGCATTTGGTGGTGACACCCGCGGCCACCCATCCTCACTCACACGTGTTCTAATGCCGCTTTGGTCAACACAACACCACAGCAAGTGCTGTCAACAACAGAAACAGAAGTCGGTTGCGCTGCGCTAACGGGACACTAACAATTATTGGGCTTGGATGCGTCGACACTTCACTTTCCTTCCTCACTTCGTTGTCCAGTTCATTTCCGCATTGGTTCTTCGGTATTGTTTCCTTTCGGAAGTCCGAGGGATCATTTATTTACCGTTCACATGTCCCATTTGCCCTTTGTCTCTCCTGACCGGTTACATGCCCCATTGCCGATTCGTTAGCACGTATCAACCACCACCATGAATGCGAAGACTAGCTACACAGTACAGTAAAGACCCCTGTTTCTGCAAGCACCCCCTTCTGCAAACCCATACAAAGTTACCTAGTTAGTGCATCACTTTTGGCGGCCGCAATTCCCAGTTTTGTATGCAAGTGAGGCCCCAGTAACTGCAAAATGCCTAGTTAATGCAAAAGGTTCTGGTCTCCCCCATAGTGCCCGGATTAGTTGCAGAAACAGGGGTCTTTACTGTACACCAAAAATACCCCATCAAGCACCCATTCCTGCCCAGAGTTCAACGTCCAAAAGGTCCAAACAGCCCATATCCCCGGTGTGCCGCGGTACGCGCGAGTCAGGCCGATCAAGCCAAGCATGGCTATGTTACTTATCCCCCCACGCCAGTGGACGCGGCGCCAAGTAGTAGTCAAGTACGGAGCCATCGCCAAGTTGCTCCAAGACCGCTACTACTTGTACAAAGGTGTTGGCTGTTCACAATTGGGGCATGGGAGAATGCTCGAAAAGGGGGAAATGATGGACAGATTCGGCGGCATGGTGCTAGGCAACTGGAACTGTGAATACCCTACCTACTCAACCATATTGTTGCCCACTTCGTGCTAGTGCTCGAAAGCTCGAGGTCGTCGTCGCTGGTCGCCGAGTTGTCGCCCCCTTTGCCCTTTCCCCTTTCTCTTTACAGTCGAGAGTCGAGACAATGGTACAATATGGTAATTGCCCGTCACGCCATCTGCTTTTGAAAAGAGTTCATGTGCTCGATATCACCCCACTAGTCAGTCCATCCTGCGAGCCTTACAATACTGAATGAAAGTGTGTTGACGGTCTCGCCTCAACAATCACTCGGCGTGTTCACAAGTGTGTTCTTCAGCTGTTTAGTGATCCAGCACCAGGACGATAGTATTGTGCGCCTATTGATCCCATGAAGGGTCAAAGGGATGGTACGACCTCAAGGTGCTTCCATTGTTTCTAGAAACATATGATTGATCGATGGAAAGACCGGTACCGTGGAATGGCACAAGAACTCGAAAAGGGTAGGGATTATCTACATACCTGCGACCTCGTACCTGCATCTGTCTTCGCTGCATCCGCCCTGTCACTGTCACTGTCACTGTCATCGCGACAAACAGCCACGAGTGTCCAACCGAGATCTGTATGTATCCTTGATCGGTACGTGTAACCCTCATCTCTCGCCATAATGCGCAGCGCGCATTATACGTACCCAAACAAAACCCTACCTACCTCTTGCCCAGCCCATCTCTCGTTCTAGACAAAATTCGAACCGCCAGGTTCCCTTCGGTTTCCTAGTTCCTCTATCTGGCCTTTCCTATACACCTTGCATACATGCACCAAATTGACCGCCTGGTCGTCGTTGGGATCAATGAGCTTGAGCCAGGGGGGTGAGGTTACACTGCCGCATCTCAAGTCTCAACTGGACATGGAAACCTGGAAGCATGGAAGGAAGCATGGGTTCACATAGGGGATGGGAAGAAGCATGTGAACACCTTCCTTATCTCTACACTGCTACACTGCTACACGAGCTGTCAGTCTGACATGCCCTGGCCAAGGGACCGAGTGAGCCAGGGACGGGACTCTACCTGGTACATAAAGGGAGAGTGGACCCCGAGATGCTAGAATCCTTTGGCTCTTTGATCGTCATGGGTTACGACATTTGCCGTTAGTAGCGGATTGACATTACTAGAACTGATAATATCGAACATTGTTGTTAAATGTCTCAGAAGATGAGAGTAGAAGCAGATTATATGTGCTTCTATAAAAACGAGATGGGGAAATGGTTTTCCCTCACTTCCGGACGGCGTGTAAAAACACGACCAAGACAAGAACAGAGAAAACGGCTAAGAGGCTCGATCCGGCTCATTCATCATCTTCGATGCTGGACGAAGGAGATCAAGAAGAATGAAGGGTGGTTTCCTGGCAAGAAACAAAAATTCTTTTTACAGAAAAAGGGCCATGGCCAGAGACGAAGAAGAAAAAATGACCAAGGAAAAGAAGAAGAAGACTCAAACAACAAATCGTCTCCTCCCCTCTCCTTCCTTCCCTTCATCTACCTTATATCCAACATCCCCCAGCACCTGCCTTTCCAAATCCAACTCCTAATTCTCATCCTTATACCCCTTAGCCCTATACAGCCCCCACCGCATGCCGTACTCGTCCCCCTTAAAGTGGGTGCTCGGGCACTGCGTATCCCCATAACTGCCCACCTTCCCCTGCTCCTTCTTGCTCGCATACTTATCGATGCTCTTCTGGATCCACTCCGAGATGTCCAGATCGCCAATATACGTCTGCAGCGCGGGCGGCACGCCATCCGTGCTCTCAATCCCCAAAGCACAGCTCTTGTGCGACACCAAAGTCCGCTGCGAGCCCGTCATGTATCTCCATGTTCCCCCCTTTGGGGAAATGTTCTGGATGATAATCTTGCAGTCGTCCACCCAGGGAGAACCCTCGGACGTGGCGTTGAAGTAGCCCCCACCTTTGCAGAAGTCTTTGTTTTCGCGCTTGATCTTGGATGAGGCGAGGCCGGTGGTAATGGGCGAGGAAGGGTTGGGGGTGCGTTTGTCGGCTGCTGGGAGGGGCGGGAGGGAGGAGAAGAAGGCAATGGCGGGGTCGTCGGGGTCGTTTTCGTCGGAGGAGGTGTGGTAGATGATGCCGTCGCCGTCGTCGGTGGGGCCTGAGTTGTCGTCGGCGACGTCGACGGAGGAGGCAACGACTACGGGAGAGGCGGTGGGGGCGGCGGTGATGAGGGTGAGGAAGGTAGAGGAGGTGAGGAAGAAGGTGAGGAAGTTGGTTGGGAGCTGCATGTTTGCCGTTGATTGAGTTTGTGGTTCTTTTTTTTGGTCTTTGGTTGGTTTCTTTGTCTGTTCATCAGGGTTTGGGTGTCAAATGAGTGTGTATCGTCCGGTGAGTTTGGACGAGGATGTTATTCAGCCGAATAGACCATTCTCCTGGGAAAAGGAAAAGGGAAGTTCTCGTCAGAGGGTTTTTATCTTTGCGCAATGGTTGAAGGGATTTTTTTTACATGGCCTTTGACTCGAAGTTCTTAGGATTGTTATTATTTTTGGGCAAGGGGGAACTATGGTAAGAGCGGCATGGAGCGGGACGAGAGGCGGGTGGCTCAGGGGGTGGAACAAGAGTTCAGTGCGACGAGTTGGAGGTCCATTGTTTGAAATCCAAAGCAACACTTTCTGGGCGTTGGTGCGAGTGATCAGGTACCGTGTCTTGAGATTGTGTGATTAGAATTTACATTTGGGTTGGATGTTAGTCAAGGGAAAGGTGGGTTTTTGGCGATGGTCATGCTTTGGTTACTGCGGATGGTTGTGATCATGTCCAGATAATGCGGCATATTCAAAGTCCTATTCGAACAGAACGTCATGCAAGCTCCGACTGACCTCAACATGCAATTCGGCTCCAAGGTCTCGTTCTTTCCTTGTGGCAGAACTTCCTTCCCGTGTCGTGAGATTGAAATTTCCACTCCGAGGTGCGTTCGGCATCTGCTGGATTCTTGGAGGATGGTACGAACGGGGTCCTTCCACTCACTACCTAAGCATTCGGTCAATAGAGTGAGGAGATGGTATCAATAACAATTTACCGATACTGCACCTCAAACTACATGGAAAAGACAAATCAGTCAAGTTGCCCAAAAGGAGTCATTAAATTTGTGGTAAGCGAATACGATCATCTCAATTATCCCAAAGAGGTTGTCTAACACCTGAAGCTACCTACTAGGTATGAAGCAAAGAACCAGAATATGAACAACAAAACAGCAAAAATAATGACAGACACAAGGAAAGTGTTGACAGGTAAATAGATCCTTCCATTCTTTCTTTCCTTCCGATTCTCAATTCCACCCACCTTCCCTTTTCCCACCTCACCTTCGCGTAATGGCATCAACCTTTACTCTTGCCATTCGTTCCCAAACTCCCACCCGAATCACGAAATCCTTCCAGCTTCCCCCTTCGGCAGGTAGGTAGTTCTCCGAGCAAGTAAAGTAAACTCACTCATCCCCTCGTCCCCATCCCCTCCCACCACTGCGGCTTAGCCCCCTTCAACATATACCCAAAATACACCAGATAGTGCTCGCTCTCTGTATTATCCCAACACTTGAACTTGCCTTCCAGCTCGAACCCCTGCGCGTAACTAAGCTGCTGCTTGCCTCCTGCCTCCTTAGGCATGTCATTAATGGCCTTGACCCCCGCCAGATATGTGCGCTCGATATCCTTATTACCAATCTTCAGCACCGTGCCGGGCGTGACCAGGGTGCCCGTCGTCCGCAGCGCGAGCTCGCACGTCTTGACACTCAGCAAGCTGTGCGCACCCTTGGACGCGCGCCACGTCCACGATCGGCTGCGCTGGATGGCGTTGGCTGCGATCATGATGCAGTCGCTCCAGATGGGCGAGCCGTAGGCTACGTGCTGGAAGACGTCGTAGGGCTCAGTGCAGAAAGTGTAGTTTTTTGCTGGGCCCATGTCGCGTTTTTGCGAGAGGGCAAGGTGTCGCTTCTGCTTCTCCTCCTTGCCAAACTGGCCACCGAAGTGCGGGTCGTCGTCGGGAGGGTGTTGGTAGTTGATGTTGATCTTTTCGTACCTGTCGAGGTCGGTGATGGGGATACAGCGGCCCGTGATGGTGACGTTGTCCTTGGGATCGAGGTAGTAGATGTCCATGCATGGTTCGTTGCTGGAGGCGGCGGCGTTGTCACCACCCTCATCGCTTCTTGACATCAGAGTGTTTTGGTATTGGTAGCTGGCTTGGAGGTCGCGGAGGGTGGGGAAGGAGACGCAGCGGTTTTGGTCAGGACCAGCTGTGGTGGCAGTAGAAGGGGACTGGTTGTTGTTGTACTTGAGGTTCACGCAGAGGTTATTTTCGTCGGCTGCTTTTTTTCTGGCGTGTCCCCCTTGGTGTTTCGCATTGTTGTTGGAGTCTTGGCCATTGGCGAGTTTGCTGAGTGGTACGCACTTCGTGATTTCTCCAGTCTTGATGTCAACGACATCGACGCAGCCGATGAGTTTAGGAGAGGGGTTTGCTGAGACCGTGACGGCAACGGCAATGACGGTGAGGATGGACCTCAGGTTGGTTGGCAGCATGGTGAGTTCTCTGTCTGTCAAATGAGTGATGTTCAAAAGATTGAAAGTGCTGACGATGGCTTGATCGAACGTCGGTTACATGGATTGAGGTACTAATAGGTCTTATACCAGGCCTTTCCGAGACACGATTTCTGCGAAACAAGGCGCTATTCAGGGTCTATTCAGGTCGGTTTCTTTCCACGCTGAACAATGGGTATTGACTCGTGCTAGGCAAACTCTCAAGTTTGGAAACAGGTCATTCTATCATCAACAAGCTATTTCTGTCCGAGAGGCAAAAGTCAACAGGGCCCGAGAGAAAGATGCGAAGGAAGGTTCAACTCCAGGAATCTCATGCACCTTCATTTTATTTTTCCTGCGATTGCATATGAGCAAACAGCGAAATTTTCCGACAACGGAGACGAACCGGCTTGCACGGATAGCGACAGCTAAGCGATGGGCAATCAGCCAATTGTCCCAATTCAACGACATGGATATACAAAGTGAACTCTCGTTTTTCTCTACATAGCACCATCACTCCACTCCCTACCGCTGGTGAAACGACATTCCATAAGCTTCTTTTGTGTTGCACTAACCTCCCTTTCCGCAATGTCATCCATGTTTGGCATTCTCGATGTTCGATTATAGACAGCAATTTCGTTTTTCCATTGTTCGTTTCTCCCGTCCTTTGTTATCGTGTCACATATCCAAGCCGCGTGGCAATCCTGTTCCTGACAAATGACCGCCTCCCTCTTCCTCGGCCTTTGTTACTACCAAGGCAACGTGACCCGCACTGCCTTCTGTGGGAGGATTGGAGTGATGTTGAGAGTTAATCCCACACCAAGATCTGTCGAAAGGCTTTCAGGGTCACCGGTTCGGTACCAAACAAGAATCCCGACAAAAACCGAGATGGATGCAAGGGAAGTACACTCTGGTGCTCGTGTGTTTGTTAGCTCGTTCGGGAAGAAACTCATGATAGGAAGCGTGTCAGGAAGATACAACGAACTTGAACATAGAATGTTCAAATATTCTTTTTTTTAATAAATTTGGCTTGTCTTCTTAATTTTTCGAATATATCTTTTTATCCTTTTTTAACATAATGAAAAAAATGAATAAACTGGTCGCGAATTATAGTACTTAAGCTTTATGAGAGTTTCCAGATTTGTCAGTCAGTGGTCATCATCGATACATGCATAGATCCAACAAGAAGCACGGTCAGAATAGAAGGAAATTGACAAACCAAACAATTGGCTGAATTCTAAAAACGCCTGAACTAGTTGTAGTTCAAGGGGATTTAACCCCCATGTCTCGCTCATGTCTCGCTAATGCTAAGTGCTAACCAACAAAATGAAACCAGTGAACCAAAATACCAAATCTGTACTGGACTGCGCTGACCAAATAACAACAACACTAATGAGGATACCCTTGACCCAGAGACGGAAAATAATCATCAGCATCACACATGATGCGTACCCTATGGGTGCCCAACTGCTGCTCATGAGTACTGTCTGCCTCGGAACAGACTCGGGGTGCGGTAGTCGAAAGCTTCGGGTATATCGTTCTCGACTTCCCAAGGCGTAAGCTCCCGGACTTCTGACCATACGTCTTCACAAGGCATGATCGGGATCGGGGGGGATGGTGGTCCAACAAGGGCTTTTTGTTTTGTTGGTGCTGAGCCTTTTTCGCTATCGTCGTGGTGGCTGCTGTTCTTTCTCTCTTTTCTCTCCCTCCGCCATGCGCGATGGAGAATGCGGATGTACTCCAGCTTGTGAAGATGCTTAAAGAATGTCATGGCCGCGCGTTCCATCTCGGCGTTGTGGTGTAAATAGGTGTGGCGAATCATTTGCCTGTAACGGTAACATGGCCAATCCATGGCATGATACATGTTATCATTCGCCTTGCCCTCGAAATCCCCCGCTAGCCACACATTACGGACGTCCTCGTGATTTTCTAGTAATAATACCATTGTGTACTTATGGTGGAGTGGTTGCCCTCGAGGTATCCGATCAATGAAACGGGGGTATTTCCCGTAGTGAGAAATGCATCTGCCAACTTCAGCTTCACACAGGGAGGGGAGCATCAGCTTGACCGATCTGAGATTGTCTATCCTTAACAACACCAACATGCTCATGATGTCTAGGAGGTCCATATGTTCAGTTGGGAGGATCAAGCCTGACAATGGAGGCAGAGTGAGGAGCCCAAGAGGACAGGGTCCATAATCGGTCGCATATCTCACCACCCGCATCGTGAGCGCTTGTTCGACGGTGTACCCCAATGTCCAATCCGCGCCATATGGTCCCCCATATGGTCCCCACCAGTACCATATGTTGTATGGTAAGGAAAGCTTTCGCAGTCTTGGGAGATTAGATCGATTTATCAACAACCGGGCTGCGGAAATAACAAACTGTAAGGATGTCTCATCCCCAAGCAGGGGATATTCCAGATGGAGTTCAACAAGGCCTGATAGCTTGAACAAATAAGATAAGTAATGATGAGGAAAGTCGTCCAGCGGGGATTTCCCAAAAGATGGAGACTCTAACAAACAGCCGGGACCAAGTCTGAGGTATCGAAGGTGTTGCAATGGGGACCCCCCTGCGCTTTTGTAGGCGTGACAAAGCATTCGCATCATCTCACCCCCCTCCTGTGAACGTGCCTTTCTGTTTGGGCCAATTCTTGAGTCTGGCGGTACCGAAGGCAGCTCATCATGGTCGGAATAGGCGCCCCAGACGCGTTCATTCACAGTCGAGATTTCGAGGCACCGCAACTGTTCCGCGCTTTTCAGTAGCAATACTAACGGCAGAAGACATGGTGAAGTCGAGAAAGAACGAGCGCTTCGATCGGGTTGGAGACCGTGCAGGGCCAAAATGGTAAGGCAACGAAAACTGAGGTTAGGAATGACGTGGTATTTTAGGCCGAGCACCATGGACATGTTTACTTTGAGGTTTTCGTCCACTTGTACTGCGTTTTTGAAATAAGTGATCAGTATCAATGACATTTTCGGTACAAGGGGTTTTGCATGAAGCTCACCGTCTTCAGGAACACGTAAGACATGGCGCTGCCTTTCAGGCAGCGTGATCTTGATAGACTGTATGCCCGGGAAGCCCTCCTTGACTTCACGCATGTGGAGAAGTTTCAACACATTCAACCACAGGTGAAAACCATGGAATTCCAAGTGCCGGAGTTCCTTGGTTCCGCTGATAATTTTTCCGGTGGCCTCGTAGATCTCGTGGCATGACCCCAGGAGCTCAATATCATCGATGCCCCAGTCTTTTCGCAAGGAATTGGGAGCAGTGAAAGGTGTAGCGCTAGCAATCAACCGCCGTGATACGGTAAGTGATTTTGCTTTGGAGAGCAAACCAAAGACGCTCGTCCTCAGGGAGTCGCCGCCAGGGTAAAGGTCCTTGAGTATGTTGTAGTTTGGATCCCTTAACCCCATTGCGGTTCCAGGCAGAGTCATGAACCGAAAAAGGCGGTCCTTCACGGCTCTATTGAGGGCTTTACATGTAATGGAGACATTATTGAGATCCGTCGTGTCATTCAGATAATCGAAGATCATGTACATGACATTGTGAACGTCGAAGATGGGAGGTGTATTGTCCTCCAGGTTGTCGGATGGACCTGGAGATCCATTAGGGAGCATCGTGAGGATATGCGTGGGTAATAGATTGATATGGTACTGTGTTTATTATGGTGTTTCTGTGCTTGGTGATAACTTGTGGATGCTGTGATGATGATTGTTGAAAGACTGGTGGATAATTGTGCGCTTGGAGACGTCAGAGGGGGGAAATCGAAAGCTGTTGGCTGTTGGGGTGGAAGAAGTTTGCTGAGGTCTTCAAGTAACGTGGAACACACAAAGATGCAGCAAAGGCGGAAGGCACCAACGGCCGCAAAGGGAAGGAAGTCGTGAGGACTCCGCTCCTTCTTCCTGTGAATACGATCTGCCGTTATCGCAGGAAGTGTCATCTGCCAGAGAACCACTGTCTCCAACGGATTCACTCATGAGGAATTCTCCCCAACTCCTTCCCATGGAGAATGCCCGTCAACAAGTGCTTGCCGTGTCCATCATCTTCACTCTCCGTTCCTCCCACACCATTCTCCCGTAGCGATTGACCTGGACAGCCCAAGATACTTCGAAGCTGCGAGGAAAGTGTGCGATGATGACCTGAACCCCAACGTCACTACTTCCTTCGTAGGATAGGAAAGCGACACCTACTCAGTACTGCCTCCCGCTGAACAGACTGGGCGTGCGGTAATCGAACGCTTCCGGTATGTCATTCTCCACCTCCCAGGGACTCAGCTCGCGTGCGACTGCCTCTGTTCTTTCCTCTCCTTCCATGTCATGGTCAGTAGAGCATTCGTCCTCCTTCTTATTTTCATTGTCATCGGCGTCATCTCTCCTCGCGATCCGCCATGCCCGGTCCAGGATTCTGATGTATTCCAGTTTTCGAAATCGCTGGATGAAGTCCATGGCCACATGCTCGATTTGTAAGCTGTAGTTCAATCGAATGTGCTTAATGGCGCTTTTGCATGTCTCGTGGCGACTGTCTCCCGCTAGCCAAAGCTCGCGGAGGTTCCGAAGACGTCTGAAGCGCCAGCTAATCATGTTTATGTTCGATATGCAGGGTTGACATACGCGGCGATTTAACGACAGAGTAGGAAGTGTCGTTTTAAGAGATGCCATTGTGGTCATCTTTAGAGGACTGAGAAAAGCCTGCTCCAGTGGACACATGCTGTTTGTCGGCAGGACTGCCACCGGTCGTCATGGAATTTCCACATTTATGGAGCTGAGAAGTATCGGTATGATTCTCATCGTTGTAGCAATCTACTACTCTGAAGACGACATTCATCAAAGAAGCGGATAACAAGGTTTTGATTCAAGGAGGAACCCGAAAAGGATTCGGATACCACTTGCCAGGTGCAGCTATCAGCCCATGGCAATGTAAGCTTGCGCAAGCGGGAAGCCGGTAAGGGTTGATCAACTTTCTCGACAAGTGGGTATTGAAAGCAAGACGAAGGGCCTCGCCCTTGTAAAGTGACCGTATTAGGCTTTCTGGGTGATGTGGACCATCTACATAGTCAGGATACTGTAAGTGCAGCTCTTCAATTCTCGATAAATCCAGCAGATCACCCAGAATATGCGCAGGATCATCACGATAGTATCCTGGGTCACGGTGCGGTGGAAAACATAACTCAAACCCGATTCCGAGCTTGATGTATCGCAGTTTCTCCAGGGCACTGCCTCCAGCTTTGCCATAGTCGCGACAGAATTCTTGCATCATTGCACCCCGCGAGCTTTTGGTGGCAGGCACACCGGCGCTGAGTTCGAGGCAACATAGATTTTGCGCACTTTTGAGCAATAACACCAGTCCCCGTAGTCTGGTTGGTGGCCGACCCTTATCAAACGGAAGGCCATGCAAGGCTAGAATGGTTAGATGTGGAAAGCTAAGAGGGGATTCTGGTATGATGTAGGTTCGATTTCCGAAAACAGACCAATATGGGGTTTCCAGGCCTGAGGCAACAGGATGTCAGGACATTTTCCACAATTAGAACGAAGTATGATTGCAAGGTAGAAGACTTGGAATGTATAAGGTAACTCACGTGGTAGGTATTCAGCCAAGGTTCTGCCTGTGGGCCCCAAGATTTGCCCCTGTCTATTGTCTCTACCGGCCTCCATTTTGATCGATCTGATTTTCGGAGCGCAGTCCCGCAAAGGCATAAACAGATGGACCAAGTTAGGCACACCGAAGGACTCAAACTGTTCAAGATGAGGTATGCGTTTCAAGTACCACCAAATGGTCTGGTACAACGGAAGAGCTTCGAATTTATGCCGTGCTGTTTTCTGGGTCCCGGGCGAGATGTGGGAAAGCTGCAATGTCTCTCGGAATACTTAGAGAGAGCGCATAGTCGGTAAAACCCCAGTCAATGCCGCAAGTTTTGTCGTGACTGTAGTCCGGGCTGAGTGGGTAGGCAAGAGACTTGGAAGGATCGGGTGTCGACACTTGGAATCTCGGGAAAATCAGACGCCGAAATAGATGGGGTCACACGGCAGACAAGCGAAACGCTTTTGAGATCTGCAGGATTTTGTAGACGACCCACGATCATGTCTGCGATCTGGGGCGTGAGGAGACTACGGGTGCTACGAGGTGTAGACATTGTCGGCCAAGTTCGGTGTTTTGCTGTCGGTACAGATTAGGGTGGCGAGCTTGCAGTGAAAAATGAAGATGTAGAGACGGCTGTGTCTAGGCACCCATCGGAGCCAATCTCAAGTCTGAATCATCCTTTGTTCCATCCGACTGCCCGCAAAGCGCGACAACGGAAATGGCTTGATTTTGAGAGTTGTCTAACGGAAGAGAAGGAGAAATGGAAACCAGAAGAGCCTCAACACCCGGAAGAGAGTTCCAGTGGGCAAGGCCAGTGAATGGCAGCTCAGGGCATGGGCTTCCAACATCCTTTCTTCTGCCCCCTCTTCAGTCTCGCTCACCCACATCATCGCCATCAGTTACCATCACCACCATCACCACCGTCACCATCATCACCACCTATCCTGCCTCCTCTTCCTTCTCCTTCTCCCCCTCCTTCTCCCCATCCTTCTCCCTCCACCACCCCCTCAACCCCCCTACAGCCCCTTTACACCACTCAATACTCCCCAAAACCTCCTCCCCAATCCACCACTTCCACTTGGCCCCTTCAGGCGGCCGATCACTCCAATACTTCTTCAACGACCCACCCTCAAACAGATGATTTTTCACTCCCATCAACAGCACCACCTCCCCTGGCTTGGGATCAAAATCCTCCGCATCTAAAAAGACGTTGAGCAAGATGTGCTTGGAGGTAGACTGGTCGGCTAGGCGCACGATGCGTTGCGTGAAAGTGGGTGGCATTGGACTGGGTTCGACGTCGGAGATGGACACGATGATGGCGAGGACGTTGATCATCCAGTTTTGGGCGTAGGGGAGGTGCGGGATTTGGCGGAGGGTGCAGAGTTTGAGGGGGATGGTGGGGTTTGTGGCTAGGTGAGGGTTGGGTTTGGGAGGGGGTATTTGAGGAGGCGGTGGTGGAAGACGGGGTAGCTGAGGTTGAGGTGAGGTTGAGGTTGAGGTTGAGGACGAGGCTGAAGTTGTGGTGGGCCTTGTGGCCGTTGTTGTTGCGGTAAGAACTGTGGCCGAGCTTGTATTTGCGGCTGGAAGTCTGGCCAGGCTGGAGGCTGCGGTGGTAGTTGCAGTTGATGCCGAGGTTGAGGTCGCAGTTGGGGCTGAGGTTGTGGATGAGGTTGTGGATAAGGTCTGGGAGCAGGTTGTGCCATCAAATTAGGCCCTGGACGAGGTTGTATCTGTGCCTGCGGCCGACCCTGAGGCGGCTGTAACAATGGATTAGGTTGAAGATGAGGTCGAGCTTGTGGCCCCGGTTCCTGCTTTGGTCGCGGCTGAGCCCTTGGTTGAGGAAGTTCCTTGATCTTCCTCTGAATCATCTGATTTTGTTCAATAGCCACTGGACGAGCCTCTTGAGCACGCCGGAGTGTCCTTGCTTCGGCTGGCAAGTAACCAGGCCCAGCCGGAGCTTTGGCCGGTTCTCGATCGGGATTCTGCAGCTGGAAGATTTCCTGCGCAGTGATGGATGATCGGAACTGTGGTGCTTGTCTTGCGGTGATGATAGGCTTCTTGACGGGTTTCGGTAGCTTTTGCTCTTTTGGCTCCTTGGGTTTGTTCTTTTTCTCCCATTCCTTTGTGAGCGCGTCAACTTCGAAGATGTTCAAATTTGCCCACTCTGGCGGAAGAACGATTCTGGGATCTGGACCGATGGTCTTAGACGGGTTCGCTTTCTGAGCCTTCGTCAAAGCCTCGTCCGAGATACCATGCTCCCGCTCCTTTGCCTCCTTTGCCCGCCGTTGTGCTTCTTCTCTCCTCCTCTGCTCCTTTTCCCCCAGTTCCGCTCTATACCCAGTCTCCACCCACCAAGGCTTCGCGACCTTCTCCTTCTTCTCAGCCTTTGTCTTCTTTTTCGACTCGTCGTCTTTCGTATCCAAATCCATCTCGTCACCGGTTGTTGTTGACGACACTTCCGGGTCTGGACCCAGCTCCTCCGCCATAGCCTTAAGTTCTGCTTTCCTCATCTCCCTCATGAAATTCCTGTCCCAACCCACGGGAACCATGTGGCCTACCACTAGACAGACCATTTTGGTTGTTTTGGGCGTTTCATCCTCTTTTGGCTTGCCCACTTCTTGTCCTTTTGCTACCGTGGTCTTTTCTTCACCCTCAACTTCCTTGCCCTTTCCAAACCACTTCCGTTCCATGGCCTCCCTTCTCAATCTCTCCAACTTCTCCGGATCACCGATCCCGTCGTCGTTTATATCCATCCTTACCCCTCCATTTTTGACTCCTCCTTTTGCTACAGCCCCAACCTGCTTCTCCCCCAACCCATTTATGCCTTTCACCACTTCTTGGCCCTTACTCACGTCTTTCTCATTCTTCACCGGCTGAGGCAGGGGCTGAGGCTCAACATCAACCTCCTCAAACTCAACCACCACTTCCCCAACCAACCTAACATATACCCCCTCTCTGACATCCCCTCTCGCTTTCTCCTCCCATTTTCTCTGCCACTTATCTTGTTCTGCTAGCTCCTTCTCTTCCTCTTCCTTTGCTAGTTCTTTTTGCGTCTTTTCTTTTCCCCTTTGTCTTTTGTCTCCCCTTGTCTTCCCCTAGAGACACCCCCCTTTTGTTTCAGATCTTCCGATTCCGTATCAGATATCCACTCATCGAAATCATACCCCAACACCAGATGATGAAACTCCGGTCTCAAAATAGCTTGCACCCAGAATTCCCCGTCGTCTAGCAGGAGGCGGATGACTAAGTCTGGAGGACCGGTGGGCGGTTGAGACGGTAGAGATGGAGAGGGATTTGGTGGTCGTGGGGGAGGAGGGATGTAGGGGTCTATAGGAAGGGAAGGGGATGAGGAGGATGAGGAGTGGTCGGGGGCGTGGCGTTGAGACCAGGTGTGTTTGTGGGAGGATTGTTGGCTCGCTGGCAGAAGTTGGTTGGATGGTGGGAGTAGGTAATCAGTGTTGGACATGTGGATGTCGGAGTCATTTTTGGTAGATTCAAGGTCGGTTTCTGGGATTTCTTCGTGATGTCCTTTCTCAGATCGCTGGCCGTTGTCCTGAATATCCTCGCTGTAGTTCCCGATACGCCAGTGACCGGAATTGTCGCCATCCGCTTCTTCATGGTCCTTCTCAATCCAAGTCTTTGAAACGGGAGTGCTTCCACGCTGTGAATCGTCCTCATATCCATACTCCGAACCAACCTCTGATCCACTCGGAGTATCAGGCGGCATCTTGAGATATTGGATACTTTTCACGAGCATCACCACCCCTTTTGGGATCACCACTTCTTTCTTCCCCGTCTGCTCCTCAACCCCCTCCACCCTCTCTTTCCCCGCATCTTCAGCCCTTTCCAATCCTTTATGATGATTCTTACCCCTAACCTCACCCTTTACATCCTCACCCCCCTTCACCACCCCTTTCCCCTTATCCCCGGTTAACACCATCTCAGCTTCTTTCTCAGGCTCAGCTCCTTTCTCCGGCGGACCATTGGCTGCACCTTCAGCCCCTGAAACTCCGGCACCCCCAGCATTCCCCTTTACATTCTCGTCAGAAGGCTCTGCTGAGGCAGGCCAAACGTCAGGAAACTTCTCACTCTCAAGCACATGCCGAATAACCCCCCTGGCAGCTTTAACATCCAGATCAATCGGCCGATTGGGATGATCTGGATCGTGAGAGACGATGGGGCGAGCGGCGATGGAAGCTTCTGAGTCGTAGGGGTCTATGAATGGGGCAGTTTCTTCTGGTTGTCTTTGTATTTGTCCTTCCACTTTGCCATTTTCTTCCGGTTTGCTTTGGTCTTCGCAGTTTGCTTGGCTGGTATTTTTCTTGTTACCAGCGGCAGTGTCGTTGTTGTCCTTGGTGCGAATGCTAAGACCTGATAACACCGGCGGAGAAGACCCGAGAGTTGGGTCGGGACTGGGGCTTGGGCTGAGGACTTTGGATGGTCGGCCTGGTCTTTCTGGTCGGCCTGATAACCCTGGCCTTCCTGACTTTCCGAGGTGACCTGATGCACCTTCATCATCCCCATCATCATCCCCATCTTCGTCTTCTCTCTCAAGCCAGGCTTGAACTTTCTCTTTCCGTCCCCGTTGCGCTCTCTGTAGTACAGCAGGACCGGGACCGGGACCGGGGCCATCTAACCCAAGCACATCCCCCCTACAAACGCAACCGAATGTCTTAGCCCAGCCGGATTCCCAAACCCAGCGGAACCATCTAACCCAAGTACATCGCCTTGTCCATAAGATTTCTCTACGGCCTTTTCCTTCCCTTTCCACCTAGAATTTCGTCCAGAGCTGTGAAGTGGTTGTCGTTCTGGTTGCCGTTCTGGTTGCCGTTCTGGTTGCCGTTCTGGTTGCCGTTCTGGTTGCCGTTCTGATTGCCGTTCTGGTTGCTTCTGATAAGACGGCGGTGGTCTATCATGACCCTGATCCTGATACTCTTCCAGTTCCAACTCCTCACTCAGCCCTTCCGCATGAAAGTAATCATCAAGTACGACATCTTCTTCAACGGCCTTCCCCTTCCCTTTCCGCTTCGAGGAAGTCTTCCGTCCCGAGCTCGGTTCAGGTTCCCGTTGCCGTTGTGCCGATGGCGGCGGTGCTTTCTCCTCTACAAGATGTCGTTGTATTTGACACTGTGGTTGTCCATGTGGTTGATCCTGTGGTTGTCCCCGAGAAACAAAATGATGTGGCCTAGATTCTTCATCCAACCCATGCGCCTGGAAATAAGCATCTAGTTCATCGTCGGAGAAGTCATCGTCTATGTCTATGTCCATCATATCCACATCTGGGTCCGGGTCCAGGTCCATATTGGCGGCCATAATCGATTTCTGTCCGTAGTAACTACTTTTGACGAACACTTATCGGTTCCGGATGGTGATGGTGATGTTGAAGTTTGATACTCGGTGTTTGGGGATGAGGTAGACGGATATGTTATGGATGGTGGCGATGTAAATGCGACTGAGTTATCAAGTGGTCGATGATGCCAATAATGGGAAGCATGGTTGTTTACATCAAGGTCGATATCCAGTTACTGAAATGGTAATCAAGTGGATTCGGCGATTTCAAGATGGAAGGTTGAGATTCAAGATCGAGATGGAGATCCTAGCATGACGATGGACATGCGAATGAGAAGGGGAGTCGGGATGGAAATGTGGGAAATGCGGGAATGACAAAGGGAAATCCACCGGAGTGGGACGCGACTTTGTCGAACGGCACGCGTGGATTGGTGGGGCGAAGTGTAAACATACAGCTGTAATGGAGCCCCCCCGGAGTTAACGTCAGTCTGGGGCATCCCGGGACTTGTCAGCTTGAGCTTCCAGGCTATTCTTTCTACGATTCTGTTGTAGCACACATTCAACAGGTCAAGAGAACCAAAGAGGCAAGTACGTAATAAGCTGGGTATTGAAGATCTGTATAAAACGACATGGCTACAATTAAGCTGGCCCAAGAACCTCCTCGTCTCTAAACTGTCTTGCCTCGGACTTCCCCTGGAAAGCTCCCGTTCGCCTTTCTCAGCACATCTGTATGTATTCCATAAAATATTGAATCTAGCCATCAGGTAAGGCCTCATTAAGATAGAAAGTCGGCGCAAAAGCTGCAGAGATGCGAAGGAGCTTCCGGGTACTAAAAAAGAAATTAGGGGGTGTTTAAGAAGTCCACTCCACCGAAATAACCATCACCAACAAAACGTAGCAGTAAGTGGATAAACGCATTGCATCCCGTTTTGCGCCATCGCTTGTTCCCGACCCAAACAAAGCTTTCTTTTAGTTATGCCCCATATCCCAAGGGGCGTATCGGTCGTTCGTCTATGTCGGGGGGTTGCAGTTGTTTTGCCGACTCTCCGTCAAGTTTGCTGTCCTCATTGATTGTTGTTGGGCTTTTCCTAGTAGCCGTTCATGGTCATGCGCTGAGAGTTGCGGCTCATCTCGCGATCCGCAGCCGGGCTGATTGGCCTGCTGCCGTGTCCCTGCGCACTGCTTTCCTTGAGGGCCAATAGCTGCTTGGCACGGAAGGTTTCGTAGTGGATCTGGGATGTGGTCTCGATGAGGTCCTGGAGGTGGGTGCGGAGGAGGAAGTTTCGGAGGTAGATAAATTCGCAGTGGTTCTCGTCCTCGACGTTGATGACGCCCCAGCGGTTCTGGCGGCCACGGACCTGCTTGCCGTTGACAATGATGCTCTTTTCGGAACCGACGACGGCGAAGGGGATGAGGCTCTGTGTTGTGTTAGTTACTGTCAATTCCTCTCCCTAGCGCAAGGAAACCCACCTTGATTTGCTGGTTCAGCGAGCGCTCCTCCTCGTCAAGCTCGTCGTTGTCGTAGGGGTACATCTTGAGGTTGTGGAAGGCAAACTCCTCCTTGATGCGCTCCTTGAAGGCCTGGCGTTCTTCCAGCGTAAGGGAGTCCGACTTGGCAATCACGGGCACCACGTTGACGACATCCGACAGCTTCTTGAGGACGACAATGTCGATAGGCTTCAGCGAGTGGCCCGAGGGCTGGATGAAGAAGAGGCAGCAGTGGATGCGGGTGTCCTGGATGTAGCGCTCACGCTGGGCAGTGAGTTCCTTGCGGAGGTAGGCAGAGTGCTGGTCCTTGATGTACTTGACGATGGGGTCCCAGCAGCGGTCGTTGTTGATCATGTCGCCGTAGCCGGGGGTATCGACAATGTTGAGGCGGAGACGGACGCCATTCTCCTCGATGATGTGGGAAACGGACTGGATCTCGGTGGTGGATCGGACCGTCTCGTCGGGTTGCAGACGACCCTTGGAGTCGATGAGGTGGGAAGCGAAGATGGTGTTGATGAGGGTCGACTTGCCGAGGCCGGTTTGGCCTGTTGGTGGAGGGGGTAGTTAGTATAAATATGTTCAAGCGGCATTGATTGTGACAACAACATACCAACACAGATGACATTGAACTGGAAGCCGCGCTTGAGCAGCTTGCGCTCAATCTGCGAGGTGATGCTGTCGAAACCGACGTGGGTCTCGGGGTGGACGGTGGCAGAGCCCATGGTTGACATGATTGTATTGCTAACTTGGGGCTATTCCAAAAAGCAGGTGGTGTGAATTGGCGGAAGAAGAAGAGAAACGAATGATCGGGCGGTCGAAAGAAGGGCGTGGGTTGGACTGGAGACGGGATGGACGACGGGGAAGAAGAGAAGTGTGCTGGTGTGGGCGTGGACGTGGACGTGGACGTGGTCGTGGAAATGAAACAAAGTGCAATCAATTAGGGGACAAGCAATGAGAATGGGAGAAGGTGATGGTGCTTTCCCCCGTCCCCGTATTCTACAGACTGCTGGACTGCAGTGTTGTCGCTGCTGCACATTGCCAAACAACAATTTCCCTTCCAGGGGGTTCAACTGGGGGTCAACTGGGGGTCGACTGCCAAATTGAACCTGCGAATCACTCTCCAACGAAGCAAAAGCTTCAGCTTCCCAGCCCGGGGAAAGGGGCAGGCGCACCTTGAGGTTGCCGCCCAGCTCGTTTGATTGGCCCTGTGGGGTCAGTGCTTCAGGAACACCCGGATTGGGTTTAGCAGCATCTGCACTGAGTGCCAGCGCTGCACTAATTGCACTAACAAGACCTGGGGGACGGCAGCTGGTCCGTGTCACCCATGCCCGAATTTTTTGAGACGGGTGGATCTCCTACGATGTGCCGTCCCGCGCGGTTGCCAGTCTCGACTTTCGGCCCCGGCAGAGGCACCTTTTGTCACTCCGCACTCCGACCACCGATCCCGATTTCGCGATCCGACCACCCGGAGACCAGCACTGCACCTTGACGGCCACTGCAGGGTTTTGGGAATTTGAACAAAGGGAGGGAACAACACACCAACAGCTGGGACAAGCCACGACACCAAAGGGACCGAACATATCTCGCGCGACAACTCCGATATTCCTTTTTGCGCATATCCGAAACCTCTTCTTCCATCCATCTCGAATTCCCCGATCTATACCCAGCAACCAACCAACCAACCCGATACATACTCCGATACCGATATCCTCAAAATGGCCGCCATGACTTCTGCCGCCGCCCCCGCCCTCCGGCTCTTCAACCCCTCGACCTTCTTCCAGACCCTCAGGACACAGCGGTTCGGTGTCCCCGCCCTCAGCTTCGCCGTCCCCGCCGCCGCCATCTCGCTCCTCCCGTCGATACCATCGCTGCTCGAGGACATCTGGGAGAGCATCCTGCGCGCCGTGCCCAAGAAGAAGACGTCGCACATGAAGAAGAGACACAGGCAGATGGCCGGCAAGGCCCTCAAGGACGTGACACATCTCAACCGGTGCCCGGCTTGCGGTGGCCTCAAGAGGATGCACCACTTGTGCTCCAACTGCTTGGGAAGTATGTGATGATGGGACTGGGTTATTGTCGTTTGGTACTAGGGAGAAATGCTGACTGAACAACCAAACAGAGCTCAAGGGCTTCATGGACCGTGAGGGTGGTAGCAATGCCAAGGCCTACTAAGCGGCGGCGCATGTTGGGGAGGAGGGGGGGAAGAAGGGAAACATGGGATCTGGGCATATAAAAATGCCCGGGCGAAAATAGCACTTGACTGTTGCTATATTCCTCCCATGATGCACACCACCTGATGTACGATCTAGGTGTCCATGTGTGAAGAAACGAGACAATGTATACTATCTTGTACATATATACCAAAAGTGTCTGCGTCGGTGTTTGATGAGGAAGGCACCGGTAGCGCTCCCAAGATACGGGCGATACCACTTAGCTCTGGGCGTTTTGTCCATTGTAAATCCAAAGAAGTAAAACCGTACATCGTTTGCTCTATTTACCCCAGGAAGGATGAGATCAAAGATCCCCAATTCAGCCCATCTTCAATGTGGAGATATAGCGGATAAGTACGTACCTGAGAGGCTCTGGAGCACCCCCAGCTAGCACCGTGGATGTGACGTCTTGAAAGCTGCTGCAGCAGCAGTTAGCCCCACCATTGCTTGTCTCCAACACGGCCATTACAGAAACCACTTCCACTCTCCAAACAACAACTTCCTCACCCTCAGCACCTTCTTGTCGCAAACCACTTTACGAGCGCCTCGTATATGGACAGGTGACAATGGTGAGGCTCCACGATCTGACCGCCAGACTACCTCCAAATACTAACACTTCTACAGTCGAAACAATACCTAACCCTCCACACGGTGGACCAAGGTAAGCTTGTCCCTCCCCTTCCCCTCCGTAACCATCACCATCACCTCTCCATCACCACCTCCCCTTCGCCCACCAAATCTCTCGAAATCGCGATCACAACTAACTCTCCGCAAAAGCCCACCCAACAGAAATCTTCGCCCTAGCACCCACTCCCACCACCCTAATCTCCGCCTCCGGCTCCTCCCACATCCTCATCCACAGCACCACCACCTCCCCAACCTTTCCTCTCGTGCAGACCCTCTCCAACGCCCACAGGCTAGGTTGCCACCACGTTACCACCGCGCGCGGCCTCGGCTCTTTGGGAAACACTTTTGTCTCCGTCGGTTTCGGCGGCGAGACCAAAGTCTGGCGTCGCAACAATAACCCGTCCTCTTCAGAAACCTCCGAATCCGATAAATGGTCTCTCTACTGGACTTTACCCACACCCGCGAATAAGAAGGAAAAAGGCGACGTCTGGGCTGTGGCGCTTAGTGCCGACGAGGGATACCTAGCTGCTACTACTAGCGATGGAAGGATTCATGTGTGGGATTTGGAGGGAAAACAAAAAGTGCAGACGTATGAGACTGGTGCGTCCGCAGGTGGCGGTGGTGGTGGACAACAGGATGGTAGTAATGGGGTAGGAAGTGGAAGCTTTGCCATGGCGGTGGACTTAAGCAGGGACGGCAAGTTCACGGCTAGTGGACATGAGAATGGCGGGGTGTATGTGTTTAATAATGATGCGGGGCGTATGGTTTATTCACTTTCTGGTATGTTGTTTTCTTCCCCCTTTTTCCTGCCTTCCTTGGTTGTATGGAGGGAGCGGTCGTTGAGCTGAAGCTAACAACAAACCACAAAAAGGCCTAGCAAAACCAATCCGCGCCATCGCCTTCTCCCCGGGCTGCAAACGTCTCGCCGCAGCCGGCAACGCCGGCATAATCGCCATCTACGACATGCAGCACGGCGAGCACGTAGCCAACCTCAGCGCCACAGGCTCTCGACCGGCATGGATCACTTCTATCGACTGGAACGACACGGGCGAATACCTTCTGAGCGGCTCCTTGGACGGAAAAGTCAGAGTGTGGGATGTCGCGAGGGGAGTCTGCGTCGCGACGCACAGCGAGACCGAGAGCGCCCTCTGGTGTGTCAGATGGTTGCCCAAATCGGAGAAGGCGTTGGCTCCGGGTATGGGCAAGGGCGAGATGTTTGCGGCTGCGGGGGCGAATAGGAGTTTGACGTTTTATCGGGAGGCTACTGGGTCATAGTGTAGACACCGACCGACATAGGGTTCAGGGTCATACCAAGTGGTTAGGGGCGTTGACTCGAGGGCTCAAGGAGAGCAAAGAGAGCAAAGAGGTAGTAGCATACCGCATACCTAGGGAAGGGAAGCGAAAGAGGAATGAAAGATTTTGATCGGACAGCATCGACATTCTCAGTCTCGGTCAACAATGGGAGCATTCATTCGAGCGTGGTTAGAGCCTTGAAAATGAAATGGCGGTGGCAACATAGCTAGATAGGCCTTAACTGTTTCTACCACTATGGCAGAAGACGGCCGCCCGTTAAATCATCCATTGAACAAACAAAAAAGAAGCCACGGTATGTACCTCTGAGGATCATTCAGTCTACAGCTCCTCCTGCTACCTACCTACTTAACCTCGTCCGCCATGCCAGAGGGTACGATATCAAAGGTTACATTGTCTGTCCGCTACAAAGGTCAGGTCGTCTGACCGTGACTAATATGGATGATATGATCTGACCGTTGAGTGAGTGGATCCATAACAGGTAATGGAGGAGTTTGTATGTACCGAAGGATTCTTTCTGTTGGTAGTCTGCTTCTATTCTAGGAGGCTTCAAAGGCGGCTCAACCGACATCTAAACATGCTGCGGGCAGTCGACTGAAACTGTTGGACATGTAACTTTCGAGAGAACAAGGTTACATGTGCGTGAGTGAGTGATACGAAGGAATGACAAAGTCATTCATGCAAGCTTGATCTGGTTATTATTCCCTAGATGTGTTACTCTTGCCCCCAATTGACATTAGTTTACGTTACGATGGACCGCACAACCCGTTCGTTTTTCCTGGTGTCTAAAAGCGACTATGTTCTGCTTGACATGAGAGGTGATAGTTGACATAACTTGGAGCCAAAAGCAGCTTGTAACCCTTGCTCCCGAACCAGTAATCGCCTTCGAGGTAAGACATCCTAGTTTGGCAACTTCCCAGGTCAATCATCCTCCCCTAGTTCAGCCCACGTGGTAGTAAGGTACTTGGGGGGTTCGGTTGCCAAGAGTCTTCTTTTCCCCCTACTCGTTAAGTAGGGATAGCGAAAATCTGGGACACGGTTTTATTCTGGGACAATCAGAAATGTAAGCGCATTGAACAGAAAACTGTTAGTGGGCGAATTTACAGCATTGGAAACTATACTACTATTTTTCTAAAAATCCAAGAAAATTTGGGAGCTTGCACCTTAAGTAAAGAAAGTGGCTTTCAGAGTTTGGGAATTTTATTTCAAAATGCAAAGGCGCGGTTACCTCTAAAGTACCTTTTAGCCACCAAACTTCGTCGTTTCTCGATGCACCGACCGTCAAAAGCGGACTGCCATTTCAGAAGCAAAGAAGAAGCACATTCACACTTTTCTCCTCAACGCCCCAGCCAAAAATAATGCAACTCTGGAAGGGTGCTTTTTGAACTCATCCCCAGCTCCCAGATTCTTTTCAGATTTTTAGAAAATGGTAGCGTTGTTGAACTGCTCAAGATTCTGGCTGCACTAACAGATTTGCGCGTATTTTTGCGCCAATTCTGATTGTCCTAGAATAAAACCGTGTCCCAGATTTTCGCTACCCCCTACTTAACGAGTAGGGAGGAAAAGAAGACTCTTAGCAACCGAACCCCCCAAGTAATGCTCAAACACAAACCCTATCTTGGGCATCCGTCCGTACCGCGACTGGGACAATGTCTCTTCTTCATTGACATTCTCCGCCCACAAGTCCTCGAAAGGCTTCAAACACTCCGAGAATGCCTCCTGCAACAACTCTCGGGTTCTCAGGCTCGTCGCAAAACCTCCGTGGGGAAAGAGCTCTTCATCTTCCAAACGCAAAAGATTATCTGCTGTGAGGTACGGCAGATCACCCCGCCGAAGAAGGGGCTCGAGCGGTTCGAGGCGAGGCCGTATAGCTGTAGTAAACCCGTTAGTGGTATGCGTCCTTAAGCCCAACGGGCTCATGTCAACTGTGCAGCCTCTCATGTTCATATCCCGGAGAAGCTGTACCATAGGGAAAATATCTCGAGCCTCTACGAACACCCCTCCTAGCCTTTTGGTGGTTCTATCTTCTGGAAAGTCTTGACCGGGTGCTCGATCTGCGAAGACTCCCCATTTCTGGGCTATGTTCAGGTTAATGTAATAGGGACTCCAATCTTTAATGGTAGGAGAGAGTATGATCTGGTAATCTTTGGCTTTTTTTCAGGAGCTCAAGGAATGCATTTCGTTTGACGCCATCTTGGTCTGTTTCCGGGTTTTCTGCTAATCTCCACGAACGTATATCAGCTCGGTGGCAGAGAAGGATCAACGGCTTATCCTCCGCAAGTGGCGCTGTGATGGCGGTCTTGTCATAATCTGCGTCATCGATATTGATTGGCAATAGACGTGCCGCAGGTCTAGACAGCCATCGAAATCGCCTTCCCCTCTCTTGATTCAGCACGGAACCTTTGACATTGCTGTATGCGACGTTGTACTTTTTCAATGCGAAGTCCCGCGATTCTTGACAGAGATGGGCGAGGGGTAACGGAGGACGGCTGCTCAACAAAATAGGGCCCCCATGTGTTCTTGTTGTAGCCTCCATCCTGTCGCCTTTCCATATTGTAGCAGTGCAGATTGAGACCGTTCGAATAATAAGTCGGTGTTGCCTTGACGTTCGGTCCCCAGACGGACGTTTTCAGGTTGGCTTGGAAGATGTCGTCCTCGGGGCCGAGAACCTCGCTCCAGACCTTGTCGCGGATCTCGCGGGGAAGGGAACAGAAAGTGATATGTCCCTTTCTGGCTCTCGCTTGTTGTGTGAATTGAGAAAGAAGACTTCAAGCACCGATATGGGCCATTGGAACCGCTGTCATCGACTGCTGGTCATCCTCGAAAACCGCGGAGTTGGGTTGGTTCGTAATAACGTTCGGATCCTCCATTACCTCGTGCTTATCTTGTTTGTGCCCCACGGTCATCGTCTCGAGAAGGAAAGGCCCCTGGATCTGGACCAAAGAGGTAGCCTGTTGGAATACTGTGACAGGTTAGTGACTAGCTTTCGAAAGCAGATCTGAGCGCAAAGTGATGCTAGCCTGGAGCAGGGAAAGCAGGTTCTTCGCCTGGCAACAGGAATACTTCACAAAAGCGCGAATCCTGATAGATCGTGGTTTACTAGCTGAAAGGCGCACAAACGTGGAAGGCGGAGGAGTGCTGAGTGGTACATGGAAGACGCAATGATGGTGGAACGAACAACCGAGAAGTTGGCTGCTCTGTGTTGGGATAACTGGCGACCGACACGGGGCTGATATGGACAACACGAGAGAAGGCCAGTCCTGTGAGATATAGAACGGGCTGCGCAAGAAGTGAGGTTGTTTTGGAGAAGCGGTGGTGGTTGAAGGAAAAAAAAAAACCCTGAGGCGGGGTGCCATGGAAGATTGTAGAAACAATTTCCTTCCAAAGATCGCACCTTTCCAAATACCACGGGAATCAGGAAGAAGGGTCGAGGTTGAAAATCTCTACGAAACACCTGCCATGCACCTTCCTTCGACGCAGAACTGAATACAAATGACATCACGCAAGGTTCTCTCAAGGCGTTCCCGCTTCGGGGCAACAGCGCTGTCTGATGGGAATGAAGGCTCGCCAACCAAGTGAATCAGAGGTTAAAGGAACGGTAGTCGATCAAGCTTCTGAGATTTTAGTCATCTCGGCATGTCTCCAAAGATACTGAATGAGTGTCACACTTCTTTCATCTATCAGCTTCGCTACCTACAGTTCAGTATTCACACCAACAACACACCGTACCTTTGGGCTTCCCAACCCATCGAATCATCCCTCCTTTCGTCTCCAGTATTCATTCAGTCTTCACAAAACTCCCCAATCCCATCCACCCACTCCCAGACAAACAATAGACACCGGACTAGTAAATCCTATTCCCATACTGATCAACCCTCACATACCGATAATCACTAACCAGCTCCTCGGCATTCCTCCTCCCCTGCGCCGTCATCTGATGATACGCCCTATTCCCCGCCACTGCATCCTGGCATAAATCCCTATGCTTCGCCTGCCCGATATCCACCGCCGTCTGTATCTCCGGTGGACACGTAGACGGGAACATTTCCCTAGGGATCGGACCCAGCTTCCTCCACCATCCTTCCATCCCCATGCCCATCCCATTCCCATTTGAGCCACCACCATAGTACCGCAAAGCAGCATTCAACCCCTCAAAGCCCCGATCCGGCTCACCAGCCGTTTCAATAGCCATGTACTTGATGAACCCCTGCTCTGTTAGAAACGGGGTCTGGCCAACGCCCAGGACGCGCATCCCCTCGGGAATCTCTTGGGCTTCGACGGCCATCATGTTTGTGAGCCAGGAGGGGATGAAGGGGGTGCGTTGGACTTGTTCGGGTCGTGAAGAGTGGGCGGCGCGGGGACGCGGGATGGGGATGTGGTGGATGCCGAAGGCTTGGAGGATCAGACGGAATTCCCAGTCGGCTTTGTCGAGGGGGGTTACGGCGGCCAAGGGGTTGGGCAGGCCGGGGACGGAGATGCTGCTTGACCAGGGGGTTTTGTTGAGTTTCCCTGGGGTGAGATGGGTTAGTATTGGCTTTTGAGTTTTGGGGAATGAGAAAGTTTGGTGATGGGAGAAAAAGAGGTGAAAGAGGTGAGAGAGGTAGTGGTTGTGGGAAAGAGGGGAGGAGGAGTATCAACGGGGTCGTGTCTTTCCCTGATGGAAGTGGAGTCGCATCAGAATGAACACGCAACAGACACTCGTCGATTTTGAGCCCACGGCAAGAGATGGGACACGATTTGACATCCCAGCTTCTTCAAAAGACCCTTCTTGTGCTGAAATGGCGGAGAAAATGGTGCAAAGGCCAACGGGCGTCTCAACCAAACAAGAGTCGAGATCAGAAGCACGGCAGTTCTACTCAGGACCGCTCTCGCTCGCAAGACCCCTTGCCACTTGACTTGGCACATTGCATGCACCACTTGGCGCCCAGGGGAAGTAAATAATCCAACTTATTTCCCCTTTTCCCCACCTTTCTTCCTTTCCTTTTCTTCATCCTCTTTCCCTTTCCTTTTTGTCTCCCTACTCATTCTGTTTTCCTCCTTCCCTTCTCCATTTTCACACCCTCTTTCCTTTTCTTTCTACCTACCTTAATCACCCCTTTCTTCCCATCAATTCCCCCACCTGCGCATCTTGTTTCCTCTCAAGTGCATGTGAGAAACAAAAAAAAAAAGGAAAAGGAAAAGGAAAGGTCAAACTCACAAGTATTATGCTCCAAAGCGAAACCCTGTACATCCAAAAACTCCGAGCACTTCTCCGGACTCAACAACTTCTGTCCCTGTGCCATCATCCCGTTTCCACTAGCCGGCCTCATCTCGGGAGTTTGCTGAGCGACTAGCATCTCGAAGAAGGATTTGATGAGGGCTATGAAAATGAAGTTGGGAGTGCCGTTGGACTGGAAGAGGGGGGTCCATTTGTCGTAGGGGATGGGGGATTGGGATGAAGATGGGTTTGAAGGGGGAGGGCCAGATGGAGGAGGAGCACTGGAGGGAGGAGGAGGGTTGTTTGGGGGAGAAGTAGGAGGTGGAGGAGGAGGAGGGTTCGAGGCTGAGTATGGGGATGAAGATGAAGTGGAAGGAGCTGGGCCAGTTGGGGGAGGGGGGAAAGAGGGAGGCGGAGGAAAAGATGTGGGTGGCGGAGGGAAGGTTTGCTGCTGTTGCTGGGCTTGAGGCTGAGCTTGAGCTTGAGCTTGAGATGAAGACTGTTGTCCCGAAGGTTGTCCTGAAGTCTGGGCCTGCGATTGTGGCTGATATGGCGTAAACTGAGCTTGGAACGCCTCGATATTGGCCGGCGTATACGTGTTTTGAGCTTGAGCCTGAGCCTGTGCAGCCTTGACCTGCGCTTCAGCCTGTTTCCTGAAGGCCTCAAAATCTGGTGGCGTATACGTGTTTTGAGCTTGAGCCTGAGCCTGTGCAGCCTTGACCTGCGCTTCAGCCTGTTTCCTGAAGGCCTCAAAATCTGGTGGCGTATACGTATTTTGAGCTTGAGCCTGAGCTTGAGCCTGTGCAGCCTGGACCTGCACCTCAGCCTGCCTTCTAAAAGCCTCCATGTCCGGTGGTTTGTATTGTGCTTGAGCTTGTGCCTGAGCTTGAGCCTGTGCAGCCTGGACCTGCGCCTCAGCCTGTAGTCTGAGAGCCTCCATATCCGGTGGTGTATACTGATTTTGATTCTGATACGCTTGTGTTGGTCCTGTTCCTGTTTGTCCTGTTTGTGCGGTTTGTGCTGCTGATGATGACTGGAGCAGATTCAGTAATGGATCAAAGTCAACCCCTGGTGCAACAAACGCCCCTGCGACTGCCAGTATTGGTGCAAGCGATGCTGCCGTAGCCGAGAACCGAGACCGCGACTTCGACTGCGGCTGCGACTGCGATTGCGAGGAAGATGAAGCCGGTGAAGCCGGTGAGGCCGGTGAGGCCGGTGAGATGTCAGGGCGAGGCTCTGGCTCCCTTGTAGTTGTGCGCTGCGGGACAGGCCGGCGAGTCAAACCCCGTGGCGGCAGAGGAGGACTTTGAGTTTGGCCGTGACCGGAACTCGAACTCTCCCGAGACGGCACCACATAGCTGTACGGTCTGGATTGCCGCTCGAGGTGTACCGGTGGTTGCTGCTGCTGCTGCTGCTGCTGTTCCTCGTTCGTTGGTTGCCTTGGAGGCAAGGGGGGAGGGGGCGGCTCGGTGAACGGAGATGAGGGCCACGGTCCTGACCCAGACCCAGGGCTTGAGAGCGGACTGCACACCCATCCCGGAGGACGGGGTGGGATTGGTGGTGGCGTGTCGTTGTCCATTGTCGTTGCTTGAGACTCGAATGATCACGGATACTCGGCAGCGGAGTATCCTGTTGAAGCAGGCCGGGAATCATGAAGTTTCTCTGCCAAGTCTTGTGATGCTCGATCAGAGATTGAAAGTTATTTCGTCGATATTGCAGTTTGCTTGGGACTACGAGGCTGTTATCTTGCCCAGGCTCCCCCCTCGGTTCCTCAACGAAACCTCACGAAACTGCCTGATGCGGGGCAGAATACAGCCAGGCCAGGCAGCCGAGGCTGAATAACTATCACGATAGCATTTTCCAAATACTTCATTGGGCTCAACCACGTGTAGGATTTGTATGGATAGGCTAATGACTGGTCAGTGGCAGCCTTTTTCTGCTGCAATGCTGCTCTGATAGCGCCACTTTTTCTTCAGCCGCTTCTTTCGGGCATGGTAGGTGAGTTGTTACTGACAAGGCGACGAGGCAGAGCCTCCGCGTTAACAAGCTTTGATGTGAGCCGTTATCGTCAACCCATGATGGACTAACCCCGGATTTGGAGTTGTGCAGTGATTTATTGAAGGGGCGCAGCTCGCTTCGTTTTGAGACGGGTTAGGGTAATGGTAGGCGTAACGAGATGTCACTCGACTGTTTTTTTCTGCGGGAATGAGCGCTGAAAGGACACTTCCTTTAGTGTACGCGCAACCTGGCTCGATCTTTGAATATCCTCACTTAGAGGTTTGCACTCTCCTGTTCGTCCATCATCTTGCCAGTCTTCTTTTCGTGCATCTGTCACCGCATCAGAACATCTGTCCCTATCATGATCTCTAGATTGGACTTTGGAGTACCTATCTCCAGACTCTCATCTTCTGTCCCCATCTCTTCCTCGTCTTCGTCCCGTCCCTTCTGAGCCGTCCCAGACTTCCGAGACCAGCCCCCTTCAACACCATCCTCGCCAAAACGCAGCACCGCAACACCACACCATCACCACCACAGTCATCATCCATCACCATCACCATCACCATCATCGCTCACGCTCTCGCAGATCCCATCTCTCCATCCAATGAAAAGACAGTAAAGCCAGCCGTTCCCATTCCGTCCTAACACCACCTTCACTGCCAGACTTCCCGAGATCGCTCCCAGAGTCGTAGAGAGATGCGACGGCCGACGAGAGAAACTGCTGCAGCGTACTGTAACAAGAAAGCGTGCTGAATGTAACGAAAGAATTGTGGCAGGCGAAAGCGCGACTCGGGATTGTCATTGGGCAAGACGGGCTGAGACTGACCAATACTATTGATGCCAAGAGCGTTGCCAAGACTTGTGATGGTTGCTACGCTGCGGCCTGCGATGGTCCCGCACTTGCAGTCTTGCAGTTTCTTGCAGTTTTTTCCATTCCGTGTCCTCCCCGGCCTCCTTCGCCCAAATGCTTCTTTCCCGGTTTCGTTTTGGGTCTTTCTTGAACGCCCATTCTCGACATTCTTCGGGAGTCCCGGGTGACTATCCTGCAAAGTTGAAACCGGGAGCAGCAGAAAAGCTTGAAAAGGAATAGGAGGCAGACACGACAATGTAACCGGGCAGATGAAAAACAGTGGAAATACCTAGTCGGTGCTTACCTGTAGCAATATTTGCGGGGCGTGGACTTCATCGCCGAACCGACCGGTCCAGAACTTCAGATTTCTCGTCGTGAAGTGAGGCCGGGGAAGCAAGTGCTGTAAAGAAAAGCATGGTATTGGAGGTTGTGAATGTTAATGTGAGTGCGACCGTGATTGATACTCCCCCGGCTTCCTCAACTTGGAATAGCTGGGTATTTATTGGAACGGATGCTATCGTGAAAGTTGCAGTAGTGTAGTATGCCCTGCAGGACGCAGGAAACATCAAATTTGGGTATCGTGAGCATGATGGTGATGCTTTTGCGGCAGAAGTATTGCACTTCCAAACTTGGCCGGAGGACAGAAATGACGGCGATGTTGCTGATGATGATGTCGCTTCCGGCTGCTTGGACGAATGACGGCGACCTTCAAGGAGCGGGCCAGTCGGGGACGACGCAAAAGGGCAACGCGTCAAGATGTTTGAGGGAATTCGCCACTTGTGTGGCTTGGGTTAGGGGACCTCGGAATGTCGTCGTCGTCGTCGTTGTCGTCGTCGTTGTTCCCAACTTGGACTTGGCCACTTTTTCTTGCTGTTTGGTGCGGGTTGGAAGCATTTTGTGAGTGTGTTGTCGTAGTCCGAAGTTACTAGCTTTCTTCCTAGCTTTCTTTCAGTCGAGGTATTGGAATGTTTCCATCTTTTCGAATGTTTCCAATCGAATCGATCAATCCGGAGAACCTGTAACGATGGGAATTAAGACGAAAGAATGGAAATGACAGAGACACACCTTTTTCGCGATCGTGAATCTTTCTATCCATCTTGGTCGTGATCCAACAGACGGAAGGAAAGAGCGCTCACCTGAGAGGGCACTCTTGGCAATCACCAAGCCCAGCAGTTCGAATCTTATCACCCCTACCACCCCGCTACATATCACACTGGCTCCTTGCAACAATCGTGAATCCCGTCCCTCCTCCTTCTCCTGTCCGTCACATTCTTTCCTCCGAGACTGAATCCTTCGACCCAGCTCCGCGGAGACAGGCAAAACGGGCTTGATCGTTCTCTCCAAATTTAGGAGGCTTGGCTGGCCCGCTTGTTGGAGTCAGATAATTGTGCTTGAATTGGGAAAAACCATGTGCAAATGTGTCTCACTCGTGATGATCCTCGTGATTGTTCTCGTGTTGAGACTTGTCGACCGACTTGTGTGTATGCCGGATGCCCAGCCTCGACCACGGACCCTGACCAACGAGGGGATAGGAATACTTACGACTCGTCGTATGCTTCCAACAACATCTTGACATCTCGACGTTGGAAAGAGATCGAAGAGTCGCGAGTCGCTCGTTCACGGTGCCGTAGCCCGATAGGCTCATCGCCCAGCAAACGCCGAGCGAGGTGTTCTCCAAGTTTCTCGCCAACCCTCACCAACAAAGGTTAGCACCAAACGCATCCCAGTGGAAGCCTGTGAGCCCGAGGAAACCCAACCCAAGGATCACTGTCAATCAGTGGACCACAGCGCTAAATCTTGCATTCAGTTGCAGTTCGTGTGCGATTTCGCGACGGGATGGCGGGGATGCAGTGCTTCGGCGGGATGATGCACTGGAACTGTTGCTGAATGCATGAAGGGATTCCCAGCAGAACTGGCCTGAGAAAGCCCCTTCTTGCATTGAGTGGGATGCAGGGCAGGGCAGATGAATGGGAATCCACTATCGACCACGTCTTCCACATCTTCCCTTTCTGATTTCCTTCCCTTTCCTTTCCTTTCCTTTGCTCCTTTTGCTTACTTGAAATTCTCAAGTTGTACTCGGGGACAACGTCAACTTCATATGCTCAATATCAAAGTTCGATATCATAAAGCGGCTTTACTATAGGGTAGCACCTAGTTCTATCGCCATTGTACGGCTCATAATGATAACAGAAAATGACGGGGTAGACGGGCTACCCATTTTGTCTCACTCGTCTATCCAGTCGTAGTGGTAGCACGCCGGGGTTAGACCGGACCGGAGGCTACCCAAACTTGGCGATCCGGAACCACCTTTCCCTATCTATACACACCAGAAAAAAGACGCGAACAGACAGACGTGTTCCATAAAAGTTATCGGGCACCTCACTCAGCATATCTTAGATTGAAAAGCTATCATCGTGATGGGACTGCACTGCCTCGATGGAACCAAGCGACTCGGCGATTTGCGTTGTAATCTCTGATGAGGATGAAGCTGATGAGAGGGGGGGCTGGGCCACTAGACTCTGGAGGACGCTGGAGGTAAAACTCCGGATCTGAAACTAGCTCCCCGAGAAAGCTCATTACAGCCCAAGCAAACAAGCACCAAAGACATCGCCAAGATATTCGTCTAATACTAAGGAAAGGAATTCAAGGAAAGTTGCAACTTTGCAAGGCTCCAGCGAAAGATGAGAGCAAAAACAAGAACAAGCTCAGGATGATGTCTCAGAGCCCGGTGAAAACCTCCACCCTGCATCTTCAGCTTCACCTTGCCCATATCGGACTCAATGGGTCTGGTTAGGCTAGCCCATTTTCACACCACGTGGTAAAGGAAGCAAAATGCTCCGAGATCGAGGACTAGGTATACGACTCCACAATAACCTAGGGAAATCTGCTTTTCCTTGTTTGGATGGTAGTGTAGTCACAAGAGAGGAAACCTTAACCACAGGAGCTGAGCAGACAGTGTGAGATTTCGATACGATAGATCTTCGGTCCTATGGGGTAGGGAGTCAGAAGAGTATGGGGTCTTGAGGGTAGATGAAACGCCGACGGAAAGCCGAGATCAGCAAGTTGTTGTCGCAGTTTCTGCCGAGTGAACCGAAAAGAACAAGATTGTGCAAAGATACTTTGGGGATACTTGCAAGTTTTCCTTGTGGTGTTGAATGGAAGGAAATGGCGAAAGAAATGGTCGAAACAATGCACGGAAAGAAAGAAAGGTGATGTCGGTATCAATACTCAGCGCCGTAAGTAAACACCAATCCCCAAGATTAGTCGGCCCAGTCCACAAAAACTCACAATGATATCTGACAGAAAATTACTATACCAGTTCCATCCCAACGGTTCTTCGGCCTTCGGCCTCTTCACTCAGATTACATATCATATCTGAGCAAGTGAGCCAAAATCCCGGATTAACCCAAATGGTAACCCAACCCATGCTCACTCATATACCTATCGAGCTTTTCTCTCGCCGGTCTCCGAAAAGCTTCTGAAGAGAGTAAACCGGCGTGTTCTTATCACATATCATATCTCATTCCCATTAAATTTGCTCACCCAGAAGCAGTAGCATGGGGTTTGGACTGTAATATTACTTTCGCCGGTCGAAGGTTTGTTTTCGTTTAGGTAGTATGGATATGAAGATTATACTTTTCACGTTTACGTTCACATCTCCAGACATGAAGAACCAAGACGCGCGGCGTTGGAGTCAAGTCTGGAGATAACAGCCTTCCACCCTATCATCC